TTATGTTCCCCCATTGCTGGATCCAGAAAAAAATCAGGCAAATTCCAAGCCTCAACAGGTGTCCTGCCACCTTCTCCACCTCCAATTTCATCTCCGCCAGCACTTCAGCTCGTGCGCGACCTTGGAACGTTCGATTTCCTGGTGAAGGGAAGATAAAATTGGGATTTCCATGGGGAGCTGAATCTCTATATGCTGAAGGGTCAATTTATTGTTCCCCAAAATAGGTGGATTAGAACTGGTCTTTCCTGGCCGATTTGACCCATACACAGATGAAATCCTTCATGGCAGATCTCCCCAAAAATCACTCGGAAACAAATGAGACTTCAGAAGGAAGCCTTCAGATTCAGAAAAAATGGAGACCAGAAGAATACAAAAAAAACTTCTTGGAGATAACACTAAAAATTAGAGACCCCTCCAACAGATTGTTCAGCAAAAATTGGAGACTCCCAAAGGTCCCTGCAAAAGAATTGATCCACATATATTTGCAGTGTTGACATGGAAAAAACACTATTTTGATGCAAATGCGGTGAGTTCTAGAACACAGCTGGTACTGATGCTGCCTCCAGCTGATGCGGAATCTTCCACCTGAGCGGGCCCAAAACCTATGGCAGCATATTTCGGGACCAACTACCATTCAAGCTCGGCTTGGAGGAGTTTGAAGCTCACCCAGCAATTGCTGCTAAGTGGCTCACCACGCTGACCGCAGACACGACCTTTGCATTGTCAAAGCCAGCCATAGACGCCACATCCTGTCTAACATGATTCACATGGGAAGGGATGGAGTAGGCCGCTGGTCTTTTTGTTGGCCTGCTTTGAGGCAGGTGGATGGCAGGCCATCTGTCAAGATTGGTTGGCCTCCCCGACAATCACCGGCCCATCGGAGACAACACTGAGCGAAGTCCCAGATGCCTTGCGAGCCCAGTGAGCACCGTTAGCGCATCGTCTCACTGTCATCCACTCAGCACAGCAGTGGGTTGGCCCCAAGCTCCCAATTGAACATCCCCCCTTCCACTTCCACCCAATACGGGAGGACGGGAGTATTTGATGAAACGGCCAAGTGCGCCCCACACCCGGCCAGCGGTGTGCAGCGTGCTTGGCGGAAGCTTTGTGCTGTAGCACACTGTGGGTAGGGCGTTTTCAAATCCGCGATCATGCCAGAGGACAGGTGAGTCAAAAGGCACAAAATGTATGTATGAACATACATATAAAATTCATATCTATATACTATATATATATATACACGTCAAATCTTCATGTTTTTGGGCAGTAAGTATCACATATTCATATAATCAAGTATAATTATATGAACATAATATATAGCTTATACACAGTATTATATATGGCATATTATATATATATATATGTGTGTGTGTATCATGATGTAGAACATTATATAGATAACATCGTGATTTAATATATATATATTATTATACAATATATATATTATTATATAGTAAATATATATATATTATATATATACTATACAATATATATTTATATATTATACAATATATATATATGATTATATGCATAATATGATGATCTTCTGATACATGGTTTTCGTTATATAAAACGTTGGATGCATGTCCGTCCACACAACATCCAACGAGAAAGCCGCAGCCAGTCATCAACCAACAGCCAAGGGCGAAACAACATCGATGAATCGATGGGTCACGTCTTCAGGATATGGCCACAAAATCGGTCAGTTTCTAATTTTTATTAATTTTTGGCATTGCATTACTGTATATAACAGAAACGAGCGCTGTGAGCGGTGCCTATTTTTGGGCATGAAAATGCCTATAATTTGGCACTTCATGTTCATCTCATTGCTTAATAAACCATTCAGACCTCAATGCAGGAGATGTATCTCACCCCACATGTATCCCAAATCTTTGTTTTTTTTTGTTTAGTTTTTTGTTTATTTTGGTTTCCGGGACCAGGCCGTTAGCCCCGGTACCCTTACCGAACAAGCGGCCCCTGGAATTGAATTCCCACTTGTTTCGCAACAGAGTGCCGGCCAGAGAGTCCGACATGAAGTGGAATTGGTATTTCGCGCTAGCCGATATACATTGTTGGACCTGTAGACAGTAATTTCTTGGCTTTGAACTGGAGATTCAATGAACAGTGCATGCCACTTAAAATGTAATGATCTTTATCAAAGAATTGCTGTATACACTTTCTTTTGAAATGATGCTACCTTCTTCCAGCACTACCACCTCTACTGAGAATGCATTTTCCCGGGATTTCACGTCTGCACTGAAGGAATCTCCTTTCCAGTAAGGCTGAATTTTCTCAAAAGAATAGATATGAATAGATAAAGCATTCCGGAATCATGCACAGAGGTGTTCAACACGTTTGACAGGAATGCATCACTCTTTGAAACATATTACAATCTCACTGTACAAGGGTGCCTCTCTTAAAGGAAAACCAGACGCCCCTAGAAGGATTATATATTGCCTAGAGCCTGTAGACTTTTGAATGATACTGCATGATACTGCACTTTCTCAAGTAGATCCTGGTCCTTGTCAAAGGATTATTACAAGATTCCTGTTCTTTTAAAGGGATCCTTGTTGCAGGAGTGTTGTCCACATACAAGCTAGTCTTTATCTTGGATATGATGTCGATGCTACTTTATGTGTTGGACACATAGTTCAGTGTGGGGTGGCCAAGGCTACATAGATTGTGAAGAAGGCCTTATAAGGAAATAATCGTTGTAGGAATACCGATATGATATTATGCAGATATCATTTGATTGGAAGTGCCAAATCAAAGTCCACAGATAGTGTTTTTGTCGGTTTTCCCACCGCCGGTGACGCTCACCTCTCTACATTAAACCAGTATTAAACCATCCATTTTGGGGGTCAAATGATCCAATGATTTGGGGTACAGTTTGGGATCCTATTTCTCACTCACTCTTGTTGATTCGACTCATTTTTGTCGAACAGTGACCACCAGTGACCCATACCTATCCGACTATCCATACTCCATACAGCGACCGGTGCAGCATGAGACCCCGCCATCCAACATCTTCGGGGCGAAAAGACTTGGTCGACTAACACTTGACAGAGCTAGTTCCAAAAGTTCCCTTTAAAAAGCCATAGAAATCCATTAATCCATCATAATCCATCATAGAAACCTCAAGAAATCCATCCAAATCCCAAGAAATCCCATGGAAAAAATCCCTGAGTCCAGCAGCCAAGGCGTTAAATGATCCTTCCCTGCTGCACCCCCCGCAGAGGTCAACAACAGCAGCGGCCTGTACCAAAATCACGGGCGCCCAGCACGGTGAAGGGATGAATTTGCTGCTGCAAATGGTACTTGCAGAAATGGATGCGTATTACCTGGCTTAAAAATGATAAAATGATAAAATGTGCATAAAAGACTCAAATTTGGCGATTTATATCGATTTATGACATTTATTGATCGAAGTAGATTTATCCAACTAGAACGTGGATTTGCCCAAGTGAAATAAATGATGGTTTAGCTAACGACAATTGGGATTTGTCATGACTTATCCCTAGGTGTTCGAACCTATCCATGAAAATTTGCCATGAATATTCAAAATGACGAAAATCAGCTGTTTCCAGGGACGATTTACAGAAATCCTTACTCCTGGACTCATTGTATAAAAGCCCTGGTATACTGAAGATGTCTGCTTCCAAAAATGCTGTGATTCTTAGGATTAGATTGCCATGGTAAATAAGTATGCCCCCACTGAGAATTGCAATGTTTGATTTTTGGACACATCCACATCCGTTCCTCATTACTGAAATCACATTGTTTTCATGGTGTCATTCCCATTGTTTGCCATGCTTGATGATTCAATATGATTCAATCCTGTTCTACCATCTTTGATTATCCTTTATGTATGACTAAGTCCAATGTTTTGTAATTAATCTTTCCCAGTTAAATCATGTTAAATCCAGGTACAAAACATATCAAAACATATAAAAGTTGCCTTCTGTGGGTCTCAACTCTTCGAAAGCCTCGCCTTCCATTGCCCAGCAAGCCCTCTGGCCCCGGCGTCTCCCGAAACGTCAGACCTGACAGCGACCCAAACACTCCGCTGCAACCGGGTGCAACCGGGTGCAACAAAAAATACCCACGTCGTCCCACCTCTATTTCTTATTTGTCGCCCGTATGTGACCATGTGTTTTTTTTGGTATATTTGTGTACATGTAAAAGTATCGAACCATATCAACTATACCACAAAATTTGGCAATTCCAGTCCAGATTCCATCTGACAGATTTTACAGGCAAATTTACAGTCCAAGAACAACCTGGTGCGATTGCGCCAACTTCTATTTGAAATGGCTCCGGGCGACCCCTAAATTGGCAACTTCTATTTGAACAAATCGTTGAATATCTTCTATCTTAGTGTCTTGAAATATATGGATGTGGTATTGAAGCGATTGCGTGATAGGATTGCTGTGATCCCACCTGGGTGCAAGACGCAGTCAAAGTATTGCTTGACTACCTTAGATTAAGCAAGGGACTCCGATTGATGCATTGCTGGAAATAATCTTCCCAAAAACCGAATATGTCAAGTTCAAACAAAGTCCAACTATGGCCATTTCAAACAAAAACTGCCTCTTCAGCCAACCATTCTCCTCGCGGCCCTGCTATCTCAACCACCAAAAATGATGGAAAGGGTTTTTCAGGTGAGCCAATGTCAAAATATTCTCTTGAGGGTTCCACTCCTAACCAGTAGGGCCAGCAGAGGTACTCATTTCATGTCCACCGCTGCTCAGTTCCAAAATGTACCAAGCTATTCATCCCATATCAACACACATCTACAAACTTTTCTGCCCTGTAAGATCGCAATATCATGCAATATCACTATCTCATAAAGCGACTCTTGTCCTTATCCAAATTTCTCATTTGCAGAGTTCCAACACATCAACACCAGCATCAAGCAGCCTGGTCCAAGAGTGGACCCTCACGCCCCCATGTCCCAGGTGCATATGGCACTCCATAGTTCCACATAGGAGCTGAAACTATTAAACCTGCAGGGGAAGAAACATCAAAATCCAGATCGCCAAATCAGTTTTTTGTCTTATGGTTCTATCATGTTTCCCTGTTCTTGCTCTTATCCTCACTATTGATTACTGTATATTACTGTAGCCATGTCCCTATGAATGTGACGAAGATATATGGATCCAACTTCAAATTGAATGCCAAAATAAAGCTTCGTGAAAGCTGCTTCCATACCCATGTTTGTCGTTGGTTCCTCACTTGACTGCGAAGTGGACCACATGCTCCTACCCGCCCCCCACCATAAGGGTTTGTCCTAGAATATCCTAAAGATTCCTAAAATACGTTGTGGTTAATCAATGACCATGGTGCTTCGCATCCTTTTCCCTATCATACAAATTATATATATAATACAGTACTGTAAATAAAATATTTTTATATATGTATATACATATATGTACATATATATATATAATCAATATGTGTATATATATATGTGTGGCCTAATAAAACGTCCGCACCTCTGGCGCAGGCCAGCTCTGCGCAGAGCCTTTCCAGGTGGCCAAACGAGGAGACCTCTTCCGCAGAGGCCTGGCCGGCCAACATGGCCATCTTGGCGCGCACCTTGCACGATGCGACCAGATGTTGGAATGAAGGAATACACCAACTTTAAAGGAATGCCCCAACTTCCTGTTATATATAATATATAAATGAAAATATACCTAGGGAACCAAAAACCTTAAAATTTTTTAGGGTTAAAAACAAAAACATAGAGTATTTTTTTAAAGGTTTCCGCATAATCAACCATAACCCCATATTGTGAATTAAGTATGAATGTGTTTGATTCCCAAGGAGTATATATATATGTATATATATATATGTATATATATATATTTATGTATATATATATGTATATATATATGTATATATATATGTATATATATATTTATGTATATATATATATATTATAATTCATAATCATATATCTGTATTATATTATAATATATATATATTATTTAATATAGATATGTCTGAGTTAATATGTGTAAATATATATATACATATTATACAGTATAATATGAATAGCGGACAAAATTACTTGTTCATTTTCATGCCATGCACAAATCAGGGTCATCGCCATGAAAACGGGGGTATCGGCATAGGGTCGTCCCTAAAGTATCGGTGAGGGTTTTGCGGCAGGAAGCAAGACGAAGTTAGTCCTTGGATCACAATTAAAGCTTCTTACATTTTTTCGAAATTTTCCGCAATGTCCGAAGGATGATGTAGAATAGTTGGATGAACAAAAACCTGATTTTTCATGGTAAGTTTTCTGGAGGTTGGCACTGACTCCCATGGCCCATAATTTGAATCGACTGTCTTCGACTGTCAGTGTCAGCTGTAGTGGCCCGGTTGTGTCTGCGTCAAGCTCTGATTCCTCAGAATTAGAGAAGTTGGTCCCCAAAAAACTGTGCCCATCAACAAATTCAAACGAGGCGCGTGTTCCAATCGATAGTCCATCTGCAGAGTTTCATCCCAGAGCCGCACATGTCTCACTTCGAGGTCAGGCTCCGATTCCTTGAGCTTCTCAAGCAGTGCCGCTGCAGCTTGCCTGTGGCTCAAATCTCTGGCTCTCCGGATGGATGGATTGGAAATTGGATGGCTCGACATGGCTCGAAATTATAGCTGTTCAATGCTTATCATTAGCTTATCATTAGCTTATCTACCAGCTGTCAAATGTGATCAATGGATCAATGAAGCCTGTGGACCTTGACATCAGAACATGTTAAATAACTTTTGACATATCTCTGACCACATCGCCAAGCAGCCCAATCAAGGACTCCGGACCTGGGGTCCAGGGGTCCACAGTTTCACGGGTCAAAATCAAGGAATTCAATGGAAAACAAAACTCGTTAGTTGTTTGAGGTTAATTCAGCTATTTACAAGTCTGAGATACGTGAATAGAAGCAAGAGGTGAAAGAAGGTATATTCTCAACTGTCTCAACCTGTTCCAATGTACCTTTTTGATCAGCAAAGGACGTAATTGCTCACTGTGGCATCCCCAGTTTTCAGGTTCAGTTTCTCATCACATCTTAAAACACTTGGAGCTGGGAAAAAACGGAAACAGTTTTTGATCTCTTGTGGGCCAGGCTAGTCACAGATGGATCTGTCGATCACCCTACATTCGGCCTGGACTGAAGAACTGAGTTAAACATTGTTTTGTTTCGCTTGTGAACCGTCCGATTCTACCCAAATTTGACCCGCTCGCCAGATTCATGTCCATTTTGCTGCATTTCATATTCAACATACTGCATCTGGGGCCCTGCTCCGAAAAAGGGACCCCAAACAGTGTGGGGGAAGAGGCAAGTCAAGCAGTTAAAACCTCCTTGCAAGGACCTCTCCTCCTTGAAGGATCTATGCCAGATATCCGTGCGCTATCTCTGAAAACATATTATCCAAACATATCCATACAAGGACCTTGAGACGAACTCTCAAAATCTTTGGAATTCATACAGGAGCTTGGAGGCTTGCAAACATCGTCCACATGAGATGACCTCCAGCTGCGCCTTTTGTTTTGACCCTCACATGCCACTGTTGCAGCAACTTACACAAACTACTGCGCCTGCCACACGGAAGTAAAGGTACACTTTCACATGAGAGCAAAGTGAGACATGAAGTTTGTAGAACCCGCAGACCACCATGCGAACCCTCATTCAAACCATGTCCTTACCCTTACTGTAAAAACCCAGTACTGTAATGTGGACACACTGCTTTGGGGAAACAACCAAAATGAACATGCAGCCAAGAAGCCATGGGAAGCATCTATATGCAGCAGGTACCTTCCGACCGCCTCCATATCGGGAAAGTGTTGTTTCATGTTAAACAATTAGCATTGAGCCTTGGTGATTCTGAAAACTGCAAATGAAACAGCCACTGTTCAATGTGTATAGACACAGTCTTAGCACCACTGACTAGCAAGGTTCCTCAGAGGGGTGTCCAAACGACACCCCTTCCAAGAGCACTCCTGAAGATTCATGAAGCATCTCTTACAATAAAACATCATAAAACTCATAAAATATCATAAAGCACCCCTATAAATTGAGAGGTTGTAAAGGCACATGATATGAATATTTTGGTCCCGAAGGGGCACCAAAAGGATCCAACAAAAAACGCTTCTGAACAGGTGGGATCACAGATTTTCCGTGTAAATCTTTGATTGAACCATATTGAAGCCATTATTTTGCAAATCCCAGGCAAGTTTCAGTTGAACAAGCACTACAGCAAAGGGAAACCATAGGAAACGTAATTCATGAAATAAGATTTCGCACGGTCACAAGACATTGGTTAACGAAATGCTGACCCTTGATCTTGACAAAAAACTATTTTCATCTGATTTCCTTCCATCAGCAACCAAAAAGCACCTCTGGTCGGCTCGCATGGTACGAGATTTCGGCAGAAAACATTTTGTGATCACAGCGCAACCTTTGTGATTGAAAAGTTGAGAATTGTGTATATTGTTTTATTCCCCTGCAATTGTCATTTATGTCTGTGCAAAGCGCAACCAGCATGCGACGAAAACAATCAAAAAAGAGATACCATTCCATTCGAACTGACAAGAGCCACGGGCACATGTCTTACACATGTCATCGTTTCAACGGCAAAGAATAGTATTAAAAACAAAAACAAAAAAAACACATAAAAAAAAAACGCCGGAATAAGATTGTGTTTCTTACATTATAATGTAGACAGTGTGAACATGGTTACATGTTGCAAACATTGATGTCAAATTGCCAAGACCTTCTTGGGCCAAAACGCAACCTGCAGTGGACCGTCTGATTCCGCTGCGTGCCCAGCTGCTAGCCAGATCAGACACCAGCATTTGGTGAAGGTTTTGCTGCTGGTGGCCCGGAAAATTGCATGTTGTTCACAGATGATCACAGATGAACGTTGAAGAAAATAAATGAAAATAAGATATCATAATTTTTAATATGCATAAATCATTTTTTGGTTCAGCCACCAATCCTGATGAAGGTGTTTCCATGATTTTCTTATCCAAAACCATCCAAAACCCATATCCAGTCCTCCCATCGTGTTTGGAATCACCCATGTCCAGATCTGGGCTTCGACCACGCAAAACAAGAACGCTTCAGGACGTGGCTTTTCCACGTGCTGACCGTTTGACTGACTGAACACACCCTCGAACAGCGGTCGCCAGCTCAAGCTTTGGACTTCCGCTGGATTTGTCGCTTCATGACTCGTCGACGTCGAGAAGAAGGGGGTAATGCCTAGCGGATTTTTTTGCAGACCACTCCCCCTCATTGGCAACACTCGTTTCAACCCACCCCTGTGGATTCCTTTGGGGTCCCTCGAACTCGAACGGCTGTTCAAACGTGCTCTTGGCACCTGGTTGCCTGCTTTCCCTTCAAAATTGATATATTGGCTCTTGAATTCGGATGAGCAGATTTTTGAGGTCAAAGATGCGCCAAATGGCCAAATACAATCCGTAGCACGCCTACATGAGTTTGAAGCAGCAAACCCATTTGGGACTTCCCACCCAGAGGCCTTGGAGAAGCGCGGTGATGGCGAGGGCATTGCCTGGGCGCTCCAAACTCGTCGTTGGCGAGCTTGAAATAGCTGTACATTACTGTACATGGAAAGATTTCTATTTCAGGATTACGAGATCGAGATTCTAGCCACATTTTACATTTTATCAAGACATTTGTTCAATGCGGTTTTTAGCCAATGCCATAGCAGCACCATCCCCAGATCGTCACCATGGCTTTATGGCTGGTTCCTTTCAGCCATTCCTGGCCATGGCAGCCCCATTTGAACAGCATAGCTGCTGCTCTTCAGGGGGTATACTATGGAGTTACCATGAATTAATCTCTGTATCAAAAATGAGCCTAAACAGAAATACACACCTTGCGGATTCTTGCGTTTTTTCACAGTTTTGTTGGAATGGTTTTTTGCTTACTATTTACCATCTGGTTTAACAGTTTGCCATGGAAAGATCCACCCATTTTTAAGAACGGTAAACCATCTATTTCCATGGGCCATCTATACCATGGCTATGTAACAAATACCCAGAGGGTTGAAGCCACTGCGCCTGTCGACGCTGAGATTGTTGGGACTGCAGCTCAATCACCTCAGCTCTGGCGTGGTGCCGATGCGGACCGGGACCGGTGAAGAAGCGCGAAGCGGCCGAAGACCTAAATGGGTTTCCGGGAAAAACAATAGAGAAATCGGTTGTGTTCAGGATTTGGAAGCACCCAAGTCAATCAATGTCTGAAAGAGTGTGTGTATATATATATATATATATTAATACATAAATTGATTTATTGTATATAACGCCCCCATACATACCCTTTTGGCATCTTTTGGCCATATTTTTTTAACCACAGCTCTTTCGGCTTAAAATTTGTTGTTTGGATTTCAGCAAGATCAGCAGCAGTCACACAAACATACACAAATCCCATCTCGCACACAGTTACAGTCTATGTTTACACTATTGTTGGAAGGTTGCATGTACCCTACGGTAATTTAGCATAGCTAATTATATGGAATATCATGTATGGTTAATAGATGTAAAACAAGGTAAATCATGAGGTAATTCCTACCAATGGACCAATTATATAACATTATATAACATTATAAGACATTATATAACATTAAAAAACATTATACAACAATATATAACATGATATAACATGGTATAACATCATATGACATTATATAGCATGATAAAACATGATAAAACATCACATAACATGACATAGCAATAAATAACACTAAAGAATATTATATAAAAATATAAAACATTATATAACATTATATAATGTTAAAGAACATTATATAACAATATATAACATTAAAAAAACATTATATAACATTAAAAAAACATTAAATAACATTATATAACATTAAAAAACATTACATAACATTATATAACATTAAAAAAACATTATATAACATTATATAACATTAAAAGACATTATTTAACATTAAAAAACATTATATAACATTATATAAACAAAACATTATATAACATTAAAACATTATATAACATTATATAACATTAAATAACATTGTATAACTATGTTAAATTACGAGCTCGGGGATAGCGAAGCTGTCCACCAGTGTCCAAGCCACCATGAGAGTCATGTTGTCACACCCAAGGCCACCGTCCTGCGAATCAAGGCGACTCTGGGCCTGTTGTGACTGCTCTATGTATATATATATATAACAATACAAGGACATCATGGACATCCTGGAAAATCGTGAAACATATATAAAAAATATCATAGAATGGGAGGTTTCATGGAGATATGCCACATTATATACATTTATATACCAGTTGAAACCTCAGAAATGAATTTCACATCAAGAAATATCAACCAACTCAGGAACCCTGGGACGCAATGCATCAGGTCTGGGATGCGTCAGGATGACAAACCTGTCAGTGTCCAGTGTCCTAAATCATCCTAAATCTAGGCGCAACATTAGGTACTGCAGAAAATTAGGCTACAGAAACCATTTCCGGGGTTAGAAGATTACAACGAATATGATATTATATAGTTGTTTCACGTTTTCATATTGAAATAATCTGGGTAAAACAATACTAAACCATCCCCAAATCACCATATATAGGTGATAAAAAAAGAAAACATTCCCAGTCATGGGTGGTTTATGGCATTGTTTCACCCACATTAGAACTATTACAATGAAACCACAAGATTGGGGCACTACATGGCACTACGAGATGAAAGAACTGAGACCATTTGCAGGGCCCCTGCCATTTTTTTCCGAGGGAAACCCGCGGTGCGCGAGTTGCATCAGCTGGCGCTCTGCGCTCTTTCCTGGGTCGTCCGTGCCAGATCTTCGCCGAAGCAAAAGGACTCTCCGTCTCCGGAAAAGAGGTCACGTACTCTCCATAAATTTCATATGGGTTTTCCTGCTCATATTGATACTCAGAGATGTTTATTTCGATGATTTCCAACCAAAAGGTATGAAATGGATTCCAATGGTATCTGTATCATTCTGTATCAATGAATTGACGTTAAATGGTACACCAGATCCAGTACTAAGGCCCCTGCAGCCATTTGACCGCCGGAGAACGTGGCAGGTTCCGAAGGCACGGGCGGACCTAGGCCGGCTAAAACATGAGGACGAAACAAGACAATGACTCATATTCTAGACCAAAGGCGAAAACCATTGCTCGCACACATGTCAAGGAGGACTTTCCGTTTGGTGTTTGGAATAACTCAAACATATCATCTGGTTATTTAACATAGCCATGGAAAATCATCATATTTAATAGGTAAACCATCTATAAATGGGTCATTTTCCATGGCTATGTTAAATAACCAGAGGGTAGTTCTTTTCCTTTCCTGTTCTTTCTTGCGGACAAGATAGGACGAGAATCCGACACTGCGAATAATAACACAAGCAGAAAATCAATGGCTGTCTACTTGACTCATTCAGAGGGGAAACATGTCCAAGGACATATTGTGTGTCAAAACCTTGTACCCGTGGTGAACATCAAAATAGCTGGTAAATGGATGTTCATTCCCATAAAAATGGTATTAATAGGTATTCATACCCAATATTATTCTGGCATATTCTGACAGAGTCTCTACGTCAGATGCGACTGGCACTCAAAACCTCCGTCGACACCCTTGACATATCATTAATTGTTATTTTTCATGTATTTTTCTTCATGTTTTCCTTATAGATCCCCTCCCAATGGAACTGCGATGGCCTATAATCCAATTTGACACTGTTAGTTCATGTCTTCATCCAACGGGGTTACATTGGCCACTGGCTTGTGCCAGGAAGCGATTTTGTATGATCCACTTCAATCAAAGTGCCATTCAATTAGTCTGGATCACAAATTATGTTCAATCTTCATCATACCTAGAGACATTTAGCATCATTTAGCATCATTTAGCATCATTTAGCATCATTTCGCATCTTTTAGCATCATTTAGCATCATTTAGCATCATTTAGCATCATTTCGCATCTTTTAGCATCATTTCGCATCATTTAGCATCATTTAGCATCATTCACATCGTTTAGCATCATTTTGCATCAATATTTATCGCTGCGGATCGTCCAAACCATGGTTTGTTCTTTTTTTCACGATGCAAAGCACTCCCGTCGTGTCGGTTCGCAAAAACCTGGGCCGCTGGACCCATCTCTCGCAGTTGACTTTGACGCACATCGCTGGCTCCAAGCTTGGAGAGCGAGGTCACAAAGGCATCCTGGGCCCATAGGGCCATAGCCAAAGCGCTTCCACTGATCAGGTTCTATGATGTTCTATGTCTAGGTAATGTGCACATAGATTACTAAAACGTTGAGATCAATAGTGAACAATATTCCAGAGATTGGACTTTGCCTTTGGGGCCATTGAGTCCACTTAAATTATCTCTGGCTGGAAAACAATTTCATGATAACCGCGCACTTCTCCAACAACAAGTCGCGTTTTATATACATAGGCACTCAGGGTGCAGAGGTGTTGCTTTACGGATTCCCCTGGAAATGACCATCCCATTGGATCCGCCAAGGGACCCAATCGTGTGGCGAGAACTCCTTGTGTCGCTTCTGAGCCTCGGAAAATGCGGGGCGGAAGTACACCCCTTATGTCATGTTCTTGTCGTTGGAAAAACACCTGCACTGTTAGAAACAATGGATTTAAACAAGCTTGTCACGTTAGGAAGAGGGTCTCCCACATGAGGTGCTCATTGTAAAGATGTGTCGACCGATGTATCCGACGACTTGCCGCCATCCTGGTGGCAGAACTATGTATCGAACTTTCTGGGCTTTGTGGAACCCATAATAACTGTATATATATATATTATATTATCATATATTATCATTATATAACTCGTTCAAAGCAGAATTTCTTGCTGCCAAACCGCAGTTTTTATGGGATCTGGATGAATCTAGAATACAATCTTTTAACACGATTAATCCCATACTCCAGATTACTCTACCCTGTTGTCATGAGATATCTTGACCCTATGTTCAAAACAAACCACTCCTGGCGGAATTTCGCTGCTAAAAAAAAACATAAAAAACACTTCGAAGGTGCTACAATCAGCTGGTAGGTCAACGCTTAGCAGCTTAGCATGTATTCAGACTTGTGGTGGCAAATGTATACCCTGGCCACGGTCGCTCTGCCCGGACCCGAACTGGGCATCTAGTGCCCACTTCGGCAGGGCGTGCGTCACGCGCTCATCCCGATACCTTGGTTTCACAGCATCGTATGGCTTCTGGAACAACAACTGTTTGCCTATTTGTTTCTACCTGTATGTTCCGTTAATTGCCTTTATCAGTACTGTTACTAAACTTTTTGCTGTATTATTTGTTGCTTGATTTCTCCCGCAAAAGTTCGTTTTACAGGCTGGCCTGCGGCTTGCTTGGGGCGGTGGTCGGATGAGTTTCAGGATTCAGCACTGAGCGCATGGTACGAGCTCCCCGCTATGAGGCTTGGGCAACCCGACTCGGCAGCAGCCAAACCTCCGTTTGGGCAACAAGATGCAACAAGTCACCGGGCAACCTTTGGTGATTTGGGTACTTGCCATATGATGCCATTTTGGAACAAACCCAACCCATCGACCCAGCTCTATGGGCCTTCTGGTCAGAGACCGACAAAACTTCGAACCGGTATGCACCGCTGGTCAAGATATAACATGATATAACATATTCTTCTAGGCCAAGAAGGGATGAATTAATGATGAATTCATGATGAATGTCTGGAAAAGACAGCCAGAACCTTCGCTCCTCGGCAGGACGGTTTCAGACTTTGGGAATCAATTTTTGACTTGGCGTTGCTTTTGACCGGCAGCAGCACTTTAACTTTGGGATACTTTGGGTACTTTAAATCTCATAATTTTGGTCTGCTTGAGTAAGGTGAGAATCAATCATGGGCCAGTTGATAATCCCGAATAAATCAAATAGATCCAAATGTATAAACGAGTATCAACCACCCACCATTTCTCCATAATTTGCAAGTTTCTTGGGTGAAATAATCCCAAAATTTGATGGTTCAATGCAAGTTAGTATATATCAATTATATATCTGATTAAATACCCAATCAACACCATTTATCCATATTTATCCATTGTAAATCCACATGTTTGATGCTGCAAGTCCCTGTAAATGATGTTTTTTTTGGCACCCTAGACTCCCCTTCAACATTTTCAGCGCGGCTCGCCAAGGGGCCACGGGTGAAGCGGACAAAGTCCACAGGCTCAAAGAAGCCCAGGTGCCGGTGTAAATGTCGACCTCTATTAATGGATACACAATGGATATACCATGGATATTTCATGGTATATAACGGTATATATTTATATATACACATATTCTAAACATATCTAAATATGGTATTATATGGCCCTGCAATCATAATGGTTATTTGATGGAGACAAAATTGATATCAATCTTTTGAAAACTATGCTATTTGATGGAGACACAATGGATATTAGGCTATACATCTATTTGAACCACTCCTGGGAGGACAATTAGTTCCCCTCCTATTGACCAACTGGGTTCGCAAAATCCTCATCCATTAGCTGATTTTTCCAAGAAACGTTTTCCCATTACAGTACATGTATTTGAAAAACATGGATAAATCCTGGTCTTCTTGAACATTTCAATCACTATTTTTGTTGGTTAACACACTATTTTTGTTGGTGAAATCCCCATATTTCTGGGCGGAGAACATGATTATCAGGTCACCAATCCATCCCATCCGCCCGAGCGACAGAGAGTCGAAAAGAGCGCGTGGTCCTCAGGGCCTGAGGGGCGACGTTTGTTCATCATCTTGCCCCTGAACATCCGTGAGTGTGTATGAACATCGGAATTGAACATTTTCAGGGGTATGGTACGGTATGGCTATTGTGATGAGTATACCACATCTATTGTATACCACATGTATACGACATGTATCGACATGTGCAATAATATTTGGGAATCATCCCCAAATCGATCCATCAAGCGTAGGGGCTTGACCAGAGTCGGGGCCCAAATCCTTCAAGCTGTTGAGTTCTGGGCATTCAACTACAAACATCACTCTAACCTGCCATCCATGAGGAAGTCTGAAGAAAAACATAGAAAAACCATTGGCTGCAGCGAAGGAATGGGCTAATCATGTCCGCCATGGAACTTGCGACATTCTCTTTCACTATTTCTGCAAGCAACCAATAAAAGCAATCAGAATCATTGAGAATGAGAGAACCCAGAGAATGCGAGAATAAATCGAACGGTTTGAGGGAAAATTGAAACCGAAAACCATGGTTTTCAGAGGGGGTCCTGCAAAATTTCATATCATCCAATAGAGAAAAGTGAATTCTGCTGCCGCATCACAAAACCTCCACCGATCCCACGGCAGGAGGCATCTTCTGGAGAAGATCTCTGTAACACGGGCCACGTCATAACCTGGGATGGAGAACTTTGGAGGATTCTCGTACTTAGTTGTTGCCAGAGTTCCAGAATGTTCCAGAGTTGGAACTGCAATTGATCATTAGAACACCTGAAACAAAGGGATGTAATGTGGGGAAAACAATAATACACATTAATAAACCATCCCTCAAATCGAGAAGGGTACGACACCACTTTTTAAACTTATTGATCCAAATCACGCTTGCAAACGGTTCAACAACAAAAAAACGCTAGTTTTAAGCCATGATTTGATTTGTTCAGGCAGCATGTATGCAAGGAATTTTGAAGAGTTTTAACGAAATTTAAGGAATTTGAAGGAAATTGACGGAATTCTAAGGAATTTTAAGGGATCTTAAGGAATTCTACAGAATTCTAAGGAATTCTAAGGGATTTTAAGGAATCCTAAAGATTCCAAACAAAAATCTAAGGAATTTAAAAAAAAAAACATGAATTTTAAGGAATTTGAAGGAATTTTAAAGAATTTGAAGGAATTTCAAGCAATTTGAAGAAATTTAAGGAAATTTATGGAATCGTAAAGAATTTTCAGGACGAAAGTTTTGTGCTAAGGACGTTCATATGGCAGGCACAAGCAAGAAGGGTATAAGAGAGAGAGAGAGAGAGCGAGCGAGAGGTGACCGTCTCAACCATTGCAACCACTCCAAAAAAATACAACTCCAACCACCTTTCAGTCGTCAGTGGATTCGCTCTGCCATCCGTGATTCACAACAACCGAGCTCTCCTATCGGTTTCCTATTCTGAAACTTCCGTCACCGCCTTGTGCGGTACTACTGGTATACAAATACAGCTATAATCTCAAAAAATCTTTAAACGTCCTTAAATTTCCTTAAAGTTCCTTTAAATTTCTTAGAAGTCCTATGGCACTAGAAAGAATCACAAACCCAGAATCACAGACCTAGCCCTAGAAAGAATCACAAACCCAGAATCACAGACCTAGCCCTAGAAAGAATCACAAACCCAGAATCACAGACCTAGCCCTAGAAAGAATCACAAACCTAGCAAGGGAGATGCTGAGGAACATGCCTGCAATACTAAAAATCAATGCTGAAAGCATTTTTGTATGTGAAATACGACACAAAAACAAAACATATAGAAAACAATAAATCGTGGCCAAGAGGATAAACAAAAACGTAGTATGGTATAAGATTAATTCGAGGTACGTGAAAGTCAAGTTATAGTAACCAAAATTAAATCGTGGTTGGGGCCCCATGTACCCTCAAATCACCATCTTTATAGGTGGTATAAACCATTCCCAGTCATGGGTGGTTTATGGCATTGTTTTACCCACATTGTTAGGGATATGCCCCCAATTGCTAGGCATCTCAGGTGGTCCGGAATTTTGTTTCACCAGAAGAAAAAACGGACAACTTCAGCAATTGGCTGAGGCTAATCATCAAAATGACATTGAAATCAAAATCACCCAATGGAAAGATATTCAAAAAAGTAAATGTGTGTATATAATTGGTTTTCACATCCAATTTTTATACACGATCAGTTTTGATCCATCACTGATATCGATCTGTGGCCCGAGCACTCCCTGGTCTCATCTTTCAGCCCCATCAGGCGTTGAGCTAGGGCCTGTCAGGTGCAGTGCTACAGCCCGGGTGGCAACGTCTGAGTTTTTTTTTGGGGGGTCACTCTTTAGTGGTTTTGGATGTAGAATGAACCCAGAAGTAACCACACAAGAAAACTATAAAAATCAAAATAACCAATCTATAGAACATTATAGACTATAGAATATAATATATATATATATATATAATATATATATATATATAATATCCACGTGGGTAGATGGTGGGGTAGTAGCACTAAGTTCCCAAGAAGTGGTCCTTTCAGTCCCTGCAGCGGCAGCCTCTCGATATGGCTAGGCAATATCACCCTGGGCTGGCTAAGCTGGCTTTTCCCTTCTGAACCACAGACTGAGCGTCATGAGCACAAATGCGTGCACATCGACCTAAGTGTTCTTTAACACTTTCATGCCCCCGGGTTCCTCCAGTTTCCACGGTACTTTGGGGTCACCAGACACACACTCGTCAGCATGTATGTTTTGTGCGCGTTGTGTTGTTTCTGTGTGTCCTTCAAAGGTCTCCATCCCTTCGCTCCTTCTCTTCCGGGCTGATCTCATCTTAGGATCGTTCACGATCCGCCAGGTTCCACCCATTTGATAAAACATTTCAAGTTCCTTAGCTCCACTCTTTGTAAGAGCGTTCCCAAGTTGGGCCTCAGAGTGAACCCACCGTACCCGAACAACGTTGTTTCTTTGAGCTGACTTTAAGGAAAGGAGTTCAAGATCTACCCTACGCTCTTGACCCTTGATAGACAACTCTTCCGTCTGAAGTTTGTCGAAAACATTTCTTGAATCAGATATCACACAACCAGGTATCCGATTAACCGTACTGTCAACATCAAAAACATTTGTTTCCGCTTCAAGGTATTCTCCAAATTGGTACCTAGCATGAAACAGATAGTCCTCTCCTGATACTACTGCTCTCGCCTCTGCGGCTCCCGGGCTTCTGGAAACCCTCTCTATCTTACTTGAGTGCCAAGCTACCGGAGTTACTTTTTCCACATACCCTTCATACAAACGTTCAGGGGCTATTCCCACAAAAATCCCTTGGGTGCTGCTTCCGTCCCTCCGGTTTTGACAAGCAGCATCAGCCCAAACATACATTCCCAGTTTTTCATTGGGGTGAAAGGCATGAACGATCATCTTATGTTCTTTTCTTTGCTTAGCCTCATACAGGAGTTTGTTGGCCCTGACTATTGTCTCAACATTGCTATTGGTAACTTCAGAGAGCAACAACCCTACTGATGCAGACAGGTGCGGTGCACATTGTTGGCTGTACCAACTCAAAGCTCCCAAAAGACCTCTGAGCTGGGTCTTTTCTCTGTTAGTGGTTGTTTCTTTGGTTTGTTTTCTCCTACCCGCACTCAAACAGATTTCGCTGACCTTGGTGAGGTATTGTTGTTGGCTCAGGTGAAATGAACCATCCTTTTGTCTTTCAATTTTTACCCCACACTGGACAAAATTGTTCTCTTCCCATTCTCCCCACTTGAATCTTTGTTGGATCCTTTTCTCCAAGGCACACCATTCCGGGTCTTTGGGGTCCCCAGTAAACATGAAATCGTCCACATGTCCCGCAACCAACCCTTTCAACTTACCATTCACCTTGAACATCCAACAACAGGGGTCCGACCAAGATTTAGTAAGCCCTTCTTCTTCTAAATAAGAGGAAATAGTCATGTACCATTCAAGGGGGGCATCCACCAATCCATAACAACCCCGTTTGACTTTGACAATTTCTTCCGGGCCTAATCCCATAGCTTCGAGGATTTCGGGGCAAGGAACACAATACAATTCATTGGGATATTCCCTCCCCTGAAGGAAGGCCCCACTCACATCTCCCTTTTTCACACCCCATTGTCGCCAAGATGCCACCTGCAAAAGAAGCTGTCTTGTTTGGCGTGTCATGACCGGTGTTGTTGTGGCTCGAAACTCATACATGGGATCTTGGTAACCCTTTAAAATGGCCCTGGCCTTAGCCTTATATCCCCCATCATCAGTTCTTTTCCAAGTCAAAATCCACCGCATCCCAATGGTTTGGTCTCTTGAGGGTCTCAACTCGGGGGGTATAGCTTCAAACGCTTGGGTTGCAAGGTAGTTAGTGACCTCTTTGTGTTTGGCTTCCCGAAACTCCTCCCTTTCTTTCGGGGTCAATCTCTTTTCACTAACCTCAACAGCCCTGCGTTTCAACTGGTTCACAAAATACCCCCCCAAATCTTCCGCCATCCGACTCATCCCTCTTTTGGTTTCCGGGACGGGAATTTCAATTTGGACAGAGGCTTCGGGGTTCTCCCAAAAATGTTCCCCTTTACTTTCGTGGTACACATCATCAGGGACCTGAATCCACCAGGCTTCTTCGAGGTGTTCTCCCATTAAACCCTTGTTAGGTCCACTGGTTCTGAGGTGTTTGGGTTCTCCCCTACTTCCACTGCTAAAAGGGTCACCAGTTCCTCCATCTCTTGTTGGGTCGACTGGTCGTTTGCCCCAATGTCTCACCTTGGGATTTTGTCGCACTAAGTTCTGCTGGTCTCTCTGCCAAGTTGCCAAGTCCGGGATCTCCCCCGTGATGTCATCCATTTCATTTCCACCCAAGGCACTTGCCACCCGTGTGAAATTCCAGGGGGCTTTGTTTTCTTCAGGGTTCCCCAAAAATTCAAGGAGTTCCTCCCTCTCTGAGGCAGGTCTCAACTGTTCTGGACAGCACTTGATTAGGCGCCTTCCCCTAACCAACCAAATCGAACTACTTTCTTTGAGGTTCCCATAGCCATCCCTGTGTTTTTCGGTGGCCAAAATCCTTGCGGGTCCCATGAACATACCATTCTTTCCGGGGTTCTTACCACTCACTTGTTTCCTCCAAAAATAAACCATGTCCCCAGGATAGTAGTCATATTTGGGTTTCGCCCTAGAGTTCATCCCTCGGTTGATTCTCTGTTCAGCCTGCCACTCCGCCAAAGCTTGTTCGGCTTGTTTGCGCAATTGGATCCCTTCAACACAATCTTCACCGGGGTTAGGAACCATCAACTCATGTCCCTTATGGTTTTCAGGGGTGACAAATCTCCCAGTTTCATCGGGGGCTCTTCCCAAAACATGTTGACAGGGGGAAAAACCTCTCACCATCTCTCTCTCATTAAAGGTCTTCACCGCAACCGTCAACAAATCTTCGGGGTCTTTTTCGGGGTCTCCCTCAGCCAACTTCATCATAACCATTTTTAACCCCTTCACAGCTTGTTCACAAGTTCCCAATTTCCAGTGGGCCTCCCCCGGTATCACGTCCAGGTAAATTTCATGTTGGTCACACATGTGTTCTATTTCCCGGCTCCTGAAAGCCCCCGCAGGATCTAACCGCAACACATTTGGGGTACCGAAAAACTGAAACCAACCATCCCTCAGGTATTCAACAACTTGACCGGCATTCATGGTTTGGTGTTTCCCCTTTTTCATCACTTTGGCAGTTCGGTACCTAGATCCCTCATCAATGACAACCACAAACTCATAGTCCTCATGAGAAACGGGGTGATTCCACTTGGCCCCATCCGCACTTATGGTCATCAACTTTGGGGGTAAAGGTTCCAGTGAAGCTACATGTTTTGACCCAATCTTCTTCCCTTCGTGACACACTGAACACCTGAAATCCTTAGCAAGTTGGATGATGCGAGCACTGGCTCCACGTTTCTGTAGTGCCGTCACAAGGTTTCTGGTGTTTGAATGTCCTGTGGAAGCATGGAGAAGATACAGTTTCCGTTTGATCTCCTCTTCGTTTGTTTCGTTTTTCAACTGCTGAACCCCACATGCCATTTCTGTTTCGGCGTTTGTTTCCGTTTTGTCCTGGTCCATGTCTGTTCCATCAGTTTGCTGCCTAGGGGGCTGTTGTTCGCGTGGTGGGTCTTGTTGTGATTGCGCATCACATACTTTTTCCTCAGATGCATGGGGCACCACACAGGCACCGCATTTCATTTCAACAGCATGTTCACGCAAACTGTGACACACACAAGCGATTCCTTCCCCAAAGTTGCATGGCAGGCACGTACGGCCATCAATTTCCCTCAGGAGCTTCTCGTGTGTGAGCTCCTGCAAAATTGGTTTCACAGCGCGCTTCGCAAACTCAGGTGTGTAGTACGCGGTACTTCTAGCTATACCACCATCACATTTCGCGTGTTGATACCCCGGTGCACAATTGCATCTCTGGTTCATCGTGTCCGCAAGATGTGCATGTGTGGTCATAAGTTTCCAACCCTTGTGCAGAAAGGTTTCGGTTCTGGGGTCACGCAAGTTCACTCGGCAGCCATGTGTCACGGCAGTGTATGGCTGGTACTTTTTCATCAGTTTCTGCAACATGGGTAACCTCCAAGCCTGACACCTCTCCGCAAGTTCCCAGGTCACATGAATACCTTTTTGGCAACAGTACTGAAAAATGCAACTAGCACCCACATACTGTTTCAAGGCTCTTTTCCGTTTTCCAGCGAGCTCAGCGACTTGCTCCGGTGTTCGCTGGTTAATAGCTTGCATGGGTGAGTAGGGGCCACATTCCGGGGATAACCAAACATGCCCTGGGTCCAGTTGGTCAATGAGTTTGATGCAGTGTTTAACCCCTTCGCCCGTTTCAAGATCACAGCCATTCCAGTGTGAACATCGTACTGCAGCAGTCTCTCTACCTAAAACCTTTTGAACCTCTGAGCTGAGACGGCTCTCTGGTGAACAAGCCACTTCCAACAGGACAGTCTCTTTGCTGAGGAGTTCTTGAAAGGCTTTTGGTCCCAGATTCTGAGATTCTTGCTCGAAAAACCGAGCCATGGAGTCACTTATAGTGGTCACAGTTTTCTCGTTTGTTTCTGGTGACTCTTCTTCTACGCTACCAACTAAGCCTGCTGCCGATGCTACGTCACTCACTTGGGCTGGTTGCTCACCAGGCTGAAACTGGCCTCGCTCTTCACCTCGGTCTTCTTCCGGGGTCGCTCCTCGCGCAACTCTTGCAACTCTCCCTTCATCTCTTCCATGGTCGCCATCATCTTTGTCATCATGTGTTGGGCTTCGACCAGGGCTTGTGTTGAGCTGGTCGGTGCCTCGCTGGGCTCTGGCTCTGCCTTCACACAGGTCTCGGTCTCCCCTTTGGACTTGACATACTGCTTGGCCAGGTAGTGTGGCATTTTTACCTGGTCCTTGGGCTCCATGTTCAGCCACTTGACAAACCTGCCAAGTCGCAGGCTGTGTTGTCCTTCGCTGGCTGTGGTCTGCGCCCAGGTGCAGTAGCCCGCATGCTGACTCTTGACCTCGGCATAGGTCAGGCTGGCATGCTGTCCAAAACCCATCGGGTCCTGGCCATCTGGTTCTGTCAAGAGGTAGATCTTTTCCATGGCTTGCTTCTGGAGGACCGGGATCGTTTCCTGACCACTCAGAGTAAGGCCCAGATCCGACTGGCAAAACTCTTGGAGTGCTCTCTTTTTCTTCATGGCCTGGTTGAGGCGCGTCACCCATGTCATCAATTCCGTTTGGTGGTGGCGACTGCGGCGCAACTTGTCGATGCCCAGTTCTTCCTCCACCTCCATCAGTCTCACCTTCAGCTCTGGGTTCTTCCACTGGGCAGGAGGTTCCTCCCCTAGTTCTTTCAGAGCCTCTTGGAGCTGATGACGGTTCATGGCATGGACGGTCGGCATGGCTATCTAGTTGTTCCGCTCTCTGCAACCTGCTGTGAGTGTCTTCACGGCTGGTGGTGGTCACATGTCCATGTGTGTGAGTCCTGTGTTGTGAGAGTGCGCGCTGTGTTTGTTTGTCCATGTCCACACACACACCCACCATTACCAGCCTCAGCTTCTTCCCCCTTAAAAGTGGAAACTGGTTCAGTAACCCTGGCCTGAAAAATTTCCTCTCCCTCCCTTTCTCCGTCAGACCTCGGATAAGAGAGGAGTTGTCCCTAGCAAAAACTACTCAAACTGGGAACCGCGCTGTGACATTGCACAGAGTTGCTGTACAAGTTCTCAGTCAGCGGCAGAAGTTGGTGTCCAGATTGGGACCTCAGGGCCTTGATCACTCGGCGGTCGTCAAGCTTCCGAAAGACGATGAGGTCTGCCTCAAAGTCTATGATTGCGCCCAGTGACCTCAAAGTACTGATTGACAGCAACACAGGCCCCTGTCCTTCTTCCAAGGCATGTACCTGCAGGATGCCCTTCTGGTCTCCTGCCTGTATCTGAACTTTTGCAGTGCTCACGCATTGATTGCGGCTGGAGTTTCCAAAGCCGAAAGTCGGCTTCTGTTCTGGGTCAATCTCCAGAATGCGATCATCACTGTGTTTGCGGAAGTTCTCCGCGGCCACGGCTTCTAGGGCGTGGACGCTACCCAAAGTCTTTGTTGCTCCACCATCGATGATGCCATAGCCCTTCAGGACGGCCTCTTCGGTGGTCATGGCGTCCTGGTTCGTCACCATGGCGGCCTCATCTCGGGCATAGCAGACAAAAGGTGCTGACTCTGCCTTCTGTGCCTCTCCTGCTCTCGGTGCCTGTCGGTCTGGACAGTTGGCAATCTTGTGATTGCCTCCACACCTAAAGCATTTGATGGGCCCTGATTTGCTCTTGTACTTCTCAACCTCGGTCTTGTAGTATTGTCGGTTCATTTTCACCTGGTGTTGCTTTGCCCTTGCCTCTCTCAGCGTCCTCTGCGCCCTCTCGATCACTGCCATTGCCTCTTCTGCCTGTACTTCTGCATCAGCCATCATGGCCAATCCCTCTTCATTCATACCCTCCTCTTGGAGGCTCTGAATCGTCATTCCTTCTCCACCTATGGGTTCTCCATCTACCTCATCCTGCCAGTAGCTGGCCTGTTTCATTCCTTGGTCGTGGTCACGAAGTTCTTCTTCTGGCCATTGGGTGCGGAGTTCTTGGGCGATTCGTTCGCTTCCAAAGTCTCCCTGTACTGCCGTCTGGACCAGGTTCCTCTCGGAGCTGGTCAAGTTGGCATCCATCAGCAGGTACCAACCCTGCAGGAAATCTGGTAGAAGTTCTGGCGTCTCATGAAGCCATCTCTCGTTCTCCTGTGTGCCCCATGGTCCATAGTGGTCATTGTGCCACTGTCCTTGGTAGCTGCTGTGCCACTGGCTGGGTGCATCCCACTCTTCGGCGGCATCTTGGAAGTCCTCTGACTCCTCTTCCTCATTGTTTCGGCGCTGTGCCCATGGGTCCTCATTGTTCTCACTCTGGTCTCGCTGGCTCTGGCCGGTGTTTGACCAGTCATCTCGCCACGAGGTAGCGCTTCTCCTCGAAGGTTGCCACGTGGAACTCCTCCATGAAGCCTCGTCCCACCGGCTGCTGGCTCGTTGGTCTGGCAGCACTCGTGCAAGTGCTTGTCGGGCCCTCTGATACACTTCTGTCTTTCTCACTATGTACTGGTTCATCGATTCAAACTTCCTCCTCTTGCTCTGTTTGAAGTATCTATTCAGATACTCCGACAGCTCTGGTATCTGTGGCCTTCCAAGGCTCTTCCTCAGGTGCTGCATCAGGTATGTCACTCCTCCACTGAAGCTCAGCCAGTCCGGCCTCTTTCCAGTGACAAACTTCCTTGCCGTACCACTCATTTCCTGTATGAGCTTTGGCCCACACAGGTACCTCTTCCCATAGGCTATGGATTGCTCACATTGGAGCGCTTGCTCTTCATATTCTTGAAAGCTCGCTGCTTCCCCACTCCATTGGGGAACTCCTTCTTTGTTTCGGCTGATGCCCTCCACCATCTCTCCACGGCTTTCTCAAAGGGTCGTAGACCGCTTTGAGCTCTTGGCTTTCTCAAAGGGTCGTAGACCGCTTTGAGCTCTTCTCTTTTCTCACACGAACCTTTCTAGGCTCCGCCTACCATCCACGTGGGTAGATGGTGGGGTAGTAGCACTAAGTTCCCAAGAAGTGGTCCTTTCAGTCCCTGCAGCGGCAGCCTCTCGATATGGCTAGGCAATATCACCCTGGGCTGGCTAAGCTGGCTTTTCCCTTCTGAACCACAGACTGAGCGTCATGAGCACAAATGCGTGCACATCGACCTAAGTGTTCTTTAACACTTTCATAATATATATATATAATATAATATATATATATATATCCGACTTGTACCTCTAAATTTCCAATCAAAGCATGGCATAATTTTCGATCGCTCAATCCTCAATCCTCGACCCAGCAATATCCAGTTCGCCTGGAAGAAACCGGGCACAAACTGACCTCCCATGGCTGTCGTCCCAATGGGCCAATGGGCATGGCTGGGTTTACCACCCCTGCTGAACACCAAAATCCATCCTCATTTGGACATGGCAACACCTGGATTTGAACCTTATAACGTTGACGTGCCGCGACAACTGACTGCGACCACTGTAAGTCGGACTTTCGTTTCAGAAATAAATGGGCAATGGCAATGCTCATTTATACCCCAGTTTTGGAATGAAGCACAATCAAAATGTGGGCACACCAGCCCGTTAGTATATACAACCGCAAGACAGTGGAGTACAACGTACAACCACCAATCAACCTGAGACATTCATTTCCGGATTCTGTTTCATCACAGTCTTTTTTCTTTTTTCCTGGTTGATATCCCCCCGTTTCATGCTACCGTATGCAGTCAGTAAAACTTTACTTATCGGTTCATATATGTTCATATAAATTCATATCGATATATTATCATATTCTTGACGGTGAGTTCATCGTTGCTGGACCTTATCATTGGGACCTGGGTCAGGTTGCTGACCAGGTACCTTTATGATCAACCTCCGCCATGAAGCACGCAGCTGCAGCCACGCCCCTGCCAGCGCCCCCGGAGATTGGCTGTTCAAACATTGGAGGACTTGGGTTGTTCATAGCTCGCAACTGGTGCCCAGCAATGCACATGGAAGAAACATGAACAAACCGTGCCGCTACATCATCCGGTTATGACTAACAGTTCGCCATGGAAAGATCCACCCATTTTTAAGAACGGTCAACCGTTCGGTAAACCATCTATTTCGATTAGGGCCATCTATACCATGGCTATGTTAAATAATTAACCAGAGGGTATATATGTACATCTATAAATGGGCCATCATTTTCCATCAAACTCTTTGATGAAATCCCGGTGCCATTGGCTTCTCGGATCAACACCCCAACGTTGGCTTCCCGGTGCCTGCAGGTCAGTGTGTCACGATCCTGTCGAATCTGGTTGAACATTTTGCGGTACCTGTCTTTGCTGAAAAAAGTGGGGCCTCCAAGATAGCCAAGTTTAGAACTACAATATATCAAGGGGATCATGTTTCTTTTTGGGTCTTTGTGGGTGATATTAATCTTTAGTTTTTTGTGGGGCCAAACTAAAGCAACCGGCACCGAAGCTCGCAACCGGCAACGGCCACCCGTCGTTAGGGCACAGATCTTCCACTTCTCCACGTGGCATCACGGGAGACAAGGCAGAGCCAATTTGGGCCAAACTGGTCGCTGGATAGTCGTACCTCGGGCTGATCATTTGGAGGTTGAAACAGCGACTGGTTTTGAAAAAGCTGTGGGATAGCGGATGAGCACATGCAATTTAGAACATATATCAAACAGGGTACGTACTCATGTAATATATATATATATAAGTATATTATTATTATCTATAATATTGCAATATATTGCATTATGTTCTATGATTCTATGACTCAATACATACATGTTCCGTGCAATCCTGTATGTATATGCCATGTCTATCTAGTTTTACTGAGAACTTGGAACTCATTGGTGTTCCATGATGAAATACCCTTGGAACCTCCTTGATACCCTAGAATAAGATTTTAAGGGATCCCGAATTTTATCAAGTTCTACTGGCCACCATCCCAAAATTTGCCGCTTAAATATACTCATCATTGTCAATGTTTTGCCGATAGCAGCACAAAGGCATAGGCATAGCCGTCATAGCCCATCATGGCCCGGAAGGCCATGGACACTGCAAATGAGGATCAAAACCATGCAAAAATTATCAAATATGACCAAAAATCATCAAAAATCATCAAAAACGATCAAACATGATCAAAGATCATAAAACATGATCAAAAATCATGAAACATGTTCAAACATCAAACATGTATAGATAGTTTAGTGACTCAAAAAAAAAAAGAATTGATCGGCGCACCAATGCTCGCCCACATGCGCCAAGATTACCTCGAAGAGCCGAATGTCGTGCACCTGGGGAACCGAACTGATGATATGATGGGTTTGTCTTAAAGTGGTGTATGCACCCATATACACCCCCCAAAAAAATGCAATTTAACATATTTAACCCAAGGAAACAATGATGAACACTAATTATCATAATGTGGGCGTAACATGGTGTTTCACCAAGCTATTTTCAGACAAACCCATGTTGGCTATGCTATGGGGCGAGAAGAGGTTGCCAGATTGGTTTCGTGGTATCTCCCCACGAACAACATGGGACCTGCGAGCGAATACACTGACAAGCAATAGATAGCATAATAGTAGCTTAAGTCCAATTTCAATCAAATTCAGATATGGGTTTGTCGAAACATTGGGTACACAGGTACATCTAAATCCAGCAGTTTCTCATCATTTTCCCATCCGCAGACGTCCTCAAAATGCCAATTTTGGGGTACAGCCCATGTTCAAACAAAGCCTCATATGAATGCCCAAAGTCAGTCTGAGACTTTGATAGACTTTGGATGACTTCGGGGCTAATGCCTTGATCTTTTTCCTGGGGAGTGTCTCAAAGACATGCTTGAAGCAATGGTTGACTCATGCTTCGGAATCCCTATGAAAGGAATTAGACATCGCTTAGCATTTGCGGCACGCCAAACGTTCTACCCCGATCATCAGTGATCCATTGATTGATAAGTTGATATGCTTTGATCAAATCTAATAATCGACACATATCAACAAGTAAGGGGCTGCCAACACCTGGTTGTCCACCACTGAAATTCTAAAGTCTGATCTCTCTACGGCTAAAGCAATGACGGCCATAGCACATTTCAATTTCGGTGTGTGTTCTTGGAGGAAGGCGCTGTTAAGCAGTGAGACAATCAGTGAACTGGTGGGGATTCGGAGCTTGGCAGCAGGTGGGAAGCAGTTTCAACATCCTAAACGCCAGAAGCATAAGCAAAACTGCTTGGAGTAGTCATCTCAGCCTTTGATGATTTTCATGATATGGGCACTGCCACTGAACATTTCCACATGCTCCATGGCCAAAAACAAACTGTACAGACTCACTGGGGCCATCTCCCGGCCTTCAGCCTGGTCATGGACTGGCACAGCTTCGCCAAGGTAGGCCTTAGTGACATGCCCCTTTCGACTGAACTGGACAAAGCATGGATCACAAGTTGCCCCAAGATGGTCCCTAACTTCAACCCATGCCCACAATTTATCAATAAAATGACGGACAACTTGCCAGAATATCGAAGTGTTTGCTTTCAGGTGCATTCTCATTCTGATGAAAAACGAAAGGGAAGCAATAACCCAACTTTGCCAAAACGCAATAACCCAGCTTCTCAATGAAATCCCTTCAAATCCCTTACCTCTGGTAATTTAACAAGCTATTGAAAATGACCATAGAAATAGTGGATTTACCCATTAAAAATGGTGATTTTCCATAGCTATGTTAGTTTACCAGAGGGTAACTGTTCAACCAGAAGCAACCAGGCTGCCTGGGCCTTGAACACTGGACAAATGTGGACAAGTCGTGACAAGTATACAGCATACCCTCTGGTATCCTCTGGTAAACCAACAAAAAACTATGGAAAATCACATTTTTTCATGGGAATATCCACTATAAATGGTGATTTTCAATAGTTATGTTAGTTTACCAGAGTGTACATCTTTAAAAACATCCCGGAAATGCACAACGCGCACGATTTAATCGGAGGCCCACCTACTGTAATCGTAGGCAAGTGACGGTGTGGGACCAGGAAGGCCCTCGAGTAGCAAAGTCTGCGCCTGGCGATAGTCTAACGATGTTTCAATGGATTCAAAGGGAACATCTACAGGAACCCATGATAACCCATGTTTTTTACCACCAAATATCAAGGTTTCCTGCAGATTTTCCCTCAAATCAATTTCTGGGAATGTTAAAATTTCCCCATCATTTCAATCGTTTGAACCTGTTTCCAGGTTTGGCAAAAACAAGGCCAAGAGTAAAAAAAAACATGAAACTATGAAACTCTCTTCGAATATGGACCATAGCCGGGATTCTGAGGGTAGACCCGACTCCTCAAAAACCGTAAGGACACTGCAAACAATCTGGCAAAACGATGGTTGGATGATGGTTCTAATATGTTCTAATCGACCCACATCTGCGGCCATAGGCCCCTGGGAGGATATATTCCCCACCATCACTTCCTCCCCGATCCACCTGCAAGGAAACCATCTCGAAGAAGGAATAATCCTGCGCTTGGAGTGGGAAGCATGCGAAGCATGCGAAACGTGGCAGGTCAAAATGCAAATGTGACTGGAAATCACCAATGGATGTAGAAATTAATCCATTAGAATACCCAGATGTAGAAATATCCACCAATTGGCACTAGTCCGAATAATAGATTCACCAATTGAGAACAATAACAATTGAATAATCCAAATCAATTGAACACTCAGCAAATGAATCCAAAGAAAAACAACCATGAAAGACTCTGGAAATCAATGGTTGTTCAACGATGTGTTCCGACAGGTTATCATGATGACCCGACCATGAAATTTAACAGGTCTGCTCTCATGATGCTTGGATGTGCATCGAACCTAGAAAGTGGCTTATAACATTTTACATCCCATCTATAACTGTTTTTTTTGTTTACCACGTAACATAGTTACTTGTGGTATAATATTGTATAAATACATATATATATGTATAATATGTACACAACATATACATATATAGATTATATAGTATGACATATAGTATAGATATGTTTTTTTACTGGGGGCATCCGACTCATCCGAATTCTCCACTTGCCATGCCGCCCTGCCGGAACTCTCCTGAAACTTGAGCTGGGCAAAGGCATCTCCAAGGTCCATGAGCTGAGCGAAGTCAGGACAGGAGCCTGGGATCACCTGGCGATTCCCGGTTTAACGGCCCAACGGCTGAAGGACTTCGGCCAGGAAAACATGGGTTTTTTAGATTTTATATGGTTTTATGATGTATTATGGCCCGAAATTGGATGGATTAATGATGCTTAATCAATGAAATGGGATGAAATGGGCTTGAAATGGCTTAATTAATGGGATATTTTGACAAGTGTCCCTTTTTATTAACAGCAAATGGGGATTTGACGAACATGCAAAATGGCGTGAAGCCTCTCGAACCCAAGCACAGTTATTGCACCGACTGTGGAAATAACAACAACATTTATATATATACATCAAGCAACTGTCCCTCGAAAAGAGCCCCCAAATTCTAAAACACGCCCGTTTCCAGTTTGCAGTGTGGGCTGGAGGCACTGGGTTTAAAGCCAAAAACTATCTGTGGTCATTCATCTCAAGAGAGACCATGAGAGGCTGGCAGGTCTGAGTTGATGGTATTTGGCTGCCGGCAAAAATGCAGGCACTTTCGTGAAGACCATGCTTGAAATCATGGTTGAAATCATGTTTGAAATCAGCAAGAGTCATCAAGTATGGTATCATAGCTATTAGCTATTGAACCCTTTCCAATCTTCCACTCATTAAATCAATAGCCATTGTTTCGAACCATACTATGTACCCTCAATCGGACCTAGGTTTGTCAATCTCGGGCAACGTTAAAAATCACCCCAATTTCTGTCCATTTCAAGGGGAGTTCTCAGCCAGCTACTGGTTGGTGGTTTCAACCACCCCCCTGAAAAATGATGGAGTTCGTCAGATTGGAGAAAATCATCCCAACTCTTGGGGAAAATATTAAACATGTTCCAAAGCACCAACCAGACTAGGAAGGTAGTATCCACCAATAACTCCTCTCTGGTTGACAAAAATACTACCCACAGAAGCGCTGGAGGACATTCCCCTGCCTCGCCGCTAGCGGCGTTACCGGCGTTACCGGCTTGCTGGACGCGGACTTGTACCTCAGCCGAATTGCTGCTTGCGGACATGATGCTCGAGCGACTTACCATGTCAGGGGTATTGAAGACCAGCTATCTAAACGTATAGAATAAGTATAGCACAATTGGGGCTCCAATTAGATTTAGATTTAGTTCAAATTATGTTCATTTGATATTGAACGAACGGGACATTTAATGAAACTGTGGACGGAAGAAATCCTGCACCAGTTAATAGGTGGTTTATCCCATTATGTATAGGATTTTCAACCATCCAAGGTGATGCAGGATTTTTTCCATCCACAGTATTATGATATATTTAATGGATATTTGATGATATGTGATCTACTGTTATGAGTTTGTTAGTTGATACTGCACATGTTTTTTTTCGCTTACCCTCCGGTGAACTAATATAACTATGGAAAATCAGCATTTCTAATGGGTAAATCAACTATTTCGACTGGGCCATTGTCAATAGCTGTGTTTACCAGGCCGGGTACCTTTGGATCCAACATATTCCCGTGCTGAGTTCCCGACCTGAGCCGAGATCTGCGACAAGAGTGTGTAGTGGCAAACTTCGGTGCTGGCAAGTGCCTGCAAAACATGACTGAAAAACGTACAATAAGACTAGGGAATTCTAGGGATGTTCATTGGATGTTCATTGGCCTAACCTTTCGCTGAACATGATAGGTTGAGGCTGCCAGATTTCTGGCAGACCTTCAACCATTGTCAGCAAAAATATACAACCAGGCTATGCCTCTTTGCTTCCAGGTCATTGCCATTGACAAACATAAAAACGAGATTCACGAGGATTCCCCGAGCCCTGGCATGAATTGATGAGGAATTCCTGCCATCCCGAATCAGCGGGTCGCAACGGTCGCGGACAAGTTCTGAATATGCCACTGACAGATAAAGATGACATCTATGTTTCGATTGATAGTAGAAACTACATTGCCTAATAAGCATAGTCATAATAGAACAACATTAATCAAATGGCTATTATCATGTAATGAACTATTATGGTATTAGTAACCATTAAGAACTGCTAGGAATTACATAATATAATAGAACATTATAGGAATTACATAACATAATAGAACACCATTAGTCAAATGGCTATTATCATGCAATCAACTATTATGGTATTAGTAACCACTAATAACTGCTAGGAATTACATAATATAATAGAACATTATAGGAATTACATAACATAATAGAACACCATTAATCAAATGGCCATTATCATGTAATCAACTATTATGGTACTTGTAACCACTAATAACTGCTAGGAATTACATAATATAATAGAACATTATAGGAATTACATAACATAATAGAACACCATTAATCAAATGGCTATTATCATGTAATCAACATTAATCAACTATTATGGTATTTGTATACACTAATAACTGCTAGGAATAACATAATATAATAGAACATCATAGGACTTACATAACATAATAGAACAACATTAATCAAATGACTATTATCATGTAATCAACTATTATGGTATTAGAAACCATTAATAGCTTCTAGGAATTACATAATATAATAGAACATTATAGGAATTACATAACATAATAGAACAACATTTATCAAATAACTATTCTCATGCAATCAACTTTTGTGGTATTTGTAACCACTAATAACTGCTGGGAATTCTAATAACTGCTAGGAATTACATAACGTCATAGAACATTATAGGAATTACAAAACATAATAGAACAACGTTAATCAAATGGCTATTATCATGTAATCAACTATGATGGTATTTGTAATCACTAATAACTGCTAGGAATTAATTACATAATATAATAGAACATTATAGGACTTACATAACATAATAGAAAAACATTAATCAAATGGCTATTATCATGTCATCAACTATTATGGTATTTGTAACCACTAATAACTGCTAGGAATTACATAATATAATAGAACATTATAGGACTTACATAACATAATAGACAAAATTAATCAAATGGCTATTATCATGCAATCAACTATTATGGTATTTGAAACCACTAATAACTGCTAGGAATTACATAATATAATAGAACATTATAGGAATTACATAGTATAATAGAACACCATTAATCAAATGGCTATTATCATGTAATCAACTATTATGGTATTAGTAACCATTAACAACTGCTAGGAATTACATAATATAATAGAACATTATAGGAATTACATAACATAATAGAACACCATTAATCAAATGGCTATTATCATGTAATCAACTATTATGGTATTTGTAACCACTAATAACTGCTAGGAATTACATAATATAATAGAGCATTATAGGAATTACATAACGTAATAGAACACCATTAATCAAATGGCTATTATCATGTAATCAACATTAATCAACTATTATGGTATTAGTAATCAATAATAACTGCTAGAAATTACATATAGTAATATAATATAACATTATAGGACTTACATAACATAATGGAACAACATTAATCAAATGGGTTCAGATGGTATCAAGTCTTCAACCAGCACGAGCTCGACTGCCCACCTGGGCCAGTCGTACCAGCTCGAGTGGCGTGACTTCATTCAGTTGCGGCCTGGGCATGGATGAGATCGCTCTGGGGGTTCTAGGCCCTGGAAATGAAGACATTGGTACCTACAACAGGTGTAACATGGGATATATATATACATATACTTTGTATATTGGAATATAATGGGATCATATATGATAATATGGAATGATAAATGATCAGAATGATCAAGATAATGTGTGGTTGTGGGATCTGTTGATACATGAGAAGATTCAAGAAACGCCATTGGATTGAAACAGAGCCCTGTAAAGCGATACGGGAATCCGTTCTTGTCCTTGAATTTGTGGCTCCTGCCATTCCTGCTTGGATATTCCGTTATCACAACTCGGATCTCAAATTCTTGCGAAATATCCATTGTCAAACAATCAACTTTGAAGATACTCAAATTTAAATAATTAGTTTTTCTATGACATTTTCCTCCCCCACCAAAAAAAGGATTCAAAAGGGCCTAAGGACCTCCTTGTTCGCAACAAGTCCACGGTTTACGGTGCCATGGCATGATGCATCTCTTGAGAGTCCACACGCAATGAGTCTGGCTATTCTGGACATCATGTCTTTGTCCTGGACCGTTGCCAGTGTTAGGTGGATCAAATCCACACGTTGCCATGGTATTCATCCCACGCCCGAGGTCATATTAAACACTCCCTTACACAAAAAAGATATAAAAAGATCCCAAACGTGTGTAACCCCCCTACTAAATCATGGTTTCTGGGGGTGTTTTAGTATGTTTAGAATCAGGACGAAGGGATTAACAGTTGATCATTCTCCCATTCAATCTCATTGATGGCCGTTTCGAGGTGCAATTCCCGGCAATCTTGGCACTGGATCTAGGACAATTTTATCCAACTTCTTGTCAGAGTAAAGGAGAAGTGCTAAGTATTGAGAGGCAAAACAGCCAAGTGATACCGGGTGGTGTATTTTCTTCTTTCTGAAACAATGACCATTGGGAGAATGAAAACGGGCAAACTTCTTGTACCCTGGTGGGCCCCCTTCCCCCGTCCTGTAGTTTGGCGATACCAAAGGCATGGGCTGTCAAGGCAAGCTGGTGTGACGTGTACCTGAGGACCATCAGGTTGTGAACATGGTGGAGTGTGGATTTTGGCATTTTGGATCAATTTCTGGCTGTCCTAATGGAATAAAATAAAGACCAACCATCAATTGTTTGGGCCATCTGTTTTCAAACAACACCCCCATGTATATATACTATTGGGTTCACTCTCACCGAGAAAAACACTAGTGTTGATAGTTGGTGTATCTCAAGGAGTGGATAGACATGTCATTGACATGCCACAAATGCGACAAGTTGCAGGCCCCGGAACTGATGGCCCTACATCCGAGCCACAAACCCCACCGTTTTTCATCTTGAAATGTATGCATCCAGATCACCCCACCACATCATATCACATTCCAAGTTGCTTAGTTTATCACTCTTACAGTAATATCCCCGTAGTTGATGTATAAATCATACCACAGTAACATCATCTAATATTCCTATTATGGATATACTATATCATACTATATCCCACGGTAATATCATGCAAGTTGTCCTTCTCCCCGCACCTGGGAAGCATCTTCCTAAGGAAGCGGGACACCTGCGGGCGCACGGCCAGCGTGTTTCCCAGGTTTCCAGGGACCCGGCGGCGCTAAGAAATACCATCTGGTTGTTTAACATAGCCATGGAAAATCCACCCATTTTTAAGAACGGTAAACCATCTATTTTCATGGGCCATCTATACCATGGCTATGTTAAATAACCAGAGGGTATCTAGAAATCAGATACTAGGATAGAATAGATTAGAATAGGATAGAATAGGATATATAGGATGTTGGATAAGTGACAAGTCAAACAAAGAGGAAGAGAAACTTCGTGCTAACTTGGACAATGTTGAAATAAGGACCCCAACAGAATGGGAAGTGCTCAAACATGATGCCAGAAGGGATGGGATACATTGATACAAGAGACAAACAAAATGGAATATAACAGACATTGATTGAATCAAACAACACCGTGATATAGTTATAAATGTTTCAAACTAAGCACTTTACAAAGTGGTACTGGTTCACACATCTGGTACAATATTGGGATGACTTATCATATTTTGAAAACAGTTTCCACCACTGACAACTTCAATAAGTTTGTTTTTCCCCCTGGAATGCATAGTCTGGTCAAAGCATGGTATATGGCTTGTGGTCATCCCACGATCATTAAATCATGATGGATCAGTTACAATGGGATATAATCTTCGGTATATTAAACCCAATTAGGTGGACAATGTAACAATGTAACAATGACAATCCCCCCTATGAGTAACTAATGTAACTACTCATTACATATACCCTCTGGTTATTTAACATAGCCATGGAAAATGGTCCATTTATAGATGGTTTACCTATTAAAAATGGGTGGATTTTCCATGGCTATGTTAAATAACCAGATGGTAATTGTATAATCCAACTCATGACTATAGTTGGATGGTTGGTTACATATCCCATGAAAAATTATATTACCATCTGGTTATGACTAACATAGCCATGGAAAACGGTAAACCATCTATTTTCATGGGATATCTATACCATGGCTATGTTAGTCATAACCCACAGGGTATATTATATATATATGATAATGGATGTATATATCAATGGTTCATATATCTATAAATGATTTAGAATGATGGGATATAATTATTGTATTATATTCCCATGAATATCCCATTCATTCCCATCATTTCTCCAGGGGTGAATCCCATTCACCATCGTAGCCGTTGCGCACATGTTCCAACTCATCGGTGATGCGCAACTCCGCATAGTACTTTGCCAAGCGGGGAAGGTTCATCACCTCAAAAACGGCAACGAAACGCTGCAGCGACGCTGACCAAAAATAGCTAGCCGGCCTTGTAAAAAAAGAACATGACTATGGAACATCACTATGTTCAAATATGTTCAATAGTTATATAAATCAACTATGAATTTATTATAAATGGCAATTTTCAATAGCTATGTTAGTTTATCAGAGCGTAGTCATGTTGTGCCTGAGTGTCATGTATGTAGGTACATTGAAGGCGCTTGATCCTATTCCCAATTAAACATGCTATGTAGGATATTGTTTGGTAATGTCCTGTAGATAAATGTACTGATCTTGTAAAGAGGCTGCCATTTTCCAGTGAATACATGACTTCCGTCCTTGCAACTCCTTGAAAATGGAAAACACACATCCCGACCACCCATTGCTGTAGGTATTCAAGGAACCATTTCATACCAATGCCGATGAAATAGTATATGCAAAATACATCAAAATACCTGTTTCTGTCCAAACAAAAGATTTGCGGCCACTATATGCACTTCAAATCTTGACGAACAAGCTGACATCAATTGTGGTTTGTGTTTTCATGTGCCAGTCAAGAAGGATCTGCCCTCAGGATTTAATTACACAGTGCATATGTCATTCACATTGAAGAGACAAAGCACATGCACAGATCATCACAGATCGGTATCCCCAGGCTCTTGTCTCGTTGAAAGGAAAATTCTGCTCCCACTTGAGCGACACCTTGCGATGTTTCCGATGCAATCTGGACCTTAGAGCTGTGTGCAAATCGGCAAAGCGCAAAGCATGGAGGGATTTTACCCTCTGGTAATTTAACGTAGCTATTGAAAATGGCCATTGAAATAGTGGATTTTCCCGTTAAAAATGGTGGATCTTTCCATAGCTATGTTAAATTACCAGAGGGTACATGATTTTACTTCATGACAGTGGGGACACCGTGACATCGAACACGTCGTCCATGCTCCAGGAGCCGACATGTCGCCCTTCTCCAGGAGCCCAAACGTGATGAAGCGTAAGCGCCAGTCTGTTTGTTCACAGCCCCCGACATCGACCAGCCTGAAATGCAAAGCATGGATCGTTCCAAGGGAAAATCCAAGGGACAAAGGGGAAAATCTCAGGGAAAATATGTCAGAGTTTTCATGTAATTTGTCACTGTATCCAAGTCTCAGTTTATGTTTCTTCTATCAGAATTTTTACATATTGCGAACATAAACACCGATAGAAGCGCACATGATTGAAATTCAACACACACCAGCGTTGATACAAGACATCTTCACGTACATCTGTAAATATATCATAATAGATTCACAATATATCTATATATGAAAGCATACAAGTCTGCCAACATGTCTCATGTCAAGATGAAAATACGCAAAAGCATGCACACCTTAGACTGGCAATATGTATTTAGGTCTACATGTAAATACAAATAGTAATAATAATGATAACAAATGATCGAACAAATACAATAAATAGTAAACACATGGAACTAGAACATATAAAATCAAAATGCATAATTACATAGAACTATACACATATATACAAATGATTCAAATGATCATTTAAACATGTGAAAAACGTATCAACTGCACAAACTTGTTCACGAGTCAACATCCCATTCAAACTAGCTTTGTGTAGCACACATATATATATATTATACATATACACGTATGTATAAATACATGTATAATACAATGGTATGCACACATGTGTATGGTCCATGTATATTTATGTCATATGAAGTCATATGTCTGGGTAAATTATAATAATTCACTAAACTGAATTAAGGCCATTTGGGGATGATTCCCCTTACTAACTATGATTATAGTGAGGTCGCAGTGAGGTCGTTATAATTTACCCAGATATGTGTACATTACACAAAAGACGTGGACTTCGTGGGAAGAAACATCACATCCGCGATTTCTGCAGAACGGCCTCTTCAACACTTTGAAGAAGTGGAAGGTCCTGCCAGTGGAGGTTCATGATGGGATTGACCATAGAGCGGCACGAGAAAAGCACTCTCATAAAACTGGGAAAACACACAATGGAAAAAACGAAGAAAAACACATCATCTGGAAGCCGGCAGCCTAGTGACCATGATGATGTTTGATGTTTGATGATTGTCCAGGTAGCTGGTCGAATTTATTGGCCTCGTGACATGTCGTGGCACTGTGACATTACCGTATCGATACCGGGCCTTTTCGGGTGCTTGTGCCTGAAAAGGATCCAGGCCTGGTACCGAGATGTCACCCATGGAGGTTTAAGCCACAAAGAGTGCCCTTTGGCTAACATAGCTATGGGTAATATGAAGATTACCCACATTAATGGCTATGGACAATTACCCATTTGTAATTTTTAGACATAGATGATTTAAAAAATGTGATGATGTACCATGATTTACCTATTAAAAATGGTGATGTTCCATAGCTACGTTCAAGAACTAGAGTATATGAAGGGTATGTATAACATACATGCAAAGCTTTCGATAGAGACCACCTCGGAGTGGTAACTGAAAAACCAACTAGGGCACCGGTGGACGCACTTGATTCTTTTCAGTATCGTACCATCCCCAAAATGGTCAAATATGGTCAATTATAGCTTGAGCAGTTCCAAATCTTTCCAAGTTCAGAGAAATGGAAAACATAAGTCAATCATTTATATCATTTTGAGCTCCAAATCATTCCAAATTCAGAGAAATCGATATAGCTTGAGCATCCTCCTTGAGACAAAGAAAGCGGCTTTTCTATGCTAAAATGTCATCCCAAACGTGGCCCAACGTTGGACCGTAATCCGGGTAATCCGGGTACAGTATGGCTTCAAATTGTGTAGCCCTAAAGGTGAAGAGCTAATACGGCAATACATATAGTAATACATAATAATAATACATATAATTACTAGTAGTGCTATACTAAAATTACCAATCTATCTGCGCTGTAAAAAGGAATAAAAAGGATCTTCAATTTTGATACGCGCCACAATTCCACCCTTGGCTGCACCTCCAGAACTTCATCTGATGAGGTTGCAGCAGCCAATGCCTGCATAGCTCGAATGCAATTCTGAGAAAGATTCGATTGTCTCATCCAGGAACTGTGTTCTTTAAGCCTTCTCAAATCGAAGGCTCAAAAGATCTCAAAAGCTCTGGCCATTTCAACTCATGAATACCGGCGACTCAAATTGCCTCTTATCCAATCCATATCGGTGATTGAAGTTGGGACCCGCTGCCACCTAGGCATCCTTTCTGTGGATGCCATGCCCAGGATGAACCCTGCCCCCTTCCCCCCTTGCCTTGGGCAAACGCCAATTCCACGAGTGCGCGTGCTTCCCCTGTGTGTAGGTGGGGAACGGAGTCGGAATCCACCTGTGCTGAAGCAGCAACTTGGTGAAACCCGGCCCCCCTTTAACGGGACATATCAAGCCGTGAGCATGTGAACGGCCTGTCTATCCATCACTGGAGAAAAGTGATAATCACCTATGAAATCATATATGAACATACTGGGAAATCAAAGACGCAGAGCTACCAAGTCGATATAATTTAGATATGTTTGCTGGCGGATATTTACATCTTCATCTCGTTCCAGAAGATGACACTTCGACGCAGCGCCTCTGGCGATTCTCGATGGTGCGTGGGGCCACATAACCTGAGAGATTCATCAAGCAGCTGCTTTGGGAGCCCATGTATTTTATTGTATTTTTCTCAATGGTACTAAACATTCCTAGGTTTTTTGATGGGGAAAAAATTGCTTTCGGAAGTTGAAGGGACGACCACTGGCGGATCCAAATTGAACTTTGCCTTTTGGGGGCGAGGTTTTTCTTCGATTCCGATGACTTGGGACATCAACTTCCACATGTTTCAATGCAAGATTCGAGCACCACACGATTTTTTTTACATGGCAGTGTGTCAAAACCTTGTACCCCTGGTGAACATCAAAATAGCTGGTAAATGGATGTTCATCCCCCTAAAAATGGTATTAATAGGTATTAATCCATACCCACATTAATTGAAACTAATTGGAAACACATTGAAAAAAATGAAAAAGTGTGTCCATGAACCATGCGCACAAAATAACATAAAATAACCAAAATATGAGTGCTGCTGTCATGTTTTCTGGATGGAAAGCACAGAACGCATTGTGCCAGTCAAAAAAAATTGCCAACTCCACACAAGGCTTCTGCTGCTAAGCCACGCTCGATGTATTTACGCCAGTTGGCCTTTCCAATGAGCTTGTGAAATCTGTAGTAGTACCTCCGGCGCAACTATTCCAACCGTCAAAGATCTTGAAATGTCTTGGATTGCGGGGATGCGGTGGAAAGCTTTGGGTGGCAGGAAACACCCATCATCTGGATCCAAGCCCCTAGCATTTCGTTGCCCTTTGCCCAACTCTGCCTGAGGTTCTAATTGAAGCAAATTCGAAAACACCAAGAAATGCAACATATTTCAACCGTTTCCTGCGGCACCAAATTGTTTTGTCCTTTATTTACGATAATTTATTCATTTGCCCCTTATGAAATTAATCAATTCAACCATCTTTACGTCACAAATCATCTGGATAAACTGTAGACAAATTTCAGAAAATCTAAAATACGAAGACCTTTGGGGATAGTGTCTCCCACTAACGATCATTATCATCATTTCAGATAGGTCGCAGTTAGGTTGTTCCAACTTATCTAGAATTATGTTTGTCCCAGTTTTATCCCGCTTCACCATCATTGTTGTTGGTTAAATTTCATTGATTTGTTCTGCACCCCATTCAATCCCATTTTTGTTGGTTAAAATACCACGAAATCCCCACCAAACATTGAAATGCCCGTGAAATCTGCATGAAATCCTCATGAGCCCCCCATTGATTCATGCTTTCCCCCTGCTTCACCGCCACGTCTGCGCACGTTCCCTTCCGCTCGGCGGCGCCGAACTTGTGGTGCTCCCGGCGTCCAGGGCGGCCGTCTTTGGGGCCGTGGCGCACCTAGAGTCAAGGAGGCTAGGAATGAGGTAAACCAGTGGGAAATATGGTGAGATGTTTCAATTTCACCTAGATATATATATATAATTATATATATATATATAGATAAATAATATATCATCATATATTCTCATTCGTTACCATTGATCATATAGATCATATTGATCACATAGATCATATAGATCATATAGATCATATGGATGATATTGATGATATTGATGATATTGATGATATTGATGATATTGATGATATTGATGATATTGGTGATATTGATCATATTGATCATATTGATGATATTGATGATATTGATCATATTGATCATCATCAACATCACCATCACCATCACCATCACCATGACCATCACCATGACCATCAACATCACCATCACCATCACCATCATCATCACCATCACCATCACCATCACCATCACCATCACCATCATCATCATCATCATCATCATATTCATATATTGCATACCATGTCTAATATGTCCTACTGTAATGTAAAATATCAGTAAAATATCATGTGAATTAATCTGAAAACCATTTAAGATCATTTAAGTAAACCAACTTATATTTTGGTAAATTCGAAGTTAAACCATACCTTATACTAAATGCATACAAACATATTTCCAGGATGGTAAAGACGACGATGGTTTGTTCCCCAGGATTTCAAGGTCTCCCATCTTTCGATCTTACTTCGGGGAGTGTTACACTGCTGGAATCCCAATTACAAGCCATCTCTATTCTGACCACAAATGGATGGTTTTAAACAACTATATTTTTAATATTCTATAATCCCCCAATGGTGGGTTTATTATTCGGCTTACATGGTTTCACCATGTTTCACCACATTATTCAACATCTTCAACCATCCAACCAGACTTTCCTGAAGTAGCCGAGATCAGGCTTTCCAACGAAACTCTGTACTCTGTTCTGCGAATTTGGTCATGGTGTGGAAACATTGTCGCAGCATCACCTCTTGAATACATGCAACTGCATAGGAACGTTGGTTCGTACTTAGAGTATGAGTAGATCCCTATAGTTGGTGTCAACATGTTCCATCTGCATTTTCACGATTTGTGACAGTAAACGAATTGCAAAACCTGATCATGGCCCGTTCCCAAGATATCAAAGGCGCTTGGAGTTCCAAGGAGGACTAAGAAGCATCGGCTAAAAACCATAGATGCCATAGAGACTTGAAACATCTTGATTCCACCAAAGCTGGAGCTGTGTCCCTCGACTTCGCGTTCCGCGTTCCGTGTTCCGTTTAACGGGTCTGTTACCGGGTTTGTCCGTTCGCATCGCGGTCTTCCCCTTCGAGTGGTGAATCAGAATATGTTTTTCCTATGAAACATGACCATAAATTGGGCCGGCTATAATATGGCTATATAACATTAAATAACTATGCACCCATTTTCAGACTATGCACCCATTTTCAGACACTAAGCCCAACCTTCCCGAAATGAGAATGTTGCGTTGCCTGTTGAAAAAAGAGTGCTGGAGGTGTTAACCTTGGTTGACAGCGGCAAAGAAACCATGTGATTCCAGTAGAACGCTATGCAACGATCATTTGTCATTCCAAAACTTGAAGCAACATAAGACACAACCAATTTTTGACTCCCCTTGCAAACCATCATTTATAGTACACCATCGAATTGGGAAATCATAGGAAATCCATGAGGCTAAAACCATTCAGGCCATGTTATCCATCAGCAAACAAGCACAATCATTGGAATTATAATAGGGTTCACTGGGTTCACCATCTTTGTCCACTGACACGAGTCATCCAAAAGCAGTACAAATCAGCCCAATTTCTTCCAAGTTCTGTTCAACTCCAAACTGCGACGACGGCTTTCACTGCGCACATTATAAACACTGCGAGGGCTGGAGCTATTGTTGGAACCTGGTTGGTGGATTGAAGCCATCACATATTAGAGTCATCTCAACCATCCCAACTATATATATATAGTTGTTTGAACCTATCAATATGTGAAACCCCCAACCAGGAACGAAATCTACCTTTCATTACCTTTTTCTATCCTGTACATCCATCGTTGCTCAAACGGGCAAGGTCTAGGAGTCACTCACACTTGCATCCGGCATCCACAGTGGCTTTGACTGTGGACGTATTGCGCCACGGACAGTGACGGGAAGACAATTGGACTACGGGGGCACCAACAATACCACAAGTTTATACAAATTCGGTCATAGAATGTTGTGCCCTTAGATGTAAATTATTTTATGTTGTGCATGTTGTGCATGTAATTTTACAGAAATCAAAAGCTAAGGAAACAACATTCAGCTGGAAAAACGGAACTTGCCAGAAGCACATGACAAATCGCGGAATAAACTACAAAAATTAACGCAGAAAAAAAATACAAAAAACATAACTTAACTTATGCAAAACCTACAACCAAATTTAATATAACTTCAACTTAACTTCCCTAAGTCCTTCCATACGTCCCCTAAGTCCAACTGCACTCAGGGCACAACTTGGTAGGAAACATGCATGCAACACATCCGGACATACATATTGAATACTGTATAGATACTGATTGCATAGAAATAGACCATGTTTTTATGGGCGGATACAATTTTCTTATGTCAAGCAGCCAGTCATGGCACTTCACATATCTAGATCACATCCCGATTCAATCAAACAATAATTAATACAGAAAAAAAAATCACTGAATATCCATTGTATACTTTTCAATGTTCAATGGGACCCGAATCACAATACGATACCCTCTGGTAATTTTCACATAGCTATTGAACATATACCTATTATAAACGATGAATTTCCATAGCTATGCTAGTTTACCAGAGGGTAAGGATTGATATGGTTTAAAAAAATAGCCATGAGTGAAGACCCATCACCATAGCTGGCAACAGGCGCTGCTATTTGGATTAGATGGCTCTGCCATCCGGCGCTGGCGCTGCCTCGTTTTGGTAGCAACCGAGTTCTTACAGTGGTCATCTGTGGTCGAAGTACTCTAGATGGATATAGACATGACATTGAACATATGCATTGAACATAGCAAACACGTTTGAAGAGCTTCAGAAGTTCAGGATGTCTAAGGAAATTCATTTCTATTGAAGGTGTCCTAAATAAAACAACGCAGGAGTACCACCTCCTGTGGCCCGAAACGATCAGTGGTTGGGCCTGGTAGCTAGACCAAAACGACGCCGAGGCTTTGAATAAACACGTTGCGCTTCCTGCGCCATCTCTGATCTGCTCGCCAATCAGCGAAAAAAGTGGCATGTTGAACAGTTTTTTGACACCTCACAGATATTAACCCTGTCGACCAAGTAGGCTTCACCACATCAACCTGACAATTGGGTCACCAGATGTTGTTGTTGAATCGTCCCAGCAATGAAAGTGGCAAAACTGGCAAAACCCACAATTGCCATTGGACATTATCACAGGCTGTTGGTCTGCAGCGATCCCAGGGAGCTTGACACTGGAATACTGAACAAACAAAAAAAACACAAAATCCCGCCAAAAGAGTGCTAAATTGTTGTTCTATGTATTTGGGAACTGCAGTTACTAGACATATTTGCCATATGTATATATATATATATATTTACGTTCTGTAAATAGTTATACGTATGAAAACTGATTTGATGTTGCCAGTCTTCTTAGTCTTCTTCAAGACATGCCCCAGAGAATTTCACAAATCGTACAATTCCATTTTAGCAGTGTTCGATTTTTCCGTCGTTAAATTGATCAGTTCAAAACAATTTCCGTAATTGATAATGATAATGCATGACAAAACATGATCATCCAAGATAATCCATGAGCATCCATGATAATCAATGATAATCCATGATCATCCATGATAATCCATGAGCATCCATGATAATCAATGACAATCCGTGATCACCCATGATAATCCATGATCACCCGTGATAGTACATGACAAACCATGACAAACCATGACAATCCATGACAAACCATGATAATCAATGATAGCGTATGACAATCCATGATAACCCATGACAATCCATGACAAACCATGATAGCCCACGACAATCCATGAAAACCCATGACAATCCATGACAATCCATGAGGATCCATGCTAAACAATGGCAATCCATGACAATCCATGACAAACCATGGCAATACATGACAAATCATGATAACCCGTGATAATCCATGAAAACCCATGACAACCCATGACAATCCATGATAACCCATGACAATCCATGACAATCCATGATAACGCATTACAATCATTTGCAATCCATGATAACACATGACAATCCATGAAAACCCATGACAAACCATGACAATCCATGATAACCCATGACAATCCATGACAATCCATGACAAACCATGACAATCCATGGCAATCCATGATAAGCCATGATAATCCACGACAATCCATGATAACAAATAATATTCCATGATCACCCATGATAACCCATGACAATCCATGACAAACCATGACAATCCATGATAACCCATGACAATCCATGACAATCCATGAGGATCCATGATAATCAATGGCAATCCATGACAATCCATGACAAACCATGGCAATACATGGCAAGCCATGATAACCCATGACAATCCATGACAAACCATGACAATCCATGACAATCCATGATAACCCATGACAATCAATGATAACCCATGACAAACCATGACAATCCATAACAATCCATAACAATCCATCATAATCTATGATAATTAATCCATGATCAACCATGAAAATGTATGATAACCCAACACAATTCATGATAACCCATGGCAATCCATGATAACCCATGACAATCCATGATCACCCATTACTATGTATGATAATCCATGGTTATCCATGATAACCAATGAAAACCCATGACGATCGATGATAACCCATGACAATCCATGACAAACCATGACAATCCCTGATAACCCAAGACAACCCATGATAACCCATGGCAATCCATGACAAACCATGATAACCCGTGATAATCCATGAAAACCCATGATAATCCATGATAACCCATATCCACGATAACCCATGACAATCCATGACCACCCATGACAATCCATGAAAAACCCTTGATAATCCATAAAAAAACAATGACAATCCATGACAATCCATGATAACGCATTACAATCATTTACAATCCATGATAACACATGACAATCCATAAAAACCCACGACAACCCCATGACAAACTAGAACAATCCATGATAATCTATGATATTCCATGATCATCCATCATAATCGAAGAAAACCCATGACAACCCACAATAACCCAAGACAATCCATAATAATCTACAATACTCCTGGATCATCCATGATAATCCATGTTAACCCAAGACAAACCACAACAAACCATGGCAATCCATGATAACCCATGACAGTCCATGACAATCCATGATAACCGATGACAAGCCATGATAACCCATGACATTCCATGACAAACCATGGCAATCCATGACAAACCATCATAAGCTATGATAATCCATGATCATCCAAGATGATCCATGATAACACATGACAATCCGTGATAAACCATGACAATCCATTACAAACCATGATAAACAATGATAATCCATGGTGATCAGTGATCCATGATAATCCATGATAAACCATTACAATCCATGATAACCCATGACAATCCATGATCAGCCATGATAATCTATGATAACCCAGAACAATCCATGATAACCCATGGCAATCCATGATAACCCATGACAATCCATGATAACCCATAATAATCTATAATTAATAGTAAATAATAGTCCATGGTTATCCATGAAAACCCATGAATGACAATCCATGACGATCCATGATAACCCATGACAATCCATGACAAACCATGACAATCCATGACAAACCATGATAATCAATGATAGCGTATGACAATCCATGATAACCCATGACAATCCAAGACAAACCATGATAGCCCACGACAATCCATGAAAGCCCATGACAATCCATGACAATCCATGAGGATCCATGCTAAACAATGGCAATCCATGACAATCCATGACAAACCATGGCAATACATGACAAACCATGATAACCCGTGATAATCCATGAAAACCCATGACAACCCATGACAATCCATGATAACCCATGACAATCCATGACAATCCATGATAACGCAGTACAATCATTTGCAATCCATGATAACACATGACAATCCATGAAAACCCATGACAAACCATGACAATCCATGATAACCCATGACAATCCATGACAATCCATGACAAACCATGACAATCCATGGCAATCCATGATAAGCCATGATAATCCATGGCTATCAGTTATCCATGATAATCCATGGTAAACCGTGACAATCCATGATAACCCATGACAATCCATGAAAATAAATGATAATGCATGACAATCCATGATAACCCAAGGCAATCCATGAAAACCCTTGACAATCCATGACAAACTATATAGAACAATCCATGGCAATCCATGATCACCCATAAAAACCCATGGCAAACCATGATAGTCAATGATAGTCTATGACAATCCATTATAATCTCTGATAATCCATGATCAACCATGATAATCTATGATAACCCAAAACAATCCATGATAACCCATGGCAATCCATGATAACCCATGATAACCCATGACAATCCATGATAATGCATGACAATCCATGATAACCCATGATAACCCATGACAATCCATGATAATGCATGACAATCCATGATAACCCATGACAATCCATGACAAACCATGACAATCCATGACAATTCATGGTAATCAATGATGATGCATGACAAAACATGACCATCCATGATAATCAATGACAAGCCATGACAATCGATGACAAACCATGCGAATCCATGACAAGCCATGACAATCCATGACAGTCCATGATAATCCTTGTTATGTGTTATCCAAAATAATGATAATATCGGGGATGATAATGGATTCGGATTATCAGGTATTATCATACATTATCATAGGTCATCATTTGTTCCAAACCATCTACCAACAACACCAGTGCGACAGTTCAGCGGGATGGAAACGCGGGAAGTTTGGCCGTGCGTCAAGGTGGCTCACTTCGGCGTCCTCCCCGCGAACCAATGGAACACACATTAAATTCCCATGGAAATACTAATTTACACGTTTATACATTTGATATATATATATGTATATATATATATATATGTATCTGTATATGTATATATATATATACATACACATACCCATACACATACACATACACATCTTGATATATATATATATGTGTATATATATGTATCTGTATATGTATATATATATATATACATACACATACCCATACACATACACATACACATCTATATATATATAATACGTATGTACATGATCTGATTGTACGTGTGGATTGTTTACGTGATTTCAATTGATTTTACCCGTATTACGCGTTTTCTGGGCCCGCTATCCCACTATACTTGCAAATAGAATTCCAAGAGAACATCGATCACCACGTGCTGGCACTGTCAGGAGCATCCAAAGCTATTGAGGTCAGACTGCTGAAAATGACAAAGAGTCTGACTCTTAGATAATCTTGCATCAGTATCTTCTGCCCAATTTCATTTTCAGATCGCACACAATTACTGCCGCCGTATCCCAGGTGTATCCCAGGCATACGGGTTTGTCTGGAAAATACGAGTCCCCAAAATTGATGGTTTATCACATTTTTTCCCTAGTAAACATTCCCCATTTTCAGACACACTCAGAAATCAGAATGTCAACCCCCATGAACCACCAGTTAAAAAAACAACCAAATCCATCCGAGATGGTTTCAGTAGGCCCGAGGAATCGCCCTCCACCAATCCCATCCTGTACTGCACTTGGCCATGACAGCGTTTCCTGTGAGCTGCCTGTCCCGGCTTTCTGGAAACACAGAATGCACCAAAAAAACAAATCAAAAATAGCAAAACTCTGTTGAAATATGTTGAAATATGGATCTGTCAACAGGCTGTACACCATGTTCAATTGCAAATTTAGGGGAGGATGATGAATCACATCGAGATCATCGATTTTTTTGGGGGAAGGCTAGCCTATTTTCAGAGGAAATACTGCAAGGAAACGCGCCATCCATGCCTGCAACCATTGGAACAAAGGCCTCCATGGCCCAAGGTGAGCTTCCACCCCTCCGTGTCGCCTGAGATCCGAAAAACAACCCGAAAAACACCAAGTTGTAGTTCACATCCCAAGGCAATGCATTCGCTGAAGTGGTCCTTCTGATATTTTTGATATTTTCATATATTTCCTATATCCGCACAAACTTGACTAAGGGTATGGTCGTTTGCTGCACAATTTTTGTTCCCGTGTTTTTGTTGGTCATGCTGGTGCATCAATTTAACATAGAAGCCAACCCCAACATGGCCAAGTCTACTAGAGAAATCATCTTCCAAACGCATTGTTTTGGTTCCATGTTAGATTTAGGGGGTGCAAGTCTGCTAAGCAGACCTCCAGCAGCTTTCATTTTCGAAATTGTGTCCAACATGGCGCAGGCACAAACACCACCTAGCACACAATGGACCTGTCCTGCTTCTCACTTGAAAAATGGGCGGTCTCCCAATGTGCGTGGTTTTATCAATGTCCAAAAGTGTGCTACTTTTGGAAATTTTCCGACCGCAAACACATCCCACAAGTGTATATATTGAATCAAGAGTTTGATTATCCAATGCCAGTTTTTCTCATATATGTTCTCCGTCTTCAACCCCACCTTCGGGGCTGGGGCAAATTTTGTGGCTTCCAAACTCTGAAAATCATTGTTGGATACAAACTCAACAACCCCTTGCTTTGTTTCCAAATGTTGTCTCCGAATAGCAATCCCCAGTCAGCAGGCAGGCTATATTACTATATTCCTTTGTTTTTTGCGGTAGTTTTCCCGTGTTATTCGTAAGTTTTGTTGTCAAACTCCCAGGTTAATGTTTGCTACTTTGCTGATCAAATCCCCATGTGCTCTCGTTCTGTCCTTAAAATGTTTCGGTCGCTTAATTCTGATTGGTTGCCTGACTTTCTCTGCTGGTAAACCTTGTTGGTTACATACCCCTGTTTCCTATAAATATATATATATATATCTGAACCCACCAAAAAACATTCAAAAAACAATAAATTGTGATAAATTGTGAACTTTTTGCTTCTGGGTAATAAGAAAAGGTATTTCTGCCGCGTTTGCATTTTTCTGCCATGTTTGGGAAATGTCTGCTTCGTTTTTCCTTTAAAAAACAACTGCAAACCTAATCGCTGGAACTTTTCCAGTTGCCTGCATCCAAAAAACTTCTAGGAATCGAGAATTGTTTTCTGACCATTATGGAACCGAAAGTGGCACAAAAGCACTGTGTCACAAAAACATGTCAAGGCAGAAATCCCGATTTGCGCCTTTTTGATGGTTTTTGCGCCTTTTTGATGGGGTCTCGCGCCTTTTTTGCCGTACAGTTTGTTCCCCAAAAATGCATACCAGCTGATAGCTGTGGGCAGCATGGGAGCCCTTTTGCCAAAAGTTCTGCATCCTAGTTGGGCCATTGCACCATGCTAAGTATCTGGCACCGATATGCACCGAGACCCCTTGGCGTAAAAATGCGCTTTGAGTTTTTTCAGATTTGCCAAAAATTACTTTCTTCGAGTGATCCCCACCCTTACACACTATTCTGACATAGTTTCTGACATACTGTCTGGAAGTATGTTTATATGGCATATCAATTCTGACGTTCTATCTGACATTCTTTCCGGCATTCTATCTGGCATCTATTCTGACATTCTTTCTGGCATATGTATCTGGCATATCTTCTGACATTCTTTTTGGCATTCTATCTTGTATATCTTCGGAGATGCTTTGTGGTTGAGGTCCTGCGGGGAACGCTGCGATCTAGCGCCTGCAGCTGAGGTCCGGCGGAGGAGGCAGGCGAGGAGGCGGAAGCTGACATAAAATCTAACAACCCTCACCTGACAGGTGGGGAACAAGGGCGTTTTGAGCAAAAGATAGTCACTGACCAAAAAGGTCAAACAAAAACAGTTAGAAGGATGGTCCAGGTACCCTCCTGTGATTCATCAAACATGGCTTGCTGGACATTTCCAAATCTAGGTCGATGATGGTCGATGGATTTGCCGGCTTGCCACGTAGCGACAAAAACAAGTTGACTTAAAATTTGCTTAACCATTGGGTTTGCTGGGGATAACTATTTTATGCTTAATGGGTTTATGAACTAACAAACCTCACTGGGGGTCTCACCTTATGGGATAGCCATCTACAGTCAAAGCATAAATCTCAAGTTGGATTATGTTGGATTTACCTTCTGGTGGCTTTATACGGTTATATATTACATTAAATTGTTATTCAAACCATTGCTTTCTATGGACATATATCATATATGGTTATAGTTATATATGTGGTAAATCTATGTAAATCTTATATATGTGGTAAATCCATGTAAATCAATGTAAATCCCTGTTTCTCTGTTGGTTATGGCTACATACCCCTCTTTCCCAAAAACAATGACCCTCAACGGTTATGCGACCGATGACAATCCAAAAACGTCCAGTTGCTGGGCCCTTCGGAGCTCTGCCCGCAGCTCGCGCTCCGCCTCGCTTCCGCCCAAAAAACCATTGGTTTCCAGATGAAACAATGACCAGTTGAACTCGGAAACCAGTGGTTAATGCTTGGAAACAATGACCAATCACTTGGAGACCAACAATATTGGATGTACTTGGATGATTTTGGGGTTCTTCATTCTAAGAAAAATGGCAAACGATTCAGATCTGAAACTACCCAGCCAAGGTGTCCCAGTTTCACAAATGAGAACTAAAGCGATCCAGGACTGAAGGTGACCCTGAAAAGCAAGGTGCTTCAACCTGAGGTTTGGCCTCCCGACCCTTTCCACCCCAACTTTCATGGTGTAAGATCATCCATATGCAAGCCATTGCCCAAACAAAAATGTGGTTTTCAATCATCCGAAAGAGAACCAGTACCATGGGGTTGTAGAAACCGCCCTCAAATGGTAGGTTTGTTTATGGCGTTGGGTGAAGCCCACAGTGGAATCTCAAACATCAGTGAGATTCCAGGTATCATCTGAGCAAGGCGCCCTGGTTTGTAAATCAGCCGCAGCCTCCGCTGAACGATGTCAACCAGCATGACAGAGGCTTGACACCAACATGCTTCCGCGGAACTTGCTTCCGAGGAACTTGTCTTTGTTTCTACTTTGCATTGTAAGCTATTCAGTTGCTCAGCTTCTGCCGAAGCCACATATCTCAACAGAATCTTAAGAAATCAGTATAAGTCAGTCAGAGACAGGACTGCTTTGACCTGCCACAGCACCTTTTATGAACGATCCACACTTGGTGCAGGCGATCTAAGGCACCGCGCCTCAACATCAGGATCTACCCCTCCCAGGCTGGGTCGACACGCCTTTGACAACTCCTCCTGGAGGGATTCATCAACAAAAATGGATGGACAGGGGAGAGACATGGAGAGATCCACGCTTTCAAGAGTTCTTCCTTGTTTTTTTTTTTCTGGGTGGGTTAGGAGATGTTAGGAGGCAGTCCACAGGTTATTCTTCCTCACTTTGATGCGCATGGGAGTTAGCGCAAGTGGTCAATGGACATGGTGCCAAGGTGCCCATTTCCATCCATTTCCTAGTTTCATCCCATCCCTAAGCATGCTACATAGATTGATGGGCAATGGGTATCGTATCAAGCATTTTCACTATTTCTATGAAACTCCATGAGTGTAGATGAGGTTTCCCAGTTTGTTGGAACCAAAGGCAGTTCACCAGGTATTAAGCTTATACTAGGCGATTCTTATCCCTTACATTCCCTTACATTCACTTACTAACTTGTCCTGTTGCTGTTGGAGACTAAGCAGTTCTTTCAAAACGTTATGGTCGCCGATGGCTTCATCGTTCACCCGCCTGTAGCTTCGCGTCCGCGACCTCGTCCACACAGAGGTAGCAAAGGCGCGTCAAGCCCATCGACAGAAGCAGGGTCAAGGCCTGACACTGGGTGAGCACCAACAATTTTATCACAGAAGATGGACATGATGGACTTTGATGGACAGAACATCAAATTATCCCATGATCAGGTCATTATGATGAACATTTTTATCCAGAACTTATCAAGAGTGACCTACAAATATTTACAGAAATTATTTGGTCATTGACCAGGTCACAAAAATGATCATCCTGCACAGGCTTAACCAATGGAATCGCCTAATAACCGTTATGGCTACGTGGTGCAGGATTGGCTGATTGGGAACCAAAAAAAGATCACCGTAGATCCCTAATGATCCCGGATTAGATTCCCCAGTCGTAGTGGATTTCCAATTGGGAAAATACAACATCATCTTCAGCAAATCCAAGATTATGATCATCCAAACATGGTTGAACATTCACAATAATTGAAACATGTCGAAACTTGATATGCTGTACCCTCTGGTAGTGATTTCTCGCCATTCGGAACATTTTCCCCCCAATTAGAGTTTCCACCCATGACTATGTAACATTCAAGCTCTACCCCAAGCAAGTCACTATTAGACCCACAACCATTAGTCCCAGAATCGGGGGCAAAATTCCAGGCAAAATCAGGCATGACTACCTTCCACGTTTGCTACACGTTTGTCTCAACATGGATGTGGGTCAAAATGGAAGACCGATGTGGGACCACAGATGTGAATGTCTAGTTTAGTATTAACCATTCAATTATTGGGGTACCCTCTGGTAATTTAACATAGCTATGGAAAGATCCACCCATTTTTCATGGGAAAAACTGACTATTTCTATCTCCATTTTCAATAGCTATTTTGACATAACCAGAGGGTACCTAATGACTTGACCCATACCCGCCCTTCCACGTTTGCTCTTCCACTGGTGAAGGCTTCACCCAGGTGCCATCTTTCCACCGCAGTCGATCATCGTGACTTCCTTTGGATGCACCCTTGCTCCACAGTGCACCTCAAAAAGACTGAAAAAACTGGGCCAAATTGGTAATTGGATGTCACATAATCCAAGATCAGATGGTTTAACTACTAGAAATCACCGAAAATCAATGAAAATCAATGAAAAGTGAACATCAATGAAAATTCATAACCATCACGCATATAGATTTCCTACTAAATGACTAAATGAATCTAAATGATTTAAACATATCAATTCAAACTGTGTCTATTTTTTTGACCCAAACCCACTTCTGCTTCACCACCTGAAAGGATACAGAAAAATATCACCTTGGGTTCCTTGTGGATATGTTGTGGCTCTCCTGGCTTGGAATAGCCAAGATTAGCAACTCGGACAGAGTTCTTTCTATTCAGCATTGTGTAAAAATCACCTTTCCTCCATTCAGCCACCAAAAGTTACAACCAAAAATTGATGCAAAAAAAATATAATATAATATATATAAGTATATCAGGAAATTGTGGTGGAGAAGAGAAATACATCGGAAATCTCAACATCTTGGAACTATGACCCATCTCTGGGGACCCCTGCGATGCCCATCTGCGACTCTGTTAGCGGACATGCCTTGGCGCTTGAGTCACTGGGATGGCAATTTTCGTGGGTAAATTGATATCTAAACCATGGGACCATGGGATGGAAATGGATGGAATGGGGATAGCCGGATAGCCTGTTTTCAGACCAAGCCATCCAAGGCACATGGTCTTTTTTGAGCACCAATTCTTGCAACATGTTACCCGGAGTCGAGGCGACTTGCTGAGCGCTGTAAATAACTTGCCTGAAAAAACTGTTTGGTCGAGTCGAAATGTTAACCCATCCTGCACCAAGGCAACGTTAACAGGAACCGCACCATTCAACCATTGGCCCCCTTGGAACCATCAATCGAAGAAAAACCGACTAGTCACCTGATGTCATCTTAGTGACATCACTCTCTTCCCATCGGTGCCTGCAATTCCAAGATCTCCAAACCATGGGCTGAGAAGAGTCCCGGCCTCGGTACCGATCAAACCCCAACTGCCCCTGTCTTCATCCCAACTGCGTCTGCAGCGAAGCGGCAAATCCCACAGGGAGAGCGGCATCTGCTGAACCTTGGCAACACAGCAAGACGTGACCTCTATGATTCCAACGCTGGATCCGATGCCAGACGGGATGTGGATGCCCACTTCAAACGTGGCGTGCTGAAAAATGCCCCATTTGTAGATGATATTCCCATGGAAACCTGCATTTATAAAGGATTTCCTATTGCCACGTTTGAATACTGGAGGGTACCTTTAGGACCCTCGTCTGTTGCCAGGGGGGGGGGTGGAACCCCTAAAAAAATAAAATAAAATGCAGGGGCCTAAGGAGAAAATGCCAATAAAATGAGAGGGCATAAGGTAAGATAGGAAAACCAAAGCAAAACACAATGGACAGGTACAAAAAGAAAATGACGTCAGGCACCCTCCACCTGGCCACTGTTGGACCTACATTTTGCAACTGTTGGACCTCGTGCTCCGGCATTTTCTTTTGGGCTGATCTTGTTTTGTCTTGTTTCCTTCTTTGATTGGTTTTAACCATCTTTGAAGGAAAACCCGAAAACACCCAAAATGGCAAGACCCAACTGATCTGTACAGAATATATCCTACAAAAAAATGGGGGTGCCCAAGGGTAAGAATAGCATCCTCATGCGGGTGCCTTAGGGGCCCCCAATTTCTAGTGGATGGCAGCGCACGGGGAAGTCTGCATATTTCTTCGCCATGAAATTATGAATCTCACCAGCATACATGATTCCAGGCTTAATATCTAGACACCCTTCATGCACCCGTCAAAAAGCTAGTGGTAAGTATTGACAAGCCAAAACAGGCATCTCAAACCAACCCCCAATATAGTGACCTAGTCTGGAAAATTGAAAGAATATATCCTACAAAAAAATAGGTTAGGCACCTCAAAAAATAAAATGCTCCCACAAAATAAAATGCTGGGGTCTGACCCATTTTATTTTTATTTTATTTTTATTTTATTTATTTTAAAAGGGGCTCCTGCCTCCTCATTTTATTTAGGTACCCCAATGGGGGGTCCTCTAGGTTGGGCCCAAATTGCCATGTTGCTGTCTTGCTCTCCAAGGGGCTGTAAGCTTTCTCAAGGCTGGCGTTTTGGGCCAGCTGTAGATACTTCCTGACGGAGCACCTTGCTGGAGGGTCACCCGCAACTGGTTGGTGTTTTTTTTGTTGATTCGTCGCAAGTGGGATAATTACCCTCCAGTAAACTAACATTGCTATTGAACATGGCCTATTTATAGTTGATTTACCTATTAACAATTGTGATTTCCCATAGCTATGTTAGTTTACCAGAGGGGATCTAAATTATAGCTTACAACTTATAACATACAAACACACTAGACTTCAGGGCTACAGTGCAGGCAGCCAGGCAATTTCGGTCCCAAGATTGGGTGCCCCAAGATTTCATGGTTCATCATCCCCATTCGAATTGCCATTTTGGGCATCATAAAAATCGAACCATAGTAGAATTATCATGAATTATCATTTCTTATCATGTGTTCATATACCCTTTGGTAAACTAACATGGCTATGGAAAATAACAATTTTTGATGGCTGGGTTGGCTATTTCTATGCGCAATTTTCGGTGGCAAACTGTTATAAATTACCAGTGGGTAACTATTTCACATATTCATATCATATCACATCACATCATATCTTATCACGTCTTATCTTTTTTTCATAGTGTTGTTCAATCTTCTGACTGAATCTTTGGGAAGTGTAGCTGTTCAACTGACCTCATTTGGGCCAGGCGCGGAAACCGTGATAGGAGAAGTCCAACGCGGTGAGCTGAGTGGCAACCGACAAAATGCTGCCTTGGCTCAATGGCGAATCCCCGTTTTGGTCCCTTTTTTTTCAACATGGAAATCCAGGTGACCAGTTTTTGGTTCACAAATCCCCAGCTGGTTCACTTAAATCCCCAGTGACCAACCCATGAAATCACAGCTGTAAGCCATGACCAAGCAACTTAGAGCCCATTCCACATCAGCTGCGTCCCTGGCCGGCGATTAAAAAACTGGGTCTGCAGGTTTGACCGTCTGAGACAGTCGGAAAAACAGCGATGGCAATGCCCAGGTGCCGTCAAAGGGTATAGTTATTACATCATCATACTATCTCATAGATTATATCATAATTTGTATGTTTATACATAGTAATTATCATAATATATCATAAGATATCACATATATATATACATAGAATAATTCATGGATCTGATATAATATATGATATATATGATATGTTTATATATACGTTTACAGTATGCATGCCTCTGAAGGAAGCTCCCCAAACCGTCCCATCGCCCACCTCCCATGGGGAGCCCCCGAGATACGGAGGTGCCGCAGCGCCGGCAACTTGGAGAGGACGTCTGGTAACCAACTGCCTTAGAGCTCCGAGTTTTTGGGAAACATGGCGGAACTTATGGCGGAAATGCCATGGTGAAAATGGGATGATTTGTTGGGAATTCTAGGAGTATTGAGTATATGTACTATTCTGTACTGTATACTATGCATACACGTATTCAATCATATTCATATTCAGTATGTATCACATCAATCCACATACATGGATATATGATGATTGTAATTTATTGGATCATATTGGATCTGTAATCTATGGAATTGCGAACAACAAAAGAAATGGAAACAGCAGAATTGGGATATTCACCAACAACAGAGCACTGGTTGGGTACAACAAGTGGAGAGGAAACACACACTTGACATGGCCTTCGAACCGGGAACGTCATCCATGATGAAGCTGAGTAGTGTGAGGTTGTTAAACAGTGAAGTTTGGCAACGATGTTTCGGAGGTTGGCGCTGGTATATGTTTCTAATCATGAAAAACTAGTTGGCTTTTTCTCAACATAGGTAGCTCCAATGATTTGTTTGGTTCCCAAGGCCCTGTGGAATCACCCTGAGTTGGGAGGCTGTTCCTGTTCTCCCAGATATGAAGCTTAGTGGTTTCTCGATCTCGAGGTATTTGAAGCATTCCACAAGAGCAGATAACAACGCGCGTAGTGTAAACATTTCTTGGTTGGGAAAAAGCTGAGGATCCACTACCCTCAAGCTGAACAATATTAAATCATATTAAATCCACGTATTGCACACATCAACACTTGGCAGCACTTCCTGCAATTCTATCGATTTATACCCAAGAATCCAACTTGGATCGCATGAGACACTGACAAGATTGGATACTCACTAACGAATCAGGCTCCCCGCTCTCAGATGCACAGTTACGAGTTGACGTTCCTTCTAGTTTACATCATTTTACCATTTAATGTAATCTATATTCTATTGTTAAAATAAACCACATTATATCACAGATATACGTATGCAGATAAAACAACAAAACGGATTTACATAGATATGCAATGATATGCGAGTAGACCTAGATAGAAATCAATAGATCTGGGTAAATTGTAATAGTTTACCATATTTTACCTGAAAGAAGGCCATTTGGGGATGATTCCCTTTACCATTCCAGTGTGGTCGACATAGAAATCCACGAGCCGTGGACACCCCCGAATCCAAGCGACAGGGTTCGGCGATTTCCACGTGCTCCACCTTGGGCGCCGCGGCGCCCACTGGAGACGTAGGGTCCATAGAACTGGAGATATTCCTTCCAAAAAAATGAAGGTTTCACAAGGTTTCTTAAAATGATTTGGATCCCCAAGTCACCATGGTTTCAATATGTTTCAATACTAAGTCATGGTCGTTTATGACTTGGATGATTTGGCGGTACCCCATTTTGGGGAACCTCCATATATTATATGTAACTGGAGGGATATTCCATATATCACTTGGATTCACTGGGTGTGTAACGTGGTTCGTAAATGTTTTTAGACAACGGATTTTTTTTTCGTAAACTGTGACACGAGTTTCGCATATATCACTGGAGTATATACTTGGCTGACTCTTGAAACATGTGAAAATCAATTGGCAACAAATAAATCAATATACAAAATGAAAGGACTAAATTGGGCGATGGGTCAAAACGCATGGAATATCCTGGGTTACACCAAAATAACTGGTGGATGTTCATCCGGTGTTTGATCCATCCCCCAAATGGTGCGCCACTCACGACAGAGGTGCTTTCCCATCCACCTTGATTAATCTCTGGGATCACCAGTCCATAAAGATTGGATGGAACTATGTCATGAACATTTTATAGTGTATAATATATATATATATACACATGCAGTAAGATATAATATAAAGTTAAGGTGTATAGTATATATATATATACATATACATATATATATAATTAATATAATATTATGAACTATTATGAATATGTCATGAACAAATTGGCAAACACTATTTCCACAAAGATCACAATCTCACCTGGCACATCGGGCATGGACCACAATGCTCAACGGCACACTCACACCCTCAAGCATTGAATCCCTTTGCCGTACAGCCAAAATAGAGCAGTGGATTTCCCCGTTTTGTATTACCTGGTTGCTGGTTTCAACCCCTCTGAAAAATATTACTCAGATGGAAGTATTATTCCCAATATATGGAAAAATAAAAAATGTTCCAAACCACCAACCAGATTACTCCATTGTACGGGTATCGTATTGTCATATTGTATCTATTTTACTTTAGTTTCCTTTAGCCGATGACACAGACCGTTGTTATCGCCAAAGGTGCTTCCTTGAGGCAGCCGCGACCAAGGAGTTTCTGTAGCCCCATGGGTGGAGTGCGTGGATCAGATTTCTCAGCGGAACATGCGGTGTACTCACCTTCGTTGAATGGCGAGATGGCGTTGAACGGCGGGGCGATGAGCTAACAGGGCCATAGGGTTGAAACCGTCAGAGAATACCCTTCAAATAGTCATCAATAACCAGAAGTTTGATGTGGCAGCAAGGAGTCAGGGACCCAACTTGTCCAAGGAAAAACAAACCAAACATCAAATACCCGGTCACTTCAAGCATTCAAAAGCCTTAAGAAATCTTGAACCATCTCAAGACTACAATATATGAACACATGGCACATGGAGCCAAAATGTCCAAATGTTTTACAGGGGGAGGGTGCCTCCCAAAGAAACACTGGGTCACATGACATGAGCTTCTTTGACGTGCACTTTTCTTTACTTAATTGAAGAATCCTACAATAGACACATGATATTATAATTATCATCACTGTATTTGTTGAACGTGTGCCTCCCCCAACATCTCTCGTCAACATGGGCATCAACCAAAATTGAATTGCGCTTAGACATGCATGGCTAGCCGAGAAATTGCCAAATTGTGTGAGTCTCTGGATGTCCCTGGGTTTTGATTTTTTGCTCCATATCACTATCACAATAGACGCTGGTTGCAAAAAACTGGCAAACCAAACTCATCAAAACAAACTACACCATGACTGATTGTGCTGGTTTCCATGCATGGAAAATTGGTCAATGAAACATGCCTCAAGATGGAGAACCATACTGACAAACAAAATTGGGTGTAGGGCCATCGGGCTGATCCTGGGCCTTGCCTCTTGAAGTTGTCTCAAAATATGAAACAAACAAAAATCCATGTGTTCTCATCATGTTTCATTCATTTTCCCGATTAAAATACAATCATTGACATTTGGAGGGCTGTTTGTGCATATTGAGACCTCTAAAAATGGCATCCACATGACATGTTTAAATCTTTGCATCATTTCTGGTCCAGTGCCATGTTCGCACCTCGTAAACGCAGATGTCCTGCAAGGGCACCCGGTTGCAATGCTGCGAACTGCCACAACCGTCCTGACAGCGTGACCCGTTCCTGGGATCTGTGTTTTTTCCCAAGTGCTGCACCGTTTTACGGAGCTACCCTCTGGTAAACTAACATAACTATGGAAAATCACCATTTTTAATGGGAAAATCCACCATAAATTGTCATTTTCAATAGCTATGTTAAATTACCAGAGGGTAGTTGCAGCATTATGGAGCTCAAAGTTATACCATTTCTACGTTTGCGGCATTCAAATTATTTGCAGCATTATGCATTATGCAGGGCACAGTTACAATTTTAGGGTATTTGCGGCATTCAGATATTCAGCTTGTTTGCAGCATGATGGAGCTCAAAGTTATACCATTTCCACGGCATTTTGGAGTTCCGGGGTTGGTTCAGATTAAATATTCAGGGTTGGTTTCGGTTTTTTTTACAGCCGGTGTAGGGTTTGTGGATGGTGGGATTACGCTATGTTGGGTTGGTTTAGGGGTCATCGGGGTCATCGGGGTCACAAAGGTCCTGTCATTGCAGGTGGCGGAAAATGGCATACACCAGTTCTAGTTCTTGGATGTTGGATGGTCTTGGATGAGATGTTTGTGCATCTCAGGGAATCCACGTGCCCAAAATGTGTCAACTGCGGGGGCTCTCAACTTTTGGGGGAAAAACCTATCATGTTAAAGCCTCAACTACACTAACTACGGGTGGTTGGAGATGGTTTGGTCTGTTGGAAATTTGAAATCCAACCAGTACATCAGTAGAATCTTTCTGGGATGACAACCAACAAGCAAAAGCTGTTGGATCTATCCACGGGATACCCCCACTGCAGTGATCATCAATTTCCCACCCCCATTGCAGTATCAATAATACCATTGACACAATTAATGGCATGCATTGGCATACCCTGCATTGAAGCTGGCATTCCCGAATCTTGGTAGTAGACATCAGTACTAGACAATCTTTTGCAGCCAAGCAGCCCAAAGCTGTGACATTTCTCAGAGTGTCCTCCACTGACCCGCAAGCTCTAGTTGTTTTGGAACACCAATCAGCTGATGGTTCGTGGTGTCCCCCATCAAGCAATGATCAATTGGGATCAATTGGGTAGCAAACACGGCATAACAACATCCAAACATTTCGACATACTTCGACAAGTGATACCCTCTGGTAATTTAACATAGCTATTGAAAATGGCCCACTTATAGTGGATTTTCCCATTAAAAATGGTGGATATTTCCATAGTTATGTTAAATTACCAGAGGGTAAATATTGGACACAAAAAAAACCACAGAAATCTTCAAAGGAAGACAGGGCCCCTCGTTCTCAGTGGGCAGGATGCATAGCGCCATAGGGCAGTTCTCAGGAGATGGTTACCCCAACTATTCATGGCTTCTCTGGGCCAATCTCTGGGATGTTTTTTCACATGAAAATTAGACAGGGTATATATAGTATACATCAGACATAAAATATCATAAAATGCTATGTGAAGTTCACAATTTGGAGCTTTCCTGAAATGGGGGTACCCCTAAATCATCATCCATTTCTAGATCAGATGTTCAAATTTTCGAAATAAACCATCCAGCTATTGGATTTTCATAGGAATTCATCCATTTCTAGATCGGATTTACCATGATTTTCCATGGCAAACCGACCAGCTATTGGGGATCCCCCATGGAAATCCCCAGGGATCCCCCTGAAATTGGCATCAAATTGCTGTGCTCTCCTCGAGCGGCAAGAAAGCAAGCGTCCCTTGGAACAAACGAGAAAGTCAGACGGGGACAGTCATGGGAAATCACCAAAGTTAGATATTGGTGATATAAATGTGGTGTATATATAACTAGATATGAATATATATATAGATATGATATATCCAATATCTAACTATAATATATTGATATCTATATATATACACATAATATATACATATATTGGATATTATAGTTAGATTCATTGGGGTTTCCAATAGCTGGTTGGTTTATATTGGACAATCCGATCTAAAAATCGATGATGACTGGAGGTACCGCCCGTTTTAGGAAACCTCCACCATAGATCTATCACTGGGGCCCTTTTTTTGCGATGAAGATCTTCAGTCTCCAGCTTGGGGAAAGACATATCCAGAGAGGTCTCTCCAAATGGGGTTCAGATGATTCCTGATTCCTGATCAAACTGCCAATTTTGGGCTGGAAAACAGAAGGACTTTGGGCTAGCAATTGCCAAATCCACTTGGGCTGGTGACCGTGGCAGCTTTCATCTGACCTTTTGGTTTCTCTGAAAATGTTGGGAAAAGCTCATCGGCTCATCCCATCCGTTGGTTTGCTATGTTTTTCCCACACACATTCGACCCATCCCCCATTTTGGGTCGAGCCCATTCGTATTCTTTGCATCTCTTTCTGATGTTCCGTTGATCAATCTCCAAGGTAGCTCTTCAGCTTATGACTGCAGCTCAGTAGCCAACAAGCACAGGTACATGGCTTAGAGCCTGCTCCATTCCAAACCACCATTGCCGGCAACCCGGCAACCCGCTGTGCTTGGTGCTGTGATGCTGCTGGCTCGATGTGGGCTCAGTTAAACTTAACCCCAGGAAGATACCACAACTCGGGTGAAAACCAGGCTCTTGCCATTGCACGTAGGGGCGGCTAAAGTGGAAGAAGGGGAATTTCAAATGAATTTCAAACTACTCATCAGCCTCATCAGCTAGTATTTTGTGTAAAACATGCGCGTCTGCAACAATCCTGCGCGAAAAAAACTCAGGGCTGCCAGAAAACAGCCAAATGCGAGCCAAGTCCAGCAATGTGTCGCAATTGACTTGCTTCACAAAATCATCTTTTCCAACAAGTTGCCTGATCGCTTTCTTGGGGTGTTTTTTTCAACCTGGAGGATCAAATGGTTTAGAAACTGCGAAATTCGTATTATCATGTGAAAATCATGTGGTTAGTAGCTGTTTGGCTCCACATCTGATGGGGAATATGGATACACATAGCTCCGTTGCCCCCAAATCATCCAAAATCCATTAGCTGATCACCATTTTCCCCACCTTCCCCATTCGTTTAATGGATTTTAATGGCCATAAATCAAATTCTTACGGACAAACCTCCCACTGGGTTCCCAACACTGAGACGTCACTGGCAAGGGGCGGCCTGCGGCAAGCTGCTTAAGATCCACAAGCTGCTTGAACTGGCCCAATGTTTGGCCATGAAAATCATGGAATTTTGCCACAACCAACACCCATCATTTGATTTATGGCCATTTAATGGATTTTAATGGCCATAAATCATGAAACCAGAATTTGAAGTTTAACTGACAAGAAATGTGGAGTTTCGCCGCAACCAACACCCATCATTTCAGCGAGCCGTTGAAAAAGGATATCTCTGGTGGCCCCCCGCGGCGCTTTGAGATCAAACACATATGAAACACCCCTGGCATTCCGTGGCTAAAGATCAATGAATTATGGTTTAAGGAAAAACCGAAAACCGGCAAATCTCTTAGTACCTCCAAATTGATTGGGATTTGATGGGGTTTTCCGGCAAGTTCTCCCAGCATTTCATCTATTTCTTGGCCCGCCGCCGCTCATTTTCACTCCAACAGCTCTCTCTGTGCTCGGCTGAGGTCAACCACTACCTTAGTCGAGACCGACCCTACGTATGGTTCGAGAAGGTCATCCCCCAACTCCACCTTACCCAAACAGAAAGAAGGGCCCATTTGTTAAGCACTGAACATGTAGGGCTTGGGATGGTAGTTGTCAATGAGTAATAATGAATCTCGACGCTATGAATTAATTATGTATCTATCATCAATTGTAGGGATCACGGTATACAACTATCAAAAAGTTGGATATTACTTGCTGTAATGACCAAAAAAATGGGACTATATTATGGTAATGTTGATTCATGCCCGCTGGTTGATTCACATCACCCAGAACCGCCCAGGACGAAAAATGTCGGACATTCTTCAACGGCCACCGGTGGTGTTCGATTGAAATCCACAGGATCCTCCAACCGGACATCTACTAACCCAATTTACAACATAATTTACATAAGAACATCTCAAAACAGATCTATAGAATGATGATTTTATGGCCGATTCCCCGATATTTAGCGCATCATGTGGCTGGCGAGCTCCCTTTCTGCAGCAGAACAATTTGTCTGCCTCTGAATGGCTCAACTTGGTCGAGTCGTTCAGGGCCAGGAACAAAAAAAGGTGGGCTTTTTGGCGGGGTTTCAGCGGCTTCAGCGTTGGGATCATTTAAGGCCGGCCGCTGATCCTGATTTAAGTTTTCCTGATCTCAGCCATTTAAACACCAGAGTTGATAGGTTATTATGGGGATATTATCGGGTTTAATGGCTCATCATTTGTTCAGCAAATGAGTAACATTTGAGTAAGTCTTGGAAATATCTTGAAATGGATACATTCTCTCTTGTTCCCACAAGGATACAATGTGATGTCATGAAGTGAAATCTGCTTGGCTTCTCAATCTGGCACGTGAAGTTGGTATTGCTGAATCCAGGTGGAAAACACTGATATGACATATGATATATGTGACATATGAATGTACATGACATAGTATGTGGTACTAACTATGCCTGATACGTATAAGTATAGTTAAACAACTTATATACAGTATCTAGATTATAGATACTGATTAGGTGCTACTCGTTCTTCTTGATATGTTCAGTTTCTCACCTTGTCAAAAGACAGCCATTCAATCATTAAAAAACTTGAAAAAAAAAACGTTCGCCAAAAACATGTCCTGCAAGGTGGCCCCTGATTTCCAATGGTCAAACGCTGAAACCCACCTACTCTGCGCGCGGCTCAACGGTCACAGAATATCTCTAAGACGTCCACAGCCCAGTTCCTGCATTTTCGCCCATGCCTCCTGCACGGTGGGAGACTCGAAAGTGTCTAGTCATGTCTAGTCACCCTGGAGTAGATAGAAAGTGGAATTCTCAATATGATTCCCACTTTAGTGAGGATATTTTGAATTTTCCATATTCGATCTACTTCAGGATGACTGTATATATATAGATATATATATATGCATTATAATATATGTATATATTGTTTATGTGTACATATGATATCATGTGATAAATGTGTTGATATAATAAGCTTCGATTCGCTTAAGGAAGCCCAAAAACATACACATATTCGCGATAGATTCCCAAAGTAACTAGTGCATTTCCAGTTGGGGAAAAACAAACCACGCAAATGTGTGTGTGGATTTTATGCTCTGTTTACTATTTACTATTGATGTCCAAGCCAGCCCCCCCTCATGTATAAGGCCACATACCAACCAACATCTGGCCGTGAGGTGGTATTGAACATATCTTTCCAAAAAAAACGTGTTTCTAGATTGCAAAGCAACAAGGATTGGAACATATCTATGTATAATGTATGCTGGTTGGTTTTTGTTTTTAATAAAGACACACACACACATTTATACTATATATGTGTAATATATCCATATATATATATACACACCTCTGTGTGTGTATGTATGTCTGTGCATGCATGCATGTGTATATATATATGATTGTGATTGATTCTGTATGAGTGTGTGTGTGTGTATGTATTGTGTATTCACAGTGAAACAATCATCCCCTTCACAAATCTTCAACACATCCCCACATACATCAAAGTGCGGTCAGTGGAACCCTTGGCCAACAAGTCAAATCATGACTTAAATTTGACTTCAAGAATCCGACGGTGTCCTAAACGTCTTCAATCAAACTGCGGTTTGGGACCGGGATTTGTCTGAAAATTTGGTACTCTATTCTATCAATTGGTTCATCTTATCTTACCTATTATTTGATGGCCAAAAAATTGAAGTATACAGTACCCCATTTTCACGCACCCAAATTCGTCAGATCCCATTGTTTGATTGTTAAGTAAAATCTAACACTTAGTCTAATTCTCATGTTTGACCATATTTTTTTTTGATGTTTTTCCCTCGGAAAAACAGCGTATCCCTTGAATCGAAGGTATTTTCCTCAGCGTCGCAAAAAACGAGTTGTCGCCTTGTAGTCTTCGAAGAAGGCATTTTGGTCTGCCGCATACTTTTCCGCATACCTCAAAGGATCATCCCTGGGGAAAAGCCATCAGAGCATGGGGGATCCAGGAGGATAACCACTGAACTCCAGAATCAGTAAAATCCATCAGTAAAATCCCGTGAGGAAATGGAGGTTTTGAGGTTTTCATTGGGAAATAATGGGAAAATCTACTCAAATTATGAATTTCCATGACATGTTGATTTACTGGAGGCGATAACCACTACTCTCCCCGCTCCCCCAAGTGTCACCAACTCAAAAACCATTCGGAAAAAACCTGTACCATGGTGAAAAACATGGACATGCTCTGCACGCCAATATATGGTACAGATATATATATATAATATAATATATATAATATATATTACATTGAGAAAATAAATATAGATATGTGCAGATACCTCTACATCTATATCATTATATAACTATTTCTACCAATAAAATATACAGTAGGTGACTCAGTAGGTGTGATTGTATCATATTGTATCTATGTTTTCTGCCCAGGGGCGGTTTGAATTTTGCGTCCTCAATCAATACCATGTCTGTAGGAAGCATCATGGTCTTGCCACTGACATACTGAATCTTGCCGTTTTTGGCAGTGGCCTTTGTCCACGTCTTCTTCAACAAATCTCTGAAATAGGAATTGTCCTCGAACGCAACACGAATCGGCAAGGCACTCATCGATTTTTTGGCATTTTGGGCAGCTCGTCAGCTAGGAGCCATGAAAATTCAACAGGTAATGACTATAGTCAGTGGTTGCCAAGGAAAGGCTGCATCCCAAATCATACCATAAAAAAGGGCCTTAGAGATCTTCGTGATCAACAACCGCTAGGTATCGGGCAAAAACCACCCAAGAACCAGATATGTTTTGCCTCTGGTAATCGAAATATATATATATATGTATGATACTGTATCTATACTTGATCTGTCCTTGGAGATCCTCCTTGATGAGCATGCCACGGAAGTCACTTGGCCTGTTGCTGACAAAGTGGTTGAGTGATGGGGTTGTATACATAAAGGATTGTGCACAAATGTATGAACCCTCAAAGCAGCTGGGGCACCTTTTATCCGTCTTGAGCCAAAACATATCGTTAGGCGGATATAGGTCTACACATGTTATGTAGGAACCCATACCTAAACACCCCTCCTAAGTTCATGCCTTTAGCATAGAACTTCAAGCTACAAGCTGTTTCGCCTGTCTGTTCCTACCTTCTACAGACACCTGCCCCATGCGATTCATGTGGCACCATGCAGCGTCAGAAGGAAGTGGCTTCGTACACAGGTCAGACAGATTCTGATGTGTACCCACCGGCTCGACCTTCAGAGTTTTGGTCGACACTTTCTCCTGGATCCACAGGAACCTAGTCTGCACGTGTCTTGTTTTACCAAGACCCCTCCTTGACGCGATTCCTCTTGCTGCCGAACTGTCGCTCAGCAGAACCAGTTCTGTGTCGATCTTCCACTCGTCGAGCATTGCTTTCAAACCCAATCCTACTGACCCTGCTTTCACCAAAGCATAGAATTCCGACTCTCCACTGCTGAGGGATACAGTGCTCTGCAGGTTACTACTGTGCTTCACACAGCATGAACCCAACATACACACGATCCCGGTTGTGCTGCGACGGGTCTTCAAGTCGCCAGCGTGATCTGAGTCACAAAATACTCGGATGGTGTTGAACATCTTCTGGGGTCGAAACTTCAATACCACTCGCATGTGACCGGACAGATAACGTCCAAGGCGCTTGAGCTTCCCCCAAGCATATTCGGTAGGATGTTGCATGTGCCGAGCAAGCGATTTCGTTGCTTCAGCCAGGTCGGCACGATCCATTGACAGGTAAGCAGCTCGCATTGTAAGAGACCTGTATTGTGAAACTTGTTCTGGTTCCAAATCGGGCTGCTCTTCAGCCGCGATAACATCTTGTATTTTCTGCTTTTCCGCCGGTGTACTAACCGGTTTGCAACCTTCCAAGTTTAGGGCTTTCACAATGTATTCAGCATGGCGTGGATCTGCTTCATAGTCCAACACGCCAGTCGTCTTGTCATAGCTGATCACTCTATTGAGTACGCACATTGACGTACCATCTCCTCGTTCTGGACCAATCAGGCCGTCCACACGATATTCAAATTTCTTCTTTAAGCATTCTTCGAGATACTTCAAAGCTTCATCGTCACCAAGGCAAATGAAGTCATCACCGTGAACGATGAAACGCAAGTCCATTTCATCATGGATGAACAGTGCCGGCCATGCTTTGCACTGTCTGAAGTTGTTCTCCGTCAGCAACTGTACGTATGTGGATTGCCAGATGTTGGCAGCATCCAACGTCCCGTACATTGAGCGTTTGAGGAGCGCGCAAGCTCCCTCTTGTTCACTGCCTTCTGGAAGAGTACAGAAAACCCTCCTCTTGGATTCTCCGTAAAAGTGCGCCCTGGAGATGTCTATCAGCATCATTTTGTAGGGCCTGTTCCTTTTGCTGGTGCGTTTCGACACCATCAACGCACAAAGCACTTTGAGAGATTCCAGCGGAGGCATTGCACTAAAGCTTTCGAACTCCGCCAGTGATTTCGATGCCTTCTTCACTTCCCGAACCACCAAGCGAGATCGGTAGTTTGGATGACTGTCGTCACCCTTGTTGCGGTCCACCCACTTAAGGGTTATTGGAGGACGGTTGGTCTCCTCCCAGCACATAGTGGTGGGAACAACATCCCATAGCTGCTGCTTCTCCACCCACTTCATCTCTTCCTTTCTGGCTTCCAAAACTTTCGCTGGATCCAGTGGCATGCCTGTCACTGAGTCCACATAGTCGCTGACAGTCTCGTCCACGAAGCTTTCGGTTTGGTCATTTGAGGTATCATCGGGTGAGGGACCCGATGTGAGCTCTGCCAAGGTACTGAGTTCGCCTCGAACTCGAAGCTCTCGCCGAATTCCATTCAGAATTGCAGAGACCAGTTTCGGTGGATACGTCTGTGCAGCACGAGCTCTGCCATTGATCAGGTGTACATGCCTGTGTCCACCTTCACACTTTCCTTCGATACACTTTGCCATTTCAGGAGAGTTGGTCAGCCAGCAGGTATCCTTCCTGACATATCCCACACCCTGCTGATCCTCAGCGACCATCTCCCACTTGCACATAGGCGACTCCACCTTGTACACTCCAGGCAGGCTTGCTAAGCGCTCGATTTCCGGTTCCTGCCAGCTTGCGCTGGGTTTCGGATGTTCATGCAGAAAGAACCTGCCATGGTTGTGTTGCTCCAAATAGCAGTCCACAGCCACCTTCAAGTGCATTCGACCTTCTTCTAAGATCTGCTGATTCTCTTCATCCGTTCTTTTGTACTTGCTGAGATTCTGAAGTGGGCTGAATGGCCCACACGGAGGTGACCCGACAAGGAATAGCGGTTTCTCCTTCTTCAGGAGCCTCCTCAACTCTCGCTGATCTGTGTCCTTTGACAGATCCCAATGGTCTCCTTTCGAGTTCTTGGAAACCATCAAATCAACTGCAAATCCAGGTCGAAGACCGAAAAGGTTAGCCTTCGAAGTGAAACGCTCGGGATTGTAGATCTCGGCCACGTCGCTTTTGCTGATTCCCATGGAGCACAGTAGTTGGCTGATCTCGTAGATCTCTTTCTTGGACTCCAGTTTATGAAACATGTTGGCTTCCAAAACGGAAACCATGTCAGATTGCCCAGATCCTTGACTCTGAGCTGCCGGTGCCTCACTTCCTTGAACTGGAGGTGCTGGATCATTAGATCCACGGGCCTCTTCTCTTTCAGCCACCTGAGCTTCTCGATGGCTCTCTTCACCTTCTCTCTTTTGTCCCCTCTTCTCCGGAGACTTCTGCCTCTTGGCTGCCCCTCCTGGGGAAGACCCTTCCTCCTCCAAAGGACGTCTCACCGGGTCCGGTCGGACCAAAGGTCCGACTCGACCCTCGGGTTGTCCAATGGCTGCATCTGCCGCCATCTCGACAGCATCATCTGGGCCATCCCGCAGGACCAACTCATTCGGCTCATCCGCGTCCGCTGACGCCTCGCCTTTCCTTTTCTGAGCCTTCAAGACTCGAGCCCGTCCTTCCTCAGTCCGAAGAAGTCTCTGTTGCACCAAGGTTCGACACTCACTACTGTGAGCTCTTGCTGGCAGTCCGACTTGAATCGCATTGCAACCTTCGCATCCAGCTGTGTAGTTTCCCTCCACGTCGGCTTTCTTGACATAGAGGTTCCTTGGCAGCGAATCTCGATCCGCTGGGACTGGCATCAGTCGTACACCAGGCTCAACCGCAGGCATTGCAATCGCTACTGGTGCGTCCAAGTCTTCTGGCTTCTGTGGCCTCATTTTCCACGGAGTGCCGCACATCTGATCGAAATCTTCCGTCGACCAGCGCTTCTCCTCCGGCATCCGTTTCACGCTGCCACCCTTGATCACACCATCCTTGGTCATGACCAGCGCGTCGCCATTGCGACCATGGGCCCCCATGAACATGCCTTCCCGCATCGTGTCATAGGGCCCTTCCAGATAGCTCTTCAGAGGCTTGAACCACACTCTTTCACCAAAAGTGACGGATGGTCGCTTCCACCGTCTGCCGCGAGAACGCTCGTATGGCGTTCGTCCGTCCGTTCCCACTCTGAAGCGGGAGATCATGAAATCAGCATGACGACCGACCCATGCAAGAATCGGATGCCGATCTCTCACCTGAATCCCCAGCTTTTCTTCCAGGGAACTCTTCATAGCCTTGGTCTGCCTTTTGGTTTCTCTAACGGCAACTTCACAAGCGCCGTTTGCCTGCGAGTCTCCTGTCTTTGACTCCTCCAAGACGATCTCAACCGTCTTGATGCATTTCTTCACAGCCTCCTTGAGGAACTTGATTGAGTTCTCATTGTCCGACTTCAGCACCAGTCTCCTGTACCCTGACTCCTCAAGGCACTGGATGACGAAGTTCACCGCGTAGTTGTCTGCGCCCTTGGCTGGAACCACGCTGCACCACATGTAGCCAGTGTACTCGTCTTTGACCTGCAACGAAGGCAATTCGCCTTCAGGCTCCACTTCCGGCCGACTCTTCGAATCCCTGCCCATCCAAAAGTAGTCCATTGAAACGATGGGCAAACCACGTTCATCTTTTCCTTGTTCAGGTTCGCTAGGATGCCGCTCATGCAGTCCACGAGCGCGCATACAGTGGCCACACCAGGTCCTATGGATGGTGTGCCCTGTTGCTTCGTGCTCTTCGATTTCCTCCTTTGTTGGTGAAACCGGCGATCGAAGCAGCTTTGGCTTTCGACCGCTCTCCTCATCTTGCATTTCTTCTGGACTTACGGATTCACCTGCCTGGTGAAACCCTCGTCCATTGCTCCAAGATTCTTGCCAAAATGGCCTGACTCGTTGCCATTGACCGAGCCATTCAACCAAAGATCGAAGACAAAGATGCCCTTCTGCTCATAGAGTTGCGTAACTTGTTGGGCTTCCCCAGGGTGCTTCTTCACCAGGTCGTCATACGCAGCACGGAGTCCTTGAGCAATCTTGCCATTCTTTGGGATGATGACGCCCTTGCCATCCATGAGCATTACCACATTCTTCTTTGAGACTGCGGTGCCGCTCGCCAGCATTCGGTGGACATCAATCAACCGACCTTCAACACTTTTGCCAATGCCATTGTTGTCGTACCCTTTGACGACGACGCCTCCACTGTCGGAGAGAAGTTCACCAGAGGCCGTCTTATATGAGGCATTGTTCGGATTCTCATCGCCCTGAATCAATCCAGACTTTTCCAATTCAAGCGGCACTGCTGTGACTGCAGCGCCAGTGTCGAAGTTCACCACCAACTTCGTCCATTGCTCAGAACTTCCATGGCTACTGTTCCAACCGCCTTCAAAGGAGTTGATCTCCTGCACCTTGCCGAAGGTCTTGACCACCACGTCGTTGCGTCTCTTGATGAATCCAATTTCACGATCAACCTCAGAGTGGCCCATATTGCATCGTGCACCTCGTCGACAAAACGACCGCTTGAAGTCACTGCACATCATGCCACCCTTGGGATGATGAAGATAGAAAGCATCCTCCTTCTTTGCCATCCTTCTGCGAGCTCTAGCAGTTTTGACCCGGAAGGACCTTGCCAACTTCTTGGATTCGGTCATCGTTCGTTGACGTTTCTTGTGGATGTCGACCCGTTGTCTGCTCATGACACGCTGTTCATCAGCGCGTGTCTCAGTCTTGAACTTGGCGACTTCATCTTGGGTCAACTTCCGGTATGACCTCGACGACCTAACAAAGACACCAGCGTCCTTCCGCTTGAGATGTCCTCGACGAACCAACTTTGGCTTTCCACTCAAAACTCGGATCTTATCCTCCTCGATGACCACTGCCTCTGTCTCGATGCCTCCTAAAGTTTCGTCGTGGTACTCCTCATCCTTGACCTTCTTGCTGTCGAACTCCTTGTGCCAAGCTTCATCCAAACGTAGCTTCTCCTCAGCGCGTTCCTTGCCTCCAGATCGTCGATGAAGAGTTGCTTTGCGCCGCTTCTTCTCCTCGAACCAAGCCTTTGAGTGAGAGACGCCGGCCTTCAGCGCAGCATGATATCGAGCGTCATGCCAGCTTTGATCGTTCACTGTTGCCTCAGTGAGCTTGAAGCTTCCTTGAGCCTTCTTTTCCTTTGCCTCCTTGTCGTTCTCGCGGATCTTCTCTTTGAGCTCGTTCTTGCGAGCATCAATCTCTGCGATGCGTTTCTCAATCCGCTTGTACTCGTCCTCGTCGTCGCACTCTTCAAGTTCCTGGATCTTCTCACGTTTCTCCGCGTCTAAGTTGGAGACTTCCAAGAGCTCCACGGTTCGATGCATCGCTTGGGTTGACGAAGTTCCGATGGGTCGAGACGGTGTTGGGAGCTCGGCCGATCCAGAGGATCGACTCGGCTCTTCCGCCTCCGGAGCCGACCGAAGACCAAAGGTCCGGTTCGCTCCTTCCATCAGCGACTTCGAGACCCTTTCGAGGAAGCCGATTCTAAGATCATTGCGATGATGTTCGACCAGCTTCAGAGACTCCGCATTGGATTCCCGGCTCAACGACAAGGGGTCGTGCTTGTCTCTCAACTCCTTCTTCTCATCCTCACTCAAACCATTGAAGTGGTCGATGGTGATGCCTTTGAACAGACAGATCGTCTTGTCCAGGACATAGTGGAACTTCTCAGGCTTGAGGATCTTGAGATAGTCACGAACTGACTTCTTCTCAGGCTTGTCCTTGGAGGATTCTTCAACTAGGCGTTCACGTTCCAAACCACAGACTCCACACTCGTGGTCATGGTGCTTCTCATTGGAGTTCCTCTGACACCTGAAGTGAAAGCAAACGTCACACGGCTCAGCGCAAGTCGAATCCTCGGACTTGACCATCACATACTTGTCACTTTCGGGACGAACAGTCACAAAAGTTGAAGAGCTGCTCGGTCCGGCATCCTCCTCCATCTTGACGTCGTCCTCGCTCCATTCCTCCAGCATGGCAATGCTGAGGAACCCAGTGTCCAAAGGTTCGGCTTGAGGCTCTTCTTCAAGGTTTCCAACACCCTTCGATTTGCCACCTGACTTTGCCTTGGCCTTGGGCTGTTTATTCTTGTTGGCAGCACCTCCACCGGCCGCCCAACAGTCCTTCTTGAGGTGTCCGATCTTGTTGCAATTGTGGCAAACTCGGGTCTCTTTGGATCCACTACCGGACCCTTTGCCCTTGTTGTCGGTCTGTCCGGATCCTTTGCCGGACTTGCCTTTCGGAGAACCTTTCTTGCCATCTCCTTTGCCTTTCTTGCCTTTGCCCTTCTTGCCTCCTTTTGAGAAAGAACCCACGTCCATTGGATCACCACCAGAGGCTGAATGAGCACCAGATGCATCTCCAAGCTTCAGTCGGTGTCCAAGTCTCGTTTCCAAGAACATCACCAACTCCGCCCTGACGTCAGCGTAATCGCTGTAGCGACTGCGATTCAGTTGTAGGTGTCGTTCTATCTCTACGGGGCATAAAGGCTCAAGGATCGACACCTTGATCTCGGAGTCCAACTGTTGCCGGGTGCCATCAGATCGTCTTCGTTGCTCGTATTGACGAACATTTTCTTCCCAAGTCTCCACTGCCGCCCACAGATGATCCAACTTCGTGCATTTCTGTGGTGACAGGGATTGCCCGAAGCATTGCACCGCGTCGTCCACCCGTGCTAGGATCGAAGCGTCGATTCAGTTTGCGCCACGCTTCAAGTCCTTGAGATTTTCCAGCCGACCTCACCACCTGGAAAGCCTCTTTCTCGCAAAGCGTTTGCAAGATGGCATACAGCTGACCAGAGATCTCCTCCACATCCTCAATAGTCTGATGGGTCGGATTCACTGGTCCAAAGGCCGCTTTGATCTCCGTCGCAGTGATCTCAGTGTCTAAATCTTCTGCCCACTCCAACACTGTCTCCATCTTGGGGTGCACGCTGGTGATGAAAGCTTCCATCCTGGTCTTCCAGTACAACCAATTGGACTCTTCTCCAAGGAACCTGTCAGGCTTCGCCAAGCCCCGATTGTCCACCAAGGTCACCTTCTTGTCAGGCCGATCGCGCAACGCCTGAACCAGATCATTCTGACTCCTCGCAAGCTCCTGGAACGCTGCCCCAACATTGGCTTGAAACGCTGCCTGCTGTTGCTGTGCTTGGGCTTGGGCTTGCTGTTGCTGTCCATTCAAGACCTGATCCAACTGTTGCCTGAGAGCCGCTTCACGCTGTTGTGCATCCGTCTGCCCAGCTGTCAGTTGCTCCACCTGTTGTCTAAGAGTCAACTCACGTTGTTGTGCCTGCTGCATGTTCGCCTGGAGTTGCTGGACCGTGTCGATGAGCTGCTGCGCGGTCATTGCTCCTTGTCCTTGAGCTGCCGCCATTGCTGCAAGTGATGTCCCAAGTTGGCCCAGATACGTCTCAACCTGCGGATCCTAATCACTTTCCTGACAAGTCTCTCCCACCTGTCAGCCACGCTCCGGTCCTCCACGACCAAAAGCCTGGACGCGCCGATCCAAAGGATCGACAGCAGTCCAATGGCTATTGCGATGATCCACCAATGGTCAATCGCCACAAGGATCAGTGCAGCTAGCTCAACCAGACGCTCCGCTACCATGCACAAATGTATGAACCCTCAAAGCAGCTGGGGCACCTTTTATCCGTCTTGAGCCAAAACATATCGTTAGGCGGATATAGGTCTACACATGTTATGTAGGAACCCATACCTAAACAGATTGTGATTTCCAGTATATTATATACCAGAAGGTTACAATAAGTAACTTATGAGGCTATATAGATTCTCATAGATCCTGATATTCAAAAAAACTTTTTTTGTTGAGGAAGACCCATATTTATGGCAACATGCATGGAAAAACCGGGTTTCTGAAAAAAGACCTACAAATTTGTGGGTCCATGCGGCTGATGGTATAAATAGGAAATGTTCATCTATAATCATCTATATATATATATATGTATAGATAGGGGATGTTCAACTGCCACATTTGATGACACCGGAGGATACATCTCGTTGATCCTGTGCATCATCCCATTTTTATTGGATCCAAAATGCATCTGTCGGAGATACCCTGAGCTGGTAGTGGAAACTCCCCGCATTCTCCCGCATCTAATGATTCAGGACATATCATATGATCCAAGTATAGAAAACATTACATAATGACATGATTTATGATCTAAAGCATATAATATATATAACATCATACATATGTATACATATATATATATATATTACTTAATATAACATAATATAACATAATATAACATAATAATAACATAATCTAATCTAATCTAATCTAATACAATATAATATAATATAATATGATATGATATGATATAGTATTGTAAACCTATAGGGTTATGTTCATCTCAGCCAGCGAGGGACTGGAAATCATTGTTTCTTATTTGTTCATTGTTTTTTCATTTTGATCATATTTTTTTGGATTGAAAATGATCATTCCCTGTTTATCCCCGTTAAGTTTGTTCATTGTTTTACATTCCTTTTTTTCCTCCCTTTGGCATTTTCATTTTTCTTTTCTTTGCTTCGAAAATGGTCCTTGGTCCTTGGGAATTGCCACCAGGAGCTTTTTCTCGAACCCTTTTCGTTTCTTTTCATTTTGTTTCGTTTCTGTATTGTTTTGGTTATTTTCCCTTCCTTTGCCTTGAAAATTGTCCTTGGAAATTATCAAAAGGAGCTTTTTCTCGAACCCTTTTCGATGTTTTTTCCGTTTTTGTATCGTTTTGGCATGATATATCGAATGACTTGACCCCACAACTTCCAAGTCTCGAATTTCAACTTGTCATCCGTCCACGGACCTTCAAAACCCGAACGATCTGCGTGGCACGCGCCAACACTGTGAGCGCCAGAGAGAGCCACGATGTCTTTATCCGTGAACCCCTTGGGGTAAAAAATATCGCGCAAATGTTGGGCGTCCTTGGTTTCGCAGGGGTTTTGAGGAATTTTTGAGGGAACTCTTGCAGATTTTTTTTGGAACAACCTTCCTCTTTGGTAGTGGGTTGCTAAGCGAAACAACAAAATCAGTTTTTCAGTGCAAATGTCCGCTTAAAACCAAGCAAGTTGCTGACCAAGTTAGCTGATTCTTCAATGGTGGAATCGTTATAGGGCACCATTGTATCCATTGGATTCTCATCATTTTCCCGACATTTTCAAATAGCTTTATGTGGTTTTTTGTACCCTAGACATATTTGGATGTGCATCCCACTTAGAAAGTGGTTTATAATCCATGGTCCATATATATATATATATTATATATATAATCATATGTATATATATATAATTATATACCCCATCTAATCCCATCAGTGGCTTATATTCCATTCATCTATATCATCTATATCATCTACATCTTTAACTATATGTTTTTTCACATTTATGGTTAATCCCAGGGCCTTAAAAGGGGCCGTCCAAGGATCTTTGTCTGCGTCCGGCAGCCGGCCTGCCGCGGACTGGGCACCTTCGGAGAGGCCCTGCGCATCAAGGCGCCCAAAATGCGTCACGATGCTGGGACCCCCCATGACTTTGATGGCCACCTGAAAGGGAGATCTGAAGAAAAAAACACGAGAGGGATGAGGGATCCAAAATACATCATAAAGGAATATAAGTATGAATATATATAATAATAAGAATATTTTAAGGTATAGTTCTAGAATAAGATATTAATCTGATATCATCATAATATATCATAATACGTCATAATCATACAATCGTTCTCTATTGAATCGCTGGACCCATCAGCAAATCGGCCGATCGCCCAGGCACGTTTGCAGCTAAAGCCCACAAATCCGCATGCGAAATGAGTCTGGGAACGTACCTGAGACTGACTTTGTACTGCCAAAATGATCCACCACTGAGTCGGATTTGGGCGGGAGAGGTTGTCAGTAATGGGTCTCTAAATAGGATGTACAACAGTCTTGGACAACACAAACGAGACTGGTTGTTTGGTAACTTGGCAAGGCCACAACGGGGTGATAAGATAGGCTCAGAGCTCAACATATGGTGAATACATTGTGTGGTTCAACCTCCCAAAAGTGACCAACCAATAATGGATGGTTAAGATTTGCCCTTTCTTTCACGTGGCTGGTTGTTGATAAACAACGAAGTGGTGATAAATGGATAGACTCTATAGACCCTTTTAATGGTGATAAACCCTTTAAATGGATGGTGATAAACATTGATTCAAAGCCTAAAATCGAGTCGTGCTTCACCATCCACGCCACTTCTCGCTGATCTGCTTCAGCAAAGGAATGGCCACCTGAAATTCGTGGTGTAAACTCACCACCATCATCAAAGCTACGCTGGAAACAAATGAAACAAATCCCATACACTATACCGGTACAGTCCCTTCTGCAATCAAATATGGCAATGTGAGATCCGCTTTTTTTACGTGCTATGTTGGCATGGGAAAATCATCTATAAATGTGGGATTTCCCATGGCCAGGGTTGGTTACCGGATGTTACCGGTATTGAATTTTAATGTATGATCCTCATTTGACGACGTACAATGGGATAGTCCAAGTACTAACCATTTGCCAACCAGTCTTCATACGCTCCCTATTTTGGGGTGGTGATATCCCAAATTCCTTGTTTGTTAAGTTAAGACCCAACTTCTAATGATCAATTATTACGCGATAGCTGAACAAAACATACAACATATCAATTTTAGTATCATCAACTAACACTGATCAAACCACACATCAAATCAATTCTGTGTCAGGGTTGCCCCCAACATCCCAAATTCCAAGGGAGTAAAACGGGTAAAGAGGAAACCAATTCTTCAAAAGCTGCTATTATTCACCTATAATTGATGAGTTGGAGCCACCCTGTTTGATCACATGGTTAAATCTTCAACTCATGTGCCATTACTTTTGATGGACAAAAAACATGTCTGGTTTGCCATCCCCAGTTCTAGTTCGCGGTCCCCAGTATCTACTGGGAGGATTCCACTTAGTAGACTTAGTAAGTGGTTGATAGTTGCATAGTTATCATAGTTTGGTAAGTCCTCATTCAGCTTATCCAAAAAATATCCAAACATCTCTGGCTTATATGGTTATCAATTAATTAGCAGAACATTTGATCACCACTTCTTATCTTCCTGGGATCCCCTGCACCTGCGGCAACCCCGCATTGGCGCCGAAGCTGTACTCACCGCCGCCCGCCAGGCGCATGGCCGCGTTGGGGCAGCCGTCCACGCCGTTGAAGACGCCCGCGTCGTGCCAGGCCAGCCGGATCATGATGGGACCACAGCCTGGTGACCCGCATAGCCTTAAAAATGCTGACCCCCATGATATTCTAGGAGTGCTACCGTTTTTTGGTGGGTCTAGGAATATCATGGAATATCATGTTAGGGGATTTTGCCATGATTTTGCCAGCAAGTATGAAAGAAACACATGAAATTCAGTTGATTTCAGGAGTGATTTTAGGATGCACTTCGCACCCTGGCGGTGATAGTAGGTTTGTTCCTTTCTGAAGACCCTCAAAGCAAAAAAACACATCGCAACTACCGGTGTTCTGGCCCCCCACAAGCCAAAAATGTGTGTTTTGTTCCACTCGGCTAAAAACAGGTGATATTTACAGTGTATTTAGCAAACAACTACGATGGCCCAAAACATTGGTATTTACGCAGTTTGAGATGTTTTCAGCAGGTTGCCACCGTTCGGTTTTCACACGCAATGAGCAACAACGCCCCAAAATTGCAATGTTTGAGGGAACCTCGTTTGAAGTGTTTGGAAAATGTTGGATCCGTTTATCCATCCAAAGGGCAATCAAACATCATCTGTGTGTTCCTGAAACCCATAGTGAGCTTATCTTTTTCCCCGAGGTCTCAGTTTGTCTGAAAATAGACTCTAAATCCACTGGTTCATGTTTAATCATCGTTTCCTTTCATTTTCGATAAATGATAGCCATGGAGCATCAAATCACCCGCATCACATCAAAGCCAAAACACACCAAAAACAGATCCAAACTCTCTGCCCAGAAAGCGCCCGATTTTCGACGTTCGGCACCTTTGATGGAGATGAGCTTCTCGAGGTCTTGCACCAAATGGCCATAGGTCAGGCACTTGATCAAGGTCAGCGAAAGCACAGGATCCACCTCGATCGAGTCGAGTAACGTCGAAAAAAGAAATACATGGCCGGGGTGAACACTTCGTAAGTGAACAATGGAAGCATGGAGAAAAAAACATGAGAAAATCATGGAAAATCTACAGTAATTTCTGTCTCCATCTTTTCTATTCCATACCTTTTTGCTCCTTTTTGTTGCATGCGGGTGTGGCTCAAAATTACACTCACCTATCTGCAAGACCAGGTCAACTGGCACTGGCCTGGTCTTTTGGGTTGATAGTATGTATCATATATAAACACCACCAGCACAAAAATAAATATATATTATTAATATAATATATATATATATCAGTGCAGTGTTCGGTGCCTTGCACTTCTGCAACATTCCTTCCACACTTCGCACACCGTTCACTTCCACAATGGCATCGCCTCGGATGAGTTCGCTGTTTGACCGCAGAAACATAGGGATTCAACCGTGAAAGAAGGACATTTTCATGGGATTCAATGGGATGTATACAACCAGCATGATCCAGCCAGCTGATTTCGGTGTGTCTGAAAATCAAATGGCGATTTTGGTAGGGATCATGATGGTTAACCAATGGATCTAGGGGGCCATAAGTCCATAAGTTCAAAGAAAACCAATTTGGGACCACAAAGTTGTAAAGCCATATCTTTAAAAACTATATAGACCATCTACAGTATGTGCCTAGAGCTCATGATTTTTGGCACATAGACCACAACTCAGTCCCCTGAAATGGGTATATTGTGAATGGTACTGTAACCAGGACCATTGGACCATTTTTTTCAAGCCTGGGTCTCCAGGAATCAACATGCCGAAGCCATGCAGTCTGGATGATTTATACCCCCTCCAAGCATCATGAAAACAGTGAGTTCATTTAAGATCTCTTGAAGGTCGTTGTGTATATATAATCATATAATAATTACATAATTAGATATAGTCTGCACATAGTACTACGGTTCATTTCACAACACTTTATACATCATTGATAATTCTTGATCAACAATACGTCCAGGATCATCATCAGCCCACCAACACAAAGTTGCTTTCGGCCGTGCCGTTTTGGGGATGAACCCCAGGGTTTGTCTTCATGTTCCCCATGAACATTAACATATTGGGGTATCTACTACGGTATCTACCTCATTTCTGGATAGACCCAATTGGAGAGATCAAACCAACAAATGTTACCCTCTGGTAATTTAACATAGCTATTGAAAATGGCCATTTATAGTGGATTTTCCCACTAATAATGGTGATTTTCCATAGCTATGTGAAAGTTTACCAGAGATTAATGATGGTTCAATTCCATTTTTTTTATGTTTACACCTCCGATTTTGTGGAGGTCAGAGAGGTCGTTGCCAAGTGATTTGCCAAGGTAGAGGTAGAGTATCCGAAATGTATATCCGAATATTCCATTCAAATGATTCAAATGGTTGGCTTTCTGGCAAACATATGCAAAAAATAACCTAACATAACATACATAACATCATATTAGCTTGTTGACTGGCTGAAATCAGCAAAGATCGGCCAGTTGGGGATGACCCCCCCTTCTGAAAAAAGCATCTCCCGAAAAAAACCATTCTTTGGTTATCAACTGTCAATCATCCTAAGATATCCTAACCAATTATACAATCCAAAATCATTCCAAATCTATTATGTAAGAGTATTTGATAGGACATCCCAATTGCTAGTTAATTACTCTCCTTATTCCCTGTTATCTATACATATATTAGGTTCCCATCATACAACCTTTTTTGGTTACTGTTGATGGTTGTATCCCGGTCACAGCCATTATATCCCCACCAACATCCAAATTCATGTCCCAAGAATACTTCAATCCCATGAAAATCCTATTGAATCCCATATCTAATTCCATTCAATCGCCTTAAATCCTGTTAAATCTAATCATTACGGGACAAAAACAACGTCTGGCCCCTTACAGTACTCGGTGATCTCGGTGCGGTTCTGCCGTGGTGCCCGCACTGATCTTGGCCTCAGGATGCTCCTTGTTCCAGGCATCAGCAATGCCGCCAGATACGAAGAGGATGGGCAACACGCTCCGTTCCGCCATGAAATCCACATCCTCGGCAGATCCAAGATCAAAAGTGCTGGATTTCACAAAGCAACATGGGAGTTTAACATGAATTGACCGTGAAAACATGGGATGTTCACTTGTTTTGACTGTTTTGTCCCCACAATTCTGATTGAACTCACAAAAAACCGATGAAGATTGGGACTTTGGGAAGAAATGTGGGGATTTGATTACCTGATCAACAAAACAGGACCACTTCCGTGACCATCTCACTGCAGATACGAAACGGATCCAACAGCCCTGAAATCTGAATGGGCCAAACGGCTGTACACAGATTGGACATATATATATATAATATATATATAATATAATATATATATATAATATACATATTATAGCACAACAATAACAATAATAATAATAGCATGTATCATACATACGTAATTAACACTTACTGATGACATGATAGTTAGATATAGGTATACTGTATACTGAGTATATATACACAGTATAATTACTTCATGTGTGCCATGGTCAAAACATGGTATATGGGTATGGGATGGTATGGGTCCTGCAGCCTTGGCCATTGGAATTCCCGATTGATGGGAGGGGTTAACGCATGTTTTGACCATGGCACAACTCGATCCGTCCAAATTTGGGCACCTGCCCCAGGTGAACCTTTGCTTTCGCCCAGCCAGGACTCCATTCCCAAGGGTTGACCCTCGACTTTCACCAGGCTCGCTTTGTACATGCGCTCCGCTGGAGTATTACCACCGGTAACACCTGGCGTCCGCGTCCCGCGTCATGGATCTGGAGCTGGGCGTGTTTTTTTTCTGATGACTGTCTTTTCACGGGGAGAATGCAAGACCAATGGATAAACCCAGAAAAAGATGAACCAACGCCTGGATCATCCCCACAGCTCCTTCATGGCCGGCACCTGGGGGTCCTACTTCACTCGGAGGCCACGTCTCGACCTTTGGCATGGCTTCACCAGCGGCATCTTCGCCGGTGTCTGCCGAGGTGCAGCACTGCGCGTTGCCCATGGTAGCACCAAGGTTTGGAAGCCGGCAACAACACCACGGTTCAGAGCCAGGGCTGTGCGAAAATCTCATTTTCGGGTGAGGAAAAGGTGGGAACCCCCCAGCAGTTGGGGATGTTTGGGGGAGAGGGGTTTCTGAAATGATCTTAGAAACACCACAAAACATCTTGGGATTTCTGATTGTATTTTCCAGTCATTGGTCATTGGTCTGGTTGTGCTGTCCTCATCCTGCACTCAAAATGAAGTGCCCGAGGGGCCACTTTTTCTCCAGAAACGCGCCACAAAACCTCACCCAAAAACAGTCAATCAAGGAAAGGCAGACGGATTTCTGCCAAACCTACCAGCGGTATTGTCTGGTCACATTCAAATCCTTCTCTAGTTCAACAGATTGTGGGCCCAATGGCTAGAGGTCCATCAACACAACAACCAAGTACAACCAAGAATCGATGGAATGAAACTGTGGCTTGACAATGATAGGTCAATACTTTTCTCATGCCCATCTTGAAACTTCCATGTCTCACTTCTTGGCGATGGGATATTTCACCTCAGGACTCCGTAACCCAATCAGTGCGTATCAATTCTGCATTCATTTCTTCAAAGGCAATGAGATTTGGGGGTTCCATAAATGAGAGTACCCCAAAATGGTTGGTTTAATGGAAAATCCTATTAAAATGGATGATTTAGGGATACCCCCATTTCAGGAAACCTCCGTTTCTTTGAACTGAGCAGGATCAGTTTTCACCAGCAGTACCACAGAGCCACAACTGGGGCCACTGGACAGTCTTCATGGCTCCCGTGGTCTTTGCCTTGGAGGGTTCCCGCTGAAGCCCGGTGGTTATGTCTGCATGGTGTTTCGTCAGATTTTCCCACTGTTCAGTCACTAACTTGTGGCAATGTCTGTTTGTGGATCTTCTGCAGGATGTCAACAAACCAATTGCTGAATCTCAGTCCATGTCTCACAGACCATGTATAACTGCGGTCGATCCCATTTAAAACTGGCTTACAATTGTGCTAGTTAAACACGGCCCGCGGGTTCGTCTGAAACTTGGCCCAGCGTGGTTGATCATCGGACTTTCCCATTGAAATGGCGATGTTGGAGGTATCTCGCAAGTTCGCAACTGGGTAAGGGCTGCAAAACTATGACCTAATTGCCCAGTTACAATAAACAGATCTGTCACATAGACTTAGATTGCAGACATCACAGAGATTACAAACATTACAAACGTGAACATGTAAGGAATTCTCCACATAGGTTTGTCTAAAAATAGAGTACCCCAAAATCCATTGGTTCCCCATTGTGTTCTCTATGAAGATAGCATAACGTTCCCATTAATTGCGGTATTCCCCATTTTCAGATACTCTCAAATTATGGCAACCAATCAAAATCCATCCGTTTGATAGTGAAAATCATCCATCATCAGCCCAAAGTATCTAAAAATCATCTAACAATCTTCCAAAATCATCCCAAATCATCCAAAATATCCCAAATCATCCCAATTTTTCTGCTTAGACCCCCATCTTTATACCATTGTAGTTGCCGTTTACGGCAGCCGCCGCAGCCCCAAGAGATTGGCTGAGCCCTCCGGGCCGCCACGTCCAACTCGGCCTCCGCCGCCTTGCCGGCATAGAGGGCGTTCACCTGGCCATGGGAGCGGCTTTTCAATACTGAAATGGTTGATGTGGGGATAGATGGGATGTATACATCTAATGATATATGATGTATATATATATTATATTATATTATATTATATTATGTTATATTATATTAGATTATATTATATATTATCATATATCATTGGTATCATTATGACTTGTTTATTGTTATAGTGTTTATGTTAGTTAGTTCATATTCGTTCATTATTGATAACATGGATGTAGTATTTAATGATGTATTTATGACATTGATATGCATTCATCTGTCACATTTTACAGCGTATTAATGCGTATTAATATGTATCAATTATAGTTATCATTATCATGATTCATAAATTCGGGACAATCGGTATACGGTATACTGTATCCTAAGGATTCAAACGTGTTTTACCCGAAACTAAGATTGGGGATACATGGAAACAAAACAAAAAAGTCTATATAGTTCATTTTTATCCTCTTTTTGTATTTGGGATACAAACCATAAAAGCATATAAAAGCCATCAACAACTATGGCATATTGACTGACAACAAGACATTCAAGTGTCTACCCACAACAGTTGGATCTACTTGGTGGTTTCAATCCAACCTACCGGAAGGGAACCCAAATCTGTTGACACAAATGGTGTAGCTACAACAAGTCAAGTGGTCGGCAATCGGCAAATACATCCACCAAAATCAAGGCAATCATTATATATCATTGTCAATCAGTATCAATCATTCACGAACACTCAGGAAAACCACACCACAAAAAACTCCTTGGTTCCAAGGTGTCCAAGGTGTCCAAGGGAATCTCTCATCATCTCGTTTTGCCCAGCAGAACTTCCACCAGAAATTCCACCTTGCCGAACCAGTCCAGGTCGGTGAGGGCGGACTTCACGTCAGCTTCGATCAAGTTTCGGGCATCCAATTTGATGTCCACGAAGTCCTCCATGGTTTGGGATCGAAAATCATCGAACTCAATGGGGAATCTTCCCTGGGGAATTGAGATCCCACAACTGGAGGTTTTAATGGGAAAATCATCTATAAATATATCTATAAATATCTATAAATGATAAATCAAAGATTTTCTGTTTCCATGTTTGAAAGTTCTTTGAGTACCAGAAGGTATGTACCTCTTTTCCGTTGCTGACCCCTGGAAGGACGCTGCGCAGTCCTTCCAGGGGAGGGCGTTGTACTTGTTGCCCACATAGGCGACCTCACAGCGAGCCCCGTAGCTTTGTTTACTGTGTTTCTCTACGATAAGAAAATGGACGGAAGACCAGGGACCAACAAGTACGAAACACATCAAATACCAATTAGAGCTTTTTCGAGCTCTAGAAATGAAAGAAGCAGAAACGCTACTACAGTAATCCAAACAACAAAACAATTGGGCAACCCAAAAGATGCTCAAATCGGCCACAAGGTGCTCAACTTAGACCTGGTCATTGACCACCGCTATGGTACCCTCACCACAATGATTTACCGTGAAACCATGATGATGCCCATTGATGTTCATTGATCACCAGAGGCTACAGCTATTGCATGCTATTGCTCTCTACGGGTTTTTCACCTCTTTTTGTATGTTTACCTTCGAGTATTCCATTAAATCAATAAATCCCATAGAATCCATAGATTCCCAGTAAATCCCATTGAATCCCGTTAAATCTCTATCAAATCCCTATGAAACACAATATCTCACCATATATCACCATCAAATACCTTTGAAATCGCCATAAATTCCTTTAAATCACCATTAAATCCCATAGAATCATATAAAATCCATATAGATTCCCTTTCTGAATCACCATGAAATCACCCAAGATTTTTGTCTCCAAGGCACGCTCGAGTCCACCTTGGTGGGAATGTCTGCCACCACATCCAGCGGGATCTCGAGCTGCTGCTTGGCAGCACCGACCTCAGCCCGCCGATCCGCAACAACGGCCTCGGGATAGCCTCGGGACCCGTCATGGTCCTATATAAACCATAGGAAAACCATGGGAAAATGGTGGTTTAATGGGAGTTAATGGGATTTAATGGGATTTAATGGGATTTAATAGGATATACCCGGCCTGGTAAACAGCCACATAACTATGGAAAATCACCATTTTTCATGGGAAAATCCACTATTTCGACTGGGCCATTTTCAATAGCAACAAATTACCAGAGGGTAAACCATCACATTAACCATGATCACATAATAACATTGAAATAGACTATGAAATAAACCATAACATTAACCATTCCGATATTAGATGGAACCACTTAACACACATTAACAAACAATGATCCCAAGTATTCGTTGGAGAATTAGAACCACTAACTATAGTAGATGGTGGGCCCCAACATCTAATTTAATATAAATTATGTCAGATATTATAACATAAATATAACATATTATACATTATAACTAACTATGATATTTAATAGAAACATCTAGAAACACTTATTTTATGAGTGGTGAAAATCCGCCTGGGGCCTCCACAGCGATGCGCTGTAAGGGCCGCTTGCCATAGAGGAGCGCCACCTCGAGAAGAGGCGGTCACTGGAGGGTATCAAAAATGGCCCGTTGATAGTCGATTTACCTATGAAAAATGGTGGTTTTCCATCGCAAACTGTTAGTTTACCATCTGGTAAGACTTAAGAGTTTGAAATAGATTGCCCATACATATATATATATATACATATATATATATATATACATATATAAATATATATATACACATATATATACATATATATATACATATATATATATACATATATATATACATATATATATATACATATATATATACATATATATATACATATATATATACATTGATGATTGAAAAAAATGAAGATATTGTGATCTTGCAGAAGTTATCAGAGGGATCTAATGAACCCCTAAAAGGTATCAAAAACTGTTGCCATTTTGCACGTATCCATTCTCAGGGGCCAATAATTTTAACTGAGACCCAAACTGGGTGGGTCAAAAAAATTACTAAGTCCCAGGCCCAATTATCCACTGACTACACCAAAATTTGGAGTTCCCTAATTCTTGACGGAAAAAACCAATTGAGCCATGAAGTGATGGGTGGGTTATGGCACTTCTGGCATGACCCTTTTTTGGAGAGACCACCTGGCAATCAAACATGGCAATGCCATAAATCCTCCCATTTAGTTCGATGATTTTCCCATGAATTTTCCCATGAAGACTCGATTTTCCAATGTTCTCACCCCTCTAGTTCTAGTGGATTTTCCAGTCAGCCACGTTTGATGACACCGGTGCCCACCATTGCCCGCTGAGGCACTGAGGGGCAGGTCTTCGAAATAAAATTGATCATCGCCAGGCCCTGCCGGTGGGCAAATCACAACAGCAAAAACAACACAGAAACAGATACAGTAATATACAGTAAACCATAATGGGAAGGTTAATGGGATGCTTAATGGATCTTGATGGTTTATGGTTTATGGTTTACTACATTAGGTATTCATAATAACTACCTGTAGTAATGGTAATAAACCGAATCCCACAGAATTGGTGTACTACATGGTTTATGGTGGGATGGTATGGATGGTTTATGGGCAAGTCATACCATGTCATACCTCATGTAGTAAACCATAAACCATCCCATGTAGTAAACCATTAAGCATCCCATTAAGCATCCCATTCACCAGCCATCGAGGGGGTCTGTTGGGGATGGTGACCATTGCCCACCTGCTCCGTCCAGGGGAACCAGCGCCTTTCACCAACCAGCTTGAGCCAACCAGCCGAGATGCAGCAGCTCTTCGCAAAGCCGCACTCTGACTCAAAAAATGACCAAAGATGGCGTGATCTTTTTCTTTGAAAACATCAATAAAACATCAATAAAACACCAATAAAACATCAATAAAACATATCCTTCGATTTTTTGGGCTAATAATTTAGGAGCCATACCCAACGACGGTCCAACAGCAGAAACAGCAACGGCTTGAGAGACGCAAACAAACAGACATACAAACAGGACGCTGAACACTTGATACAAAAACAAGAAAAAAAGGACACGGGCAAATAGGTCAAAAAACACGAAACAACAAAACATAGAACCAAAAGAATCGAAAGAATGCCAAAATAAACCAAAACAAACAGACCCGCTCTACACGCATCAAACACATGCAAACCTAAAATGTAACATTTTCATTGCAATTTCAAGACCACACTGACCACACACCAACACCTCCGCAAACACAGAAACATCAATGGGCAAAGTGAAGTCTGTCTCCCTGTCTGACTGTCTGACTCCAAGCCCCAAACGGTGACATCAAACCGCGTCCATCAGCCCCGCATCACCTGGCCAGCCATTGGTGGGTGACCTCCCTACCCATTGGCAGCCCAAGCCTAACCCTTCCATGTACACCCTGACAAGTCGTGCGAACAAAAGTCCTCGGACAAAACAAAAGTGAGAAGATGGTCTTCAAACAAACGCATACACACACACACATTTTGATTTCCACTTTTTTTTTGTAGATCTCTTTGCCTCACCCTACCGGCTGCGCAACTTTTTTTTTTCACCACCAGCCGTTGCAAGAGCTCCTGCAGCTTCCGCGGCAGCGGCGCGCGGACGCGGAAGACCTTGCCGTCGAAGTCGTAGAGACGCAGCTGGGCACAGTGCAAAAAGAGGCGGTCACAGGCACCTGGGGCGGGCTTGTGATCATGATGGCAATAACTCATCAATATAATATAACCCCTTCCCCCTATTGTTATTATCACTAAACGTACCCCAAACTAAAAACTACTCCCAGGTGTTTATTATTGGGGGGTGTTAGTAACCCCAAAAAGGCGGAAGAAATATTTCTAGGAGAGTATAGATGATGTTTTCCCCATAATTTCCAGTTTCCAACGGTTCTATCCATTTGGGGTTGCTATTATACTGTAAACATCTATACTGTAGTCTATACTTATCATGAACATTTGCGAATCATAATTAATCAGCAACAATATATTTGCTGATGATCATTAGTAAGACTTAATCAACATGGATGACCATTCATAGTCAGAAATTTCATATATTAATATATATATATATACATACATATGATCACTGTCATCATGATTGATGGTGGGGAAATCATCAATCATCAACCATCAATGAGAAATGAAAATGAAGTTTCGATATGGCTCGATCATCAGTAGTCATGACGAGTCAGCATTAATCGTCAAGAGCCATCATTGTGTGTCAATGACCATCAATGGACTGATTATTTTGATTTATTTTGCCGTATTTTGCACGAGTCTGGCGGCTGTCCTGTGAATGTGCCAGTCAGGGAGTCAAGAATCTGTGCATCAAGAATCCATGGATTGCTTTAAGATTTTGAGGGAATATCTAGGAAACCATGAGTTTTGCCCCCAAATTGACTGGGGGGGGGTTAAGTTTCCCGTGTTTTGTTTCCCATCATCCGATATTGGGAAATACCATCAATGATCATCTGATCGAAAGCCCAGGCGCATCTGGTGCTGTTGCTGCCATAGACCATGTCCCCCAGAATTGGGCGGCCAATGGATGCCATGTGAACTCGAATCCTTAGGTCAGTCTGATATCGGGATTGTATTTTTATATATATATATATATACATATGTATTAATTATTATCTATGGTGTATTTATAACATATTATATGTACTTATGGTCTATATACTTATAAGGTATTTCTGGTCTACTTAACTGGGGTATGGTCCTGGTATAAAAATAACCCAGTCGTGTATCCAACTCAGTGCAACGACTGGGAACCCAGTGATTCTTCCGTGGCACGTCGTGGATTCAGATAGTCCAATCATCCAATCCCGTAACGCCGGAACATCAAATACACTTCTATATACCCCAGTTAAGTAATGTGAAGTATATAGGATCTTCACTTTTGGGGCACATATATATGGGGGTATTAGGGAGAAGTAGAAGGGATTACGTTGCCAATTCCCCCTCAAAATGCGAAAACATAGTCTATAGGCTTCTAAAGAGGTCTTTGCGCTGTCAGCTTTCCGCACAACCTAAGGAACATGATTTTTTAAAGCTACACTCATTGAGCTTCCAACATCGCCGCGGCTGTCTGCCAGCCCAAATCAATAAATCAAACCAGGTATCTGATGAGTGCGGCCCGTCAGAGGCCGAACTCGTAGCAAAATCAATTCCGTCGCCTCAACAAAAATGCGACAAATGCGGGAGAATTGGACCTCTGGGATGCTGTTTTGGCATGGCAGAAAGAGAAGAACCATCAAACAGGGTCACAGAATCAACCAATATATACAAATATGAGGGATCTAATCAGCGTCCAACATCTTGACTTAGACACTTAGACCCAGTCTTTGTTGAGACTTTTGATTTTCGCTATCGGCTCTCGAAAAATGACCTTCAGCTCAGCGGCTGGATCAGCGGACGCCAGGCCCGGCAGCTCCGGCAGCTGATATCTTCTCTTCACCACATACGCCGTCGCGGCCTGCCGGCCCAAGACGGACACCTCGCGGCAGCGGCTGGCACTGGTAGCACTGGGTTGGTCACCTCTGACAGCTTGGATCTATGCTCATCCCCCTATGGTCATATAGGTCTTGAATGGTCTTGACACATCCCCAAATTGTAAATATAACCTGAATAATTGTGTTTGAAGAGTTTGGTTTGATCGGTCAACTTCTGCGTATCGAAAGCAGAGAGGGTCTGAAACTCATGACAAGACAATCCAAGCTGGACCATACGGAAACTGCGGGGAGCAACCCAGAGCATCAATATTTTGTAGAAAAATGTTTTGAGATCTATGAGGCTTGTACATATCATATGTTTTGCTTCACTATGGCTGGGTTTCACACCATCCCATTGAAGTGAAGAAGAGGCCTTACCAGGAAACTTTACCAGGAAGCCTTACCACTTCATTGTGAACATATTTGATCATAGTCCATATATACTGTATATATATATATATTTCTATATATTGTATCACATTATAACGTATTGATATGTATATATAGATAATTATATATTATAATTTAATATTATAATATGGTGTTCTATCTATAGAAAAAAATGTGCAACTCCCCAAAGAAATTGATCTTGGTCAGTTCACTCTGGTAAGAAAAGGGGCTGGATGATCATCCCCAACAAAAACATACGGGAAATCACAGGTCGTGACTCATCCCCAAAATTCCCAACATTCCCAACATGCATTCCTGACATACACTCCATACACTCCATACACCCACTGTACCCCTTTCTGTTTGTTTCACCCCGATATTATCGGCATTTCTGCTCCTAATATTGATTCCCACATGTTTCAACAGTTCAACCGCCACTTGATGTTTACAATGTGGCAAGCCCAGTAATGCCAACTTTTTTGGATATGGTTTTAGCACCTTCCGGTAAAATTAGCTTAAAGGTTCATTATTTGGCTTTAACATGGTTTTAGTTTTATGGGTAAAATCTGAACATATTGCGCAATGTGTATATGCATATAAGAATTATTAGTATCATTATAATTAATATTGGTCTTACCATTACTAATATTATAGTTAAATATATAATATAACATTATATATATACACAGTATATTATACATATACAGTATATTGTGTAGTAGCCTCCGTTGGGCCCATCTGTACAGGGTTTTGACCCATCCCCGGGGATGAATCAAAATGACCACGCGCCGATGCTCCCGTTGTGCCTCCGTTCGCGAGTTGACACCATCGATACCGGTGGTGCGCAAAGGTTGGTCGATCGCAGCATAGGACCCCCTTGGAGCAAGAAATGCTCATGTTGAGGTCATGTTGAGCATGATTGGCGCCAATCTTTGCCAAACTTTCGACCAAGAAAACATAATTAATGGGATGATAGTAATAATAGTAATGATAAACATATGGGATTAATATCGGGATAACATGTTCTAACTTTCCTTCCGATATTAGCGGATTGCCACTTTGGAGGCTGCATGATTTTCGGCGACCGATATCCCGACTCAAATGAACCCTGCTTTCTGTTAGTAAGTACCATGTAAGGGCCAGAGATCTTTCAAACCACTTAAGCAAACCTGAAAAAATATACAATAAACATCTTGAAAGAAAAAGTCGATGCTTGAAACAAAACTGTAAAATTCTGACGAACTTACATACAACACCGGGAGACGTCTCGCCCAGTGAAGGACCTTCGCACAAACAAATGTAGTCCTTCCGCACAAGACGCCCAGCAAATTGCGCCTGCAAATGTCTCCCTGCAGCTTCACCATAGGCTAAAGGTAGTACACCTGCGTCTTCGTGACTTTTCAGCATGAAACTTCTGGCTTAAAGTTAAAGCCCTGCGTTTAACAGGGGTTTGGCTCGAACTTTGGGGGACCCAATTTTGTGAATCTTCCAAAATACCATCCCATATACAGTCGCACGTGCTGCTTGGTGCAACTATGTTCATTTAATCATCAACTCTCTGAAAGGTCAGGACCCGGTCCATCAGATGGGGAACCCAATGATCTCTCCAACATAAAGGCCCGATGACCCTGGGATTTGTTTGTTGGGGGAGTGTTGTTTGCTGCTCATTTAGCTACCGTATGGGTAGAACACAGAGGACCACAATCAACCACACACGTTTTGATTCTATCCCCAGGTTTTTTGGTTGGTTCAGCCCCATTTATAGCCCCTCTATCATTTCTATACCTACATTGCTCCACTTAAAATCCATCTATATATATATATAAATCCATTTAAAAACCATGTTTGTCACAATGAATTGCTGCTGGTGCACCAATCTCAGGCCCCAAATTTGGGATCCTCCCACTTCCCCCTCCGCGCCCGAGGTGGGTGCATCCAATCTGGACGCCAAGGACAGTTCCGCGCGCGGGCCGAGAACAGTCGCCAGGCGGGAAAGAATGGACTCAGTGGCTTGCCCGGAAGCCTGGCGGATCCAGGTATCTCCGTGATTTCACAGGGTTTTTTCAGGAGCATTTCATGGTTATTTCACAGGGAATTCATGATGATTTAAGAAGGATTTCATGGTGATTTAAGAAGGATTTCATGGTGGTTCATAAGGATTTAATGTGGTTTAAGAGGAAATTAGTGGTGATTTAAGATGGATTTAAGAATGATTTAGTTGTGATTTCATAAGGATTCAATGGTGATTTAAGAGGGCTTAAAGTGATTTAATGATTTCATTGTGGAAATTTAATGGTGAATCATAGGGATTTAAGAAGGATTTAAGAGGGGTTCAATAATCAATAGTGATTCACAAAAAATGATGGTGATTGATTTTAAGGAGATTTAATGGTGATTTCATTGGAGGTTAAGAGGGACTGAACGGTTATTTCATAGGGATTTAATGGTGGTTTCATAGGGATTTAATAATGGGTATTCATAGGGGCTTAATGGTGATTCATAGAGATTTAAAATCTGTTTCATGAGGATTTATGGAAAGGTCAGTTCCCACTATGTATATATATATATATAAATATAGACAGAGAGAGACACACCTATAGATATATACATACAAACCTATACCTATATATATACACATAAATGTATACCTATATAAATATGTATATATATATATACATAATATGTGTATATATATATAGACAGTTGTATACACATGCAATCAGGGTGCTGAAGGTGAACCACCACGACAAGAAAGAAAGTGCTTAAGGTGAAGTGCCACCAAGAAAGAACTACCCCCACTATTCATCATCTAGAATCGGCAAACGAATGGAATAATTGTGCGAAATCCAGAAAGGAAAATTTATGGATCGTTAATGGAAATTCTGAGGAATATCAATGGACAAATTACTAAAGATCAACGGATGTCGATTACGAAATGGAGCATGTCCATTGATTCAATCAACAAGAGTTTTTTAATAAAAAACAACATATCATGAAATAAGCGCACTGATCAACATGAAAACATTTTCCATTGATGTTCGATTGATCTTTTTGGATCAAATTTCCAGCAGAATGAAACATCCATGGAAAACAAACATTATCGAATCATCATCAAGCCACACCTAGGTACAAACAGCTGCAAATGTCTTTAGATGCCTATTGCATAGAATGATATCAGTGTAGATATAGAATATAGTTCTAGGCAATATTGAAATGATGATTTTTTCTAAATTGAAGTTTGCCTTGTTTGAAGTGGTGAGTTCTTTCCCATTTCAGGCATCACTAGACTTTCTCTTGTCCAGCTTCTGGACGACTTGAGAAACCACTGGAACCCCAATGGAATCCCCAATAAAAATAGGACATGGGATGGCATATCAATATACAGTATTGTCCCCATATAACTATAATAGATACATACAAATATTATAGTCATACATCATCCCAAAACTTTGGATTGTATATCCTAGTACCCTCTGGTAAACGTTAACAAAAAGCTATGGAAAAATCTACCAGTTTCAATGGCTAAATCCACTATTTCTATGGCCATGTTCAATAGCAAACTGTTGGTCATTATTACCAGAGGGTAACATCTAGTAACATCTAGTAACATCTAGTAACATCTAGTAACATCTAGTAACATCTAGTAACATCTAGTAACATCTAGTAACTATGTTCACTCATCATCCACCATCCAGCCGGATGTCTCGCAGCCACGTGCCTTGTTCACCACCAGAAGTCCAGGTCGCTGACACAAGATCTTCAGCTCCTGCAATCTCCATGGTCCAGCGGGATGGTTGAAAGAACAAAATCATGGGATGTTGACCATCAACTGGTTGATCGGATTTCGCTGGCCCATCCACAGTATCAACGGGATAGTTTTCATATTTTCATGATGTCTGAGTCATCATGAGTCATCCATGTTTTTTCCTTTCCATGTCCATCTATGTTGCCTGTTTTTTTTCAAAAAAAACACCGAGTTTGGTCCCGCAGCCGTCCTCAACCGCCAGCTCTGGCAGGGGCGGACATGGCATTCGTTCCAGCCAGTGGCGCCGCAAAAACTGCAGGACTTTCAGTGTCTGGCGCAGGATGGCGAGACGATGGCAACAAAGAGACAAAGTACATGATGAAAAGGATGAAGAATCTAGATCTTGTTTCCAAAACAAAACTAAATATGTTTAGACATATTTGTACTGTATATATATATATATATGTAGACATTCATGAGTATGAATCATGAATACAATACGGTTACAAAGTCATCTTGAAGACAGATGCTAATGATCATCACAATGATTTTTCAATGATAGTCACTATATAATGTCAAAGCATGAGAAAGGAGGGGCAAAAAGAAACGAAGACCACTTTTGACAATAACTCGTGCTACAGAAAGAGAAAGAAACATACTTGGTGGCTCATCCCAGTAAGCGGGTTTTAACATGTTATTATAACCCCAGTTACAAGTGGATTAACCCTACTTATCTCACTTATAACTAGGGTTATAAAGTTATAAACCAGAAAAAACTAAGTGGGATGAACCACCAAGTAGCCTATGACCACACCATCCACGCGTTCTGAAGATTGCCTCCTTTGGCCCCAGAGCTTGCTGAACGATGGAGATCACTGTGCCAGCCAGGGCTGCATCTACCGGCCGCTGATCCTGGGCCGGATGACACGGGATGCCATGGCTTCACCAAATAAGTTATGGTACGAAAGGAAGCATTTGAAGGGTGTCCTATGGTGTCCTATTTCCTACATAGGTTTATGAGACTTGTTTGAGCACCCCCAAATAAACCATATATATAAAATTTCAAATTTCAATGGGACATTTGATGATCAACATCAAGATTTTGGGGCACACTATTTTGAAACAAAGCCACATCAGGGAGTGCATTTTGATCTGTTTGGGCCATCCTTAATCTTTTGGAAACGCCAATCATTTGTTCTGAACACTGTGGACGATTGAGTCTGATTGGTCCAGCTCGCATGAATAGTTTATCTATGCATATGTTGCATCTATGTATATGAGTGTACATGTTGTATCTACGTCTACCATGCATGTGTTGCATCTACCTATCTGGCAAACATATGCATGTTACATCCTAAAAAAATATCCAAAATGCTCCACCCAGGCACAACAGAATCCGAACAATCTCTTGTTTACAGTACTGCATGTCGATGGGAGACATCAAAATCTTATGGGCTCAAATGGCTGGCGGGGAACCAGCAATCTCTTGGTCCATGTTCAACCCGAAACATGTGATTTAAACATTTAGTTTCTATCCATTTCAAGCATTTACCACAGATTTCTCAAATTCTCCCAGTTGGATCCAGATTAATTATCCCCATTGTTAAGTGTTCAATCCCATTCAATGTTCCCAGGTATGGCTCAAATAAACTCAATTGGGATCATAAACCGTTTGTTCACTGCCATTCCCCAAAATGCATCTGGATATCATACTTGCTTATATAAATGACTATGCACATGCTCAAGTATGTATACACATATACTATTTATGTGTATACACCGCCAGGACAAAAGTTTTTCCATGTTTTTCCTTTTGTGCTTTCCAACACCCTTTCGCCATCCGAAGCATAACGGTGATCCGCAAAGAGATATAAACTGCTTTGTTCTGAATCAGCGCGCGGGAAAAACTTTCGTCCTAGTGAAGTATATATTAATATAATATATTATACACATACATATATGAATATGAAATAATATGAATATGGATATGAGTGGATATGATATAAAGATTTACATAGGCAAATAGGTCCAAATTTTCGACATCCCACAAGTTGTCCCAAGACTCTGCAACCCACTGCAACATCGCCAAGGCTGCCGGCCAACGCCCCTGAAGGATAAGCCACAAAATGGGGACTTACGAACTCACCAGGGTTGTTAACCACTTATGATGTATATAATTACATAGGAGGATCCTCCAGGCAATCACGGCGATATCATGTGGCAATATCATGATGATGTCTCAAATCCCATTGAAAAGTCTCAATCCCCGAAACATCCGCTGAATCTCCGATGCCTTCAACGCCAGCGCTGTGGTCGAACACCAAATCCCTGGCGAAAGCTGTGCAGAGATCAGCTCCTGGCGGAGTGATGGCGGAAGAGTTGCCCAAGATGGTGACGGGTATCACGGTAGAACTACGGGTTAGCGGATGTTAAACTATGGTTTGGAATATGAAACACATCATTAAAAGATATACTTATACGATCTTATATGATGAAACAATATGAAATAGTGAAATCTATCTATACAGAGATTGAAATATGACATAGAATGGAATGTTCTGGTGCAATGACTACCAGTACCAACTGGGCCTTGGCCCCTTCATCACATGGATTAATGGCCAGCTCGTAACTGGGATGGTGCCCTGTACCGTCTGGGTAGCTGGGCATTGTGTGACTAACCCATGCGGGAGGTACAGAAAAATGAATGAAGGTGCAACCAACCCATGCCTATAGTACATATCCCATAGTTGGGTTTCTAGGTAATTGATTCACCCTACTGTTTCATTCGGCTCACTGGCAAGTGGCCGGTAACATGGATTGGGGGTAGTGAGAATGTTGCGACTCTGCTACAGTGCCCCCGTTGTCACTATTTCACTCTTCTGTGTCCGCTGAAGTTGATGCGGCCAGGGCCAAGTTCGTTGGCCGGATTATTTTGAGGATCTTATCTGAAGCTGCGCCGATGTAAAATTGTGTCCAAACTGGTCTGCACGTATTATTTGGGCTACTGTGGTAACCCTAAGGTTGCTTCATAGTACTGGTGTTGCCTCACATGTGCTGTTACTTGGCATACTTTCTTTGTGTGCGTCACAACGACCCGCTCGGCTCTGCCCACGGGTAACGTGTGGCCCATTTTCACCTCTCACACATCTGCGTTTAACTCCCAGGTGAGCGGGATTAACTCATATGCTCACATATTATCAGACATCATATTCCTCGAAATGTAGAGGCATTGGGGAAGTTGCCTGGCAACACGACCTGTGAGCCTGTGAGTCACGTATAAAGGAGTCGGTGATACGATCAACCTTTAGGTATCCTTAAAATACAGCACCAGGATCTATACCTGGAATCCATGAAATATCATGACTTGGGCATTCCCAGAAAGGTTGGATCATGGAGTATCATGATGATGAAATAAATATCCAACCCAACCAGTTTCGTTCTCTCTCCTGAGAAAGTGCAAGGGCCATCTGCCATTCTCGGGCGTTGGAACATGCACTGATGGCAGAGTTGTGAGTCACCTCGCTAGTTTCGATGGAGCTTTCGGACCTCGGAGGGATACGCCGATCCATGAATCCACCATGGACGCTAAAAAACCGACGGCGACAAAAAATGACATTTAAATAATGATACAGTGTGTATATATATATATATTTGATGATATTTGATATCTGTTTGATGATATTTGTCTCGTCGGTCGCTTGAACTTGGAATGTTCAGTGGCCATCAGTCGTTCTGGACCAGCGGAAGACTGGTCATTAAATGTGGGCATCTTGATGGTTCAATAGTTCCAGATAGTTCGAGCATACCCAAGGCCTACGAGCCGACATTCATGATCGAAGTGCTAATCTGCTAATCACACGTCTGCTAAGGGAGTTACAGGACTTCAAGTCACTTTTGCCTCATTAAAAATAGTATAATTGAGTTGATATACCGATATATGCCCCATTTTCAAACACGCCCGAATAATAACGATTGGTTATTAACTATATATAATGACGTAATATATATAATACATCCCATTAAATCGACAGTGAATCCAACGTTTTTTCTCCCTATTGTGGTCATGACTTTTCAGCATGTTCGGTCGCCCGCATCGTTACCTCCGAGTCGCAGTTGTGCCAGGATCCCCAGTGCGCTTTGCCAGTTGGCACCCTTGGAACACGCGCTGACTGCAGCGTTGAGGCACACCTCTGGGATGCTGGGGATCCCCCGACCAACGGTCCTTTCACTTCGTCTTTGGAGATCATCATCACAACTATGCTGGGAAAATGTTGGAAACTATGAAACTATATATATATTATATATAAGTATATATATATATAACATGAAACACAGTAATTAAATACGCAATAATAATTGATGTGGTTCATGTACACAATATTCTCATATTAGATATCTGCATCTGAAACCACCAAGCAGTTTTTGGTGTATATCAATGTATATCATATACAGATATATATAAGATTTGTCTTGATTTGGCTTTGATTTGCCATGAATGCCATCCGATCCATCTAACAACCAGACGGACCGCCTGATCCTTGGTGAGCTGAGAGGTGTGGAAAATCTGAAGGCTGTGCTGCCAGTAATCGCCTCAAAATGATGTGGGTCAAGTCATGAAGGTTTAAAGAATGGTTTACCCTCCGGTAATTTCACGGTTTCTATCTATATAATACATATATATATATATTATATTATATATATATTATATATATATTATATATATTATATATATTATATATATTATATTATATATATATATTATATATATATATTATTATATATATTATATATATTATATATTATATATATATATATTATAATATATAATATATATATATATATATTATATATATATATTATATATTATATATATATTATATATATTATATATATAATAGCCATTTTTCAAGTTGGTATATATTATATATATAATCTATGACTATGTAGAAGAAGATTTACATTGATTTACCTTTCATTAAATCCATTGAACATGATTATTTTCCATGGCTACAAGCAACGACGGGGATAACAGTGATAACAGAAATCAACAATATTCCATGCTCAACATCACCAAACTTCCGGCTCAAACATTGGCACGTACCAGAAAAACAGCTACTTTGCTGCATCTGAAGAAGAGTTGGATCAGTCCTGGCTTCATGTATTGAGCTGTATTGGAACGCTCATCAGCACCTAAATCCGCATAAAAAATATATGTGCCGGTGTACCAACTTGCTGCATGATCTACTGAAATTCTGGACAAACATAGACTCTGCGATATGCACCAGCTTCAATTTTTTCCAAGGAACAATATCGCTACATAGCACTACCTGCACATCAACAACACAAAACAAACGTTGTTTCTGAGCACTATATGCAAGTTGACCCCTCCAAATCGGTCGTTCTCTAAGTTGGAACCTCCCGAACCATTTACTCATCTTGCTGGTCTTTGGTGGGGTCATGTGGGGTCCCATTTTCCGACAACCACCCAAATCAAATGATAAATACACTATGAATAAAAACAACGATATATAATATATATAATATATATAATATATATAATCCTTAATCCTTCGATGCATGCAATAATTTGCATCATCAAGGGATGCTCCCATCATCTCACATCCATATCCAATGGATTTGATCCCTTACAGTCGGCCATGGCTGAAACAGCAGAGCGGCTCCTCTCACACGCAGCCATGGCTGCAGTGAGGCTATGAGCTGGTGATCTGGACCCCGAATTTTTGCCATGCAGAGCTGCCAACGACACCTGACCAGTCTGACCATGGAGATTTCAGGGCAGGTTTCAGACAAACTCCACGGAGTTCGGAAAAACTCTGCAGTGCAACTGGGCCGAATGATAAAGACCCACCTTACAAACTCATTTTTAAAAACCATGAGGTAACTATGTGAATGCAAAAAAACAACTGATTTTGGATGATTTTGTAAATGCTCCATGGAACAAAACAGACTGATACATTCTGATGTCCCAACATGTTTTTTCTTTCTTTTGTGACTCCTTGCAACCCCATCTTCGGCTTACAGCACAGCAATCTTCCACATTTGTTGGTCAATGCCGTGTACCAGGTATTTCCCCGGCTGCCCCAGGGCAAAACAATCGAAAAAACAGCGGCCGAAGACCCATATAGGACCAATTCTCGAAGGCATAATCCTGTGATATGAGGAAAACAAATTGGACGAATGAGACGGCGAATGACGAATGAATGAATGAATGAATGAACGAATGAAAGAAAGAATTATTGAATGAATGAATGGATGGATGAATGTATGGACGAATGAGCGGCTGAGTGACTTTGTGACTAAGTGCATGAAGGAATGAGTGAATGAGTAATGAGCGAACGCATGAATGAGTGAAATAATGAATGCATTAATTAATGAATGATTTTTGAAACGAAAGAACGAGTCAAAGAACGTAATGATCCACAAGAGGAATGAACGCAAGAATGAAGAAACGCAATAAATTGAGTTCACTGCATGAAACAAAAGAAAGGAGGAACGATGTTAGGTCAACTTTCTAACAAGTGATGCTTCCTGTGTGATTGAATTGGTGAGTTGAAAAGCTACCAACTGACACTTGTCCGTAACACGGAAGTTTGCTGAGTAAACTTCTGCATCTTCTTGCTATATCTATTTGTATATATATATATACTATTATAATTATCATTATATATAATTATATATAATTAATTATGTAAATATAATTATATATTATATATTATATATAATATAATACATATATGTATAATCTTGATATATCTTAATGGATCATATACATAATTATATGATATTATATGATATGTCACTGTCTGCGTTTTATCTGTCCATGTTTAATTTGGTTGAAACTGAAACCCGGCTATACAGCGCCGCTACCTGCCACTGCCCTTCGCGACTCCATGACTTCATCGCAGCGCTGCGGCTCACACTATTGCCCAGCCGAAGCGCCTCGCCACGGCAAGGCATGAAACAATGTGGATCCAAAGCCCAGAACATGAAGTTGAAATCTGTTGAGTTGGTTTGGAATCTGTAGCTTCTCTCATACTTTGCAAGATCAAGTTACAAAATCTGCAGGTTGTGGGATGCTAGTGGCACACTTTCCCAACCATTGCCTAGCCCACAAGTCCTGGCCCAATACAAAAGTTACTATAGTAGGGTCATGTAGGGTCCAAAATGGCTTGTCAATCCCCGAAGATTGGTGATCGAATTTAGCCTCCCCATCCTGCAGTGGCCCGGCTTGGCACAGGTCTTTTGGGCAGATGGCTCACCAGCCCGATTCACCCATCTTGGAGCCTTCATCTCTGCAAGAAAGGAGATGACCAAGTTCCAGGGTGCGGCACTTGCCTCAGAATACCTGCAGGCAGGCTTTGTCAGGCTGGAAAAACCATTGGTCACTGAACCTTTCTAATTATACGGAGTCCATGCAAAGCTGGGAATCTTTGTATAGCCTGTGAAACATTCTGGATATGTTTGGTGAAACCGCAGGCACATTTGATCTAGAGCATCTCTGGCCCAACCGCCCAAATTGCTTTGTTCACAGCTTGGCCCCCGACCTATCCACCATTCCATGGTCCGTCTTCTAACGAGTGAAACCATCCAACTGTTCTTCTTGTTTCCCTTCAATATGTTCTGACCCCCCTGATTCGCATTCTTCCCCACTCCGTCCCAATGCCCCACATCGTAGGTGTGTCCGAAAAATGCGGACCACCACCCAAAATAGCCACAATATCATGAAATGATTGAATAACTCCCGTTTGGTATTTGACATATGCGGCGGCACGCCCCAAAAAATAAGAAAAACAACTTAATTATATTTATATCATTTTATATCTAATTATACTAACATATACTAATAATACATGCATATATATATATATATACGAATATATACGTATATAATCATACTTTTGAGGGCACCAAACAAATACATATCAAAAAAGAATCGTGATAATATAATAGTAATTAATAACAGTAGTATACAGTAGTCATTATTAATCAACAACAATATCCCAATTTGGATCCAAAAATGGTGGATTCCAATAGGAGTCCCCTTAAGAAATCGGCGCCAGGACGCATGTACTCATTCACCGCCACCATTCCCTGCCGTGCCGTGGCCAGCAGCCCCACTGCACTGCTCCAGCTGCGGTGGCTGAAGGCCGTCATGGCAGCCGCGTAGTGAAAGACGTCCAGCTGCAGCCTGGGAGGGCCCAAAGTTACGGGGATGTCAAAAATGGGGGGTATTGGGGATGGGGTTCAAGACCAACATGGACATGGACACATATAGTTGGCTTTGCCCAAACATGAGGGATGATTTATTGCATTTTATTGCTAATTATAGAATTATGTCATGACAAATAATGGGGACATGAGGTTTGAAAGCACTTATTATGGGGCACCCTATTTGAAGGTAACGCCATGGTTCATGATTTGGGTCTTCCCCTGCACGCAATGGTGGGACCGAGCGGCCCATCTTCTTGTAGAACTTGGAGAAGCTCCAGGACCAAGTCGCCTATCGCAGCATGACATGACAAAATCATCATTTTCCATAGCTATGTCAGCTATGTTAAATAGCAGATGCCCCAACAAATCCCCATATTGGTTCTCCTTCACCCCCTTTTCCACCGAGCCTCGTTGCTCCTTCCCCAGCTGTCGCAGCACCAGGGTGGCGCGGCCCACCCCCCAGCGCTGCAGTGTCGGAGCAGCGGTGCGGAGATGGTCTCCGGACTTCGGCTCTTGAAGGGCCAACCTCGGACTTTGGGGTGGATTTGCTGGTGCATTTCCTCAACCTTGGAAAAGTTGGGATATGTTTTTTTTAAAAAAAAAAAATGTTCCTATCTAAAAGAAGATAAGACTCATCGTTTATATTTGGTATTGACTCATCAAAAACGGGTTCTCAAGCCATTAAAAAGGTCATGAAATGCATACACGGGTCATCTATTCGTGGGACGACACGCATCCATGGCTAGCCTCATGTACACTATATTGAGAACAACAACGGGATGCTCTGTTGTGTTTGTATGTAAACATATCTATATATATATTATACATTCAATAGATTTTAATAGTGCAATTTCCAGCTATTATCCTTATTACTGTCATCATGTTAATATGTCACTTGTTGGTACAGCCGCTTTGCCCAGCATCGACAGCACTAGCTGAAGCAACCGGGATACCCCATCATTTTTTCGGAGGTAAGGTTGTAGGAGGATGTCCATACAATATGGGAAGCAGGAGTGTTTGGGTTTCCACAAGTTTGGAATATTCGGACCACTTGACAACAATCAAAATGCATTGACCCAAATATCCAAATGCATCTAAATGCTCAAATTGAGTTCACGATATATTTGGGGTAGTTAAAGTCTGCGGATGTTCATGGCCTTTTTGAGCGGTCAATTGGTCAATGATCCAAGTGCCACTCTGTGTCAGGCCAAGCTGCAAGGCACGGAGCTCCTTGTCCGCCGATGCCATGACGATGGTTTTCAAGCCATCTCGGCTCGCTTCAACGGCTCAAGCCCAAACGGCTTCTGGAATATCCAGACGGCAATTTCGGGTGGAATCAGAGGCACCTACTATTACTATATATATATATTATATTATATATATGTATATATATTATATCTATATAATTCTATATATACATATATATATACATATATTATCTATATATTATAGGCCTGCCTAAGGGCATATGCCACAGAAACTATGGCTTTATTTGGGACAGCTGCTTCCTTTTTAGGGTCCTGAAAATTCCCATTGACGGCCTCAGTCATCTCTGGCATCTCATGGCAACGATGGGATGCAGCTGAAATTTCACTGTATCCTGTCGGATCGTCGTACAGTCGTCGTAGTTTTGGTATGTTTTGGTACCAAGAAGAGTCGACTAGTTGAGCAAATGGGCTCTATCTTTGGCTTTCATGAGTTTTCATTCACGAATACTGCATTTTGTCCATGGTGACTGCAGTGAAGTCAGGATCTTTACGAGACATATTCCATAAGGGGTATTGATGACAAAGGCACAAGAGCGTCGACCACTATTCCCCACATTAGTTGCTTGCCTCTAGGGCCCCTACAGTAGCAGGCCCAACGATCCTAAGTACACAAGATCAGGTAGTGATTGTGACTGTCTTTCCCAGTAAGAGACACTGGATCCTACTGAACCTGGAAAGACGACTGATGGCGATCTGCAGTCAATGTAGCGTTGAAATGGCAGCGGAGGCGCAAAGAGGTGAATCTATTTTCTACCATCTGCACTTGCCATGCTGTGCCATTCATGCAGCTAGTTTGGGATGAAGTTGCACCGCCCTTGCATCCAGATTCAAAAAGAACTTATCTCAGCTTTGATGAAACCGTTTGCGTCAAGGTTTCTTCCTGAAACAGCAGCTGAAACAGTCACACAGTCACCATTGCAATTTCGACCATACATAACAGCTATAACTCAAAAATGGATATTGAAAACCCAGCTTTGATGCTCCACAGGTGAGTTCTCCATCACCCCAGCCGCCTGGCCGGCAATCCATAGCCCGGTTGGCTTCCCGGCCCCGCGCGCAGGGCGCCAAGGGCCCCAATCGGTGCACGGCTGCGCAACCGGCCCGCTGCGCGGGAGAACATGTTGGCGATGGGAAATTGCTGATTTATCCAAAACTAGACCTCATCGTAGAATAACATGGTGATTTATAAATGATGATTTCCATCTGAAAAATATGGTGATTTATCATGATTTATCCAGACCTCCAGTAAATGTAAACTAACATAGTTATGGAAAATCACCATTTTTCAGATGGAAATCATCATGAATCATCCGTTTTTATGGACCATATTCCAAAGCTGAATTACCGGAGGGTATAATGTATTCTTTGAGGTTATTAATGACTTTCCTGACTAAATGACCTGCTGGCAACTGAGATTCTCAACTTGTTGTTATTGGGCTCCCATCGGGGTTGACCCCTCCTCAGTTGGCGAGATAAATAATGGTAAATCCATCTATGTAAAGCTGTCAATTACCTGAAGCAGAGGGACCAGAGAATATATATATATGATATATATATATATGTATTCTCTGATTTATTGGGCGATCCCTCTTCGAAGCGATCCGAAGCCACCGGCTGCGCGCAGCAGAACGTTGCGATATGTTGTTTCTCCTTCAAAGATATATGTTTTTTTCTGTCCAGAAAATCGGGTACCCTCAAACACGATAAAATCCCCCGTGGCTTATCATAATTGTGCTTCTGCAAATGGCCATTTGGAGGTATATACCATGTTCATCCTTCCCACGGATTTTTTTTTCGGAGGTCTGAGAAATATATAGACCTAATCCTGGAAGATCTCCAAGTCCTTCCAAGTCCCATTGTTTTCTGTAGAGCCTGTGTCTTCTCATTCTTCATTTAAGTTTCCATGTCAAGGAGTCGACTCTGTCCAAAAAAATCACATTCGAGTTTTTATTCTTTCCTGAAATGGAACCAGTCACATGTCACATCCATCCAGTACTTGGTGGCTCATCCCATAAGTGGGTTATAACATGTTATAACCTCAGTTATAAGTGGATTAACCCTACTTATCCCATTTATAACTGGGGTTATAACCCACTTACTAAGTGGGATGAGCCACCAAGTAAAAACATCGAAAAAACAAACAGGGGTCCCACCACCTCAGCGCGCTGTCCTTCTGCGGATTCTTTGCCAGGTTCCGATCCAAAAACGCTGAGCACCTCGTGGTGACCAGCGTCAGACGACTGGAACTTACCATCCGGTTACCCTCTGGTAAACTAACATAGCTATTGAAAATGGCCATTTATAGTGGATTTTCCCATCAAAAATGGTGGATCTTTCCATAGCTACCGTTAAATTACCAGAGGGTACCATCCGGTGATCAAACATAGCTGGGAAATCCCCCAGAAATCGGAAGTTGGATGATTTTCCCGAAAAAAACCTCCAGGATACCCAGAATTTTCCAGCCATCCAAAGATGACACCAGATGGAAAAAATCAGCATGGCTGGGTGTCCAGGTCCAAATCCCGTGGTTTCAGTCATGGAGCCAAATATATCCAAATATCCAAATTGAAAACAAACACATCCCATGAACTATGACACTATGATTGGTTTTATACACCCATGAACTTGTTGTTTAAATCATCCTCTATGTTTTGGAGAAATCCAATCTGTTTCTGAGCCCTCCGGTAAATCGCATTTGACCATCCCCCATTCGATTTTCCCACGAAACCACCATTTATCTCGGGGATATCCCAGCTAGCTATGTTGGATTGGTGTGGTCAGCTTTATCCCATTATATAATATTATATATATATATTTATATATCATTATATATCATCCCCCTTGCAATTTGGGGGGGGGGTGCTGGACCCCTCGATTCTGTAGAGGGCCCCAACGTCAGGTACCCTGTGGCCACTCTACTAAATCAATCTCTGCTCTCCAGGGTAGGGATTTACCTTCTACAAAATCAAGAACCTTCCACAGCCCTCATATCTGACAAAAAAAATCATGTTTTCTACAAAATCAAGGACCTCACATGTGAAGGCATCAAAACAAATCAAAAAATATCACTTGTTGAGTTAAAACCTCAAATGATGATTCTGTAGAGATTTGTGTTAGAGTCGATTCTGTAGAGATTTTTTGTTGGTCTTTGATTTTGTAGCATGAAAGTTTACAAGTTTTACAAGTCAGTCAAAGATGTCCAAAATGGCCAGCCTTTGATTTTGTAGCATGAATTCCTTTACAAGATTTTACAAGTCAGTCCAAGATGTCCAAAATGGCCAGTCTTTGATTTTGTAGCATGAGTTCCTTTACAAAATTTTACAAGTCAGTCCAAGATGTCCAAAATGGCCAGTCTTTGATTTTGTAGTCAGTCCAAGATGTCCAAAATGGCCAGTCTTTGATTTTGTAGCATGAATTCCTTTACAAAATTTTACAAGTCAGTCCAAGATGTCCAAAATGGCCAGTCTTTGATTTTGTAGTCAGTCCAAGATGTCCAAAATGGCCAGTCTTTGATTTTGTAGTCAGTCCAAGATGTCCAAAATGGCCAGTCTTTGATTTTGTAGCATGAGTTCCTTTACAAGATTTTACAAGTCAGTCCAAGATGTCCCAAATGGCCAGCCTTTGATTTTGTAGCATGAGTTCCTTTACAAAATTTTACAAGTCAGTCCAAGATGTCCAAAATGGCCAGTCTTTGATTTTGTAGCATGAGTTCCTTTACAAGATTTTACAAGTCAGTCCAAGATGTCCCAAATGGCCAGCCTTTGATTTTGTAGCATGAGTTCCTTTACAAGATTTTACAATTCAGTCCAAGATGTCCAAAATGGCCAGTCTTTGATTTTGTAGCATGAGTTCCTTTACAAGATTTTACAAGTCAGTCCAAGATGTCCAAAATGGCCAGTCTTTGATTTTGTAGCATGAGTTCCTTTACAAGATTTTACAAGTCAGTCCAAGATGTCCAAAATGACCGGCCTTTGATTTTGTAGCATCATTTCTTTAGGCAGATTCATACGTGCTACAAAATCAAGAACCTCACATTTGAAGGCATCAAAAATCATCACTTTTTGAGATCAAACGTCCACGTTGATTCTATAGAGATTTTGTTTGGAGTCGATTCTGTAGAGATTTTTTGTTGGTCTTTGATTTTGAAGCATGAATGTTTACAAGTTTTACAAGCCCCATCCAAAGTCCCAAGTACCTGCCTTTCATTTTGTAGCTACAAGCCCCTCCAAAGTCCCAAGGCCAAGTGTCTGCTTTTTGATGTTGCCGCCTTTTTCTCATATGTTCTCTACAAAATCAAAACTTCTAGGTTTTCTTCAGATAGGTCGCTCTACAAAATCAAAGTCTCACCTTTTCACAAGTGGGCCCCCTACATCTGCTCTACAAAATCAGGCTCTAAAATCTCAAGCAAAAATCCTTATTCTGAAATCCTACCAGTATATATATATATAAACTTTTGAGGGGTTCTCACGAAAAGTAGGCCCTTAAAGATTCTTAGGGCAAAAATCTCAGGAATGCCGGGGGCATCTTCAAAATTCCAAAAACCCAGGACCCTGGAGCTCATAAAATAGAACCTTGATTTTGTAGAGGCCAATCTGTGGTTCCCCCTTGGAGATTGATTTTGTAGAGGGTGACACCTTGGTGTATGATTTTGTAAAGGCCACGATTGGCTGCCACGTAAACCTTTCCTACTGCAAAGGCTACCCCTGGTATTGAAGACTAACCAGCATTTTTCACATCTAACCTCCCTCTACAAAATCAAAAACCCATACATGTTGGGCAACAGCGGTTTCCGGGGAACTATCCTTTACAGAATCAAGGTCATTCCCTTTTACCATCTCTCACAATCAAGATCTGAAGATATGACATTGAGGGGCATGCTTTACTAGAAAATCAAAAGACCTTAGGGTGTCGCCAGCATTATGTCTACGAAATCAGTTCCTTGACCAAAATGTAAGGTTTTGTGCACTTTCTGCTCAACGTTGGGACCCCCATTTACAGAATCATGGGCCTACCAAGATACAATCCAAACATGTCCAAAATGGATGGTTTTTGGGTGCTTGCCAGCCCATGGTCTTTGATTTTGTAGCAAAGTAGGGGTGCAGGATGGCTCTACAGAATCGAAGGTTTTTGGGGTGTCAACACCCCTGATAGCTGAATGAAGGAAATCACGGCGAGACCGTGCAAATCAACACCCATGGCAGGCTACCCCAATATGAAACCAAATGACCCCACTACAGAATCAAGGTCGTTCCCTCCAAATATCTCTCACCACTACAGAATCAAGATCTGATAGATCTAAAGAAAAATGGTCTTATGGAAATGATATTACTACAGAATCAAGAACCTGCATTCTACATCTGACATCTCTCTACAAAATCAAAAACCCATACATGATGGGGCAACAGGTGTTTCAGGGGACCCATCCTTTACAGAATCAAGGTCATTCCCTCTCACCATCCCTCACCACTACAGAATCAAGATCTGAAGGTATGACATTGATGAGCATGCTCTGACTACAAAATCAAAGACCTTAGGACATCACCAGCCTTATTTCTCCAAAATCAGTTCCTTACCCAAAATGTAAGGTTTTGTGCACTCCCAGCTGAGTGTTGGGGCCCCTGTCTTTACATGTCTACAGAATCAGGGACCTACCAAGATACAGTCCAAAAATGATCAAAATTGGTGGTTCTTGGGTGGTTGCCAGCCCATGGTCCTTGATTTTGTAGCACGGTAGGGTTTCAGACTGGCTCTCCAGAATCGAAGGTTTTTGGGGTCCCAACACCCTCGATTCTGTAGAGGAAATTGCAACCAGGATTATATATCCATGTATATCCCCATTTATAGATGATTTTCCCATGAATTCTCCCATTCAAAAACATCAGAATAGCCATTCTCCAAAACGCTATTTTTCCCTATGGATTTCTGCCCAGTTACGCACTGGACAACGGCACATCCTTACGTCGACGGCTCCTGTGTCAGACTGGAAGGGAAACTGATCGAAACTGGGTTGGCAAAAAGAATGGGGGAATAGCATCAATGTTTTAGTGGTTAATGATTGATCTTAGTATCAATTCATGAAAAAGTAATTATTTAAGTTCAGAAAAGAAGCATATTGATGGT